AGTTTATTTCAAAATTTAACTGTTAATAAAATTAACATAATCTTTACAACCCTTTTAATAAAATTATATATAAGAGTTCTGTTAAAGCATTATAATTTATTCTGGTGAGAACATTTGGTCCTGAAATTTTTATGCCATTCTGTAAAGCAAAATTCTTCAGAATTCTACCATTTGTGTTGAGATGTCTAGAATTCCATTCAGGATTTTTGCAGTTTGAAGTCTTCAACTATTAACGTTGGGAAGCCAGCACAGGTCACATTATGAAGATGTTCCTTTGTGATAATGTGACTATACACTGAGATGAATAAGAATGCTTCATTAGTTTTCCCGTAAACCAGAGCTTCTTGTGTGCAAGTGAAATAGGAAAAATGTACCTGGAAAACTTAAGATGATTTTTATTAACTAACTCCTATGTTATGGGTACGATCAGGGTGAATTATTTAATAAGCTTGGATCATGAAACTTTCGCAGGGTCTTAGATGAGTCTCAGTAAGAAAAAGTATGTCCACATTGGGCTTTTTAAGAAAGTCCTGCAACTCTGAAGTTTGCTTTTTGATTCCATTGGCAATGAACAAGGATGCTTTGATAAAACAGTTTCTTGTCTCACTGCTGTGTGATAATGCGCGATGAGACGTTAAGGCCGTGTTCTAGGGCAGTTACCATTTCAATAATTTCAGTTCCTATTTAAAGTTTAGCGATGTTGGTTTATATTTTGCTATTTAGCGTTATTATATTTTGCTGTAACTTTTTTGGCCTTTGTTAGCCTTTCCAATAGAGACTAGTCACTGGTTGCAATTTCAGTCTCTTTACAGGTGGTTTTAAAATTTTATCTTCCTGAATCAGATGTGATTTCCACAGTTTAAGTTGATTTGGGAAACTCGTTTTCATCATGTTTTATTTATTATTCTTTCATTCCCATGTGAGGGGATATGAAACATCTTAGTCAGTTATAACTTGTGTTTTGTCTATGGTCGTATTTTTGACATTTATGATATTCAGTCGGACTTGGTTTGGAGCGATAAGCTTCAACAATAACTTTCATATCTAGAAAGTACAATAAGTCATATATTCTTTTCCCCTCCTCGTTTCTAGGTGTTAAATTTAAAGAAAATGGCAAAAGCAAATGAAATTAGCCAGAAAACGTAAAGTTAAAAATCTAGAATTATAAATTAAAAACTAAGCTAAAATATTTTTAGAACTATTTAATGACTAGATTAATGGTCTCTCTGCTTGACCTTAATAAAATGACCCTAAAGAAAATTTACCAATTTGGAGTCGTCATCTTGTAATCGCGCAACGTGAAAATCTCCCGGTTTCCCATGTCTGAATATTGACTGCTATGGTATAATATAGTGCAGTGGTATTCAATGTATGGGTCTCGAAAATTTACAATGGGGTCGCAAGGTGTCAAACGGACAGTCAGGGGGAAAAAATGACGAGAAGAAGCTTCTATTTCGGCTGCTTTTGACTAATTACATTTAGGTCAAAGGCATCTGCCTCTACAATCGAGGTATGAAGAAGTAAAAGCAGACAAACGATTTCATAAGTTTCACAATGAGTTTATAAGATATGGTTTTGTATGTACTAAAGATGGTAACCAAGGGCTAGACGTATTCTGTGCTTGGCAGTATTGGCAAACCTCTCACTGAAACCAAATAAACCTGCAGAGGCATCTATATATAAAACATCCAGAATTTAAAAATAAGAAAAAACCATTGAATTTTTTCAGGTTAAAAAAGAAAATGGGATATTTGAAATGTAAGTAAAAAAACTTTGTCTACTTTTACCGATATTAGAAACTTCTTACTGAGTGAGCTATCGTATAGCTAAAACTGGTAAGCCGTACACAGTTTCTAAAGAGTTAATTGTCCCAGCAACCAAGGCATTATGTTTGGCGAAAAAGGAAAAGCAACAGATTGATTCAAATACCACTGTCTGATATAACAGTTGGTCGCAGATTATATGAAATGGCAGATAGTGTGAAAAGTGAACTTAAATCATAATTCAAAAAGTAATTTTTTCATTCTTGAGTTGGGCCACTGATTGCAAAAATACGGTACACCGATTGCCAAAATACTGCACACTTAATTTGCTTTTGCAAAATATGAATACAAAAATGAAGTCGTTGAAAACTGTTTTCGAGGAATTACAAAGGACTGTGGATGGAGAAATCTTTAAACTGGTAAATTCTTACATCTCGGAAAACAATATTTTTGGGGAAATTGTGTGGGGATGTGCAGTGATGGAGCTCATGCCATGGTAGGAAAAACAGCGGACTTCTACCCCGAATCAAAGAAGTCTTTCCCGATGTAACATGGTTTCACTGTATGATTCATAGAGAAACTCTTTCCCTCCCCGTTTGTATCGAGGGGGGAGGAACACGCAAGCGAACTGGTCTGTCTTAGATATTGGTGTTAAAATAATAAATTACATGAAGTTGCGTCCTGTGACTCGGGGATTTTTTTCATGGGTTTTTAATTTTTCTCTTATAACTTCTTCGAAGCACGCTTCTGCGTCGTAGCCAATCACTGTTCTTAAACTTTTAATCATTTATGTATTCAGCCCAGGAGTGTTGATTTGTAGAATTTCATCTGAGTTCAATGTTGCAGTAGATACACTGCTAAGGGGGGGGGGAATGGAACAGTTCTGTATCCTCCGTTCTACTGGGCCGATTCACGAAATTCAACTTGCATTTTTCATGTCTCGAAAGCGCGACTTAGGATATATATTAGATTTATATATAGCAGCATTCTAACACAGGTATTTTGAGACAAAATTGGACTATTTCTGAAATGACATACCAATTTTTTTCCATATTTCGAATCAAAGAAGTCTTTTCCGATGTAACGTGGTTTCACTTAAGATAAATTTAAGGCATGTCGTTTCAGAAAAAGTCCGATTTTGTGTCAAAATACCTATGTTAGAATGATGATGATTTATAATTAGAAAACTTTCCATATGCCATCTCCAAGAAACACATATTCAATTTAAAACCACGAATGAAAGAAAATTTTTATTTAGAATTTAAATTAATATTTTAAATATAATTTCAATCTCCTTGTTTAAAAAACCGTTAAGAAAAATCTTTTAATCTCAAAAGTACCAAAACCAAAAGTTAATACTTATTTTTGGTTTTGGTATCAAATTTACTTTTGGTTTAAAAACCAATAGTCAATACTTATTTTTGGTTTGGGTATCAAATTTACTTTTGGTTTTGGTTTTTTTGAGATTAAAGATTTTTCTTAACGGTTTTCTTAAACAAGGATATCGAAATTATTTTTAAAATACTAATTTAAATTCTGAATTTTTTTTTTTTTTTTCATGGTTTTAAATTGAATTTGTGTTCCTTGGAGATGGTATATTGAAAGTTTTCTTATTATGTTTTTATTGGTTTATTACTTTGCAGCTTGAGCGCAAGTTTTAAATTTACTTTTAATTACTTTATTTAGAATGATGATGTATATACATCTAATATATATCCTAAGTCTTGCTTTCGAGACATGAAAAAAACGGAATTGGAATTTCGTCAGTTATCCCAGTTGAATTGGAGATACAGAACTGTCCTCCCCCACTTTTTTTCGCATTGTACATTTGTCCTCTTTTTCCTAGAGAGTAAATTAAAAATATGTCTTACAGAATTATAATAGGAAAATTCTCCATCTTATGTTCAATGTAATTCACTTACTAATTTGTTGAAATAAAAACTAACTTCTGATGACCTGACACAGACATATCGTACAAATATGATGAATATTCATTGCTGTGAAAGGATGTGATTAGGATTTTATATTTTATATATATTTGATTTTATAACAGCTTTGATCTTCAAAATGTTATACTAGTTTTGTATTTTTTAATAGTGTTACCGAATAGGCTTGATTTCTAGCCAATAGCTGTTTAATTTATTAATTGTGTGTCAGAAATATTAAAATTTCTTGTGCAGTTTTTCCAAATATGGCAACAATTTGTAACCAGCAATGATTTTAATCAATTCTTGCATAATGGAAATATGAACATCGTCTTAAGTTATGTTATATTTGAAAATATTCTCTGTTAGTCAGGAAAAACTTAATAAGCTTAATAAAGATTGTACATAGAAACGAATTCACACCCAGTTGTGCATAGAATGGAATTCACACCCAGGACTTCATCTTTGTTGTAGGCCTGGGTTAGAACAATGATCTACATGAGAATTTGCCTCCATTAATCCCAGTGAATAATTTGCCCTAATATCATTTTATATGAATAACTGTATTGTGAAAAAAGTAAACTCTCATCCAACATTTGTTATGAAACTATAGTTTATGTAAAGGCCTTTTATCTAATAGAAAGTGTTTAAGCATTTTTACTAATATCAGTTATGTAGTTCAGTGGCGGCCAACTTCTGTCTATGGAAAACCATTTAAAATACATGCTACATTGCAGGTTATGCATTCAATTTGGACAGCATTTTAGAGTGCATCCTTTAGTACCATAATATTATATACTGTATTTAGAAAGATAATTTGACTATTTCAAAACTATCTTTCTAAGCAGTTTTGCAGACAGAACAACACTGGGACCAAATGTAAAATCTAAGTATAATACTGCAAGTACTTGTGGAAAGAATCAACAAGAACATTAGTTATGAACTATAAGAAATCTGCAAATCCACTATATACATGTGCATTGTATATTATCTCAAAATGTAAGAAAATGCACATGCATAAAAAAATCTGAGGTCAATAATACTTGCGAATTTTGTTAATCTTTCTGTGGGCTGAAGAAAGGTCCCAGAAGGTCATAAGTGCCCTCCCTATAAGCTACCAGGTAAGCATAACTATATAAATCATATTTTACTAAAGAATAATACTTTAGATGTTGCTAAAACTGTGGTTTTGGTGGTCAGTCAGCAACACATACAATAGTGAAGAATAAATGTTACTTTATTTAATGTTTCTGGACTGTAACTAATTATATGCTAATAAAGTAAAAATATGTATATTTAATTAATGATTTTTTTTTCTTTTACAGGTTTACCACTGGCAGAGTCACCACATAAAGCATAGTGGTGTGGATGATATGGTTCTTTTGACAAAAATTACAGAACCTGCCATTGTTGAAAATTTGAAAAAAAGATACCTTGATGATCAAATATTTGTATCCTTTTCCTTACATTTCTTGTTGAAAACAATATTCCAAACAAAGTGCCTTTCCCTCTAAAATACATATGTATTAATGATTATTTTATGACCATTCTTTATTTTTAACCTCAAATGTACAATCGAGATTATGAGATATTGATATATGAATTATGATTGAGAAAGTTGAAGAAAAATAAGCATTATTTTCCTTGAAACATCTATTTTTATCCTAACAGCTTTATTATATTAATTAATCCTAATATATTTACTTTAATTTTAAACTCATATTTTAGTACAGCATCTTGAAAAATGTTGTTATTCTAATAACAGTAATTAGGTTAATGTGGATGGAGCTACTTTATTGATATAATTGTAGACTACTGCTCTTTCATTAGTAATGACTCCAGATCTTTTGTAGTAGTTTGCACAATATTCTTTACACATAGTAGAATATAGAGGCACAGAGAGTATATAGAAAATCGTTTGAATATTTCTATTTAAGAGCCATATATCATCAGTACATAACCTGACATAACATCATCCCATCAAAAGGAATTATCACTTCTGATTAAGTAGATCATAACAAAATATCAAGGGCATCATAGTATTAATATAAGTAGAACTTACCAGCACACAGTTTCAGTAATAGTTCAAGTAAACTTACTTAGAACTCACCACACTCCATAAGCAGATTGATCGCTAACATTAACGTTTTACTAGCAGACTTTCTTTGCTTTATCAAATCGTCTCCAGAGATCCACTCAAAACAGCTAGAGAAAGAATCTACTGTAGAAAGTGATGTGACACATCTGTAATCTAGTGTTGTTCTTTATATATTCCATACTTATATATTAGTATATGTGATATGTGAATTGGCTAATATGTGAATTGGCAGGTATGGAAAACTGCTGTCTTTGAAGAAAACATATTTATATGAATTTTTGAAGCATCTGAATGGTAGTCTGAATATATTTTCTTTATTTATCACTTTTATATGGCAGGTTGCATGTTTATTTTGCTTCTTTTCCTATGCATAAAATTAATGTAAGATAATGTCCCTTAAAAATCCTTATGAAGGTACTTCTTTTAAGACAGACTGCAGTTATGTTCTTTTCTGCAATCAGACTGTTTTATGTTTTTGTGATTTTGTTTTGTGTTTAATGTATAACTTAATATATATGTTGAAAATTACATTAAAAATTTAGTGTGTATATTTTATTAATTATTTTATTTATCTAACTCTTTAAAGATTTCTATTTTGAGCAGCATTCTTTCATTTCTATGTTTATAGCAATTTTGAACAGCTTTTTATAGTTAAATTTTTGTAATTGCATTTAAATTCCATGTTCGGAGTGAGAATTTACGAGCTTAGTAATTTTTAGCTATTTTTGCATTGCATCAATAAAGGTAACCAACCAAAAGGATTTCTGCAACTGTTCTATTGCAGTTAGTTTTATTGCATAGTTATTATTCATCATTTTTAATTTTGTTTTTTATAACAAGTAGTTCTTTCTTAAGAAGAGAGATGGTTTCTAATTATTGTTTAAGCACCTATCAAAGATGGGTTACAGTATGTATTGCTTTATTATTAGTTTGTATTTATTTATTATTATGAGTATGATTTAAAACATTTTAAATTGTAAGTTAAAGGAAACTAGTAATATGTATTCCTTTAGTATATACAATAAAGATAAAAGTTCAAATTGCTATAAATTATGTATATTAAATATTATATCTTTATTAACTACCTGTTAATGCAAATAATTTTATATAATGCTATATATAAATTGAAATATAGAATAGTTCCTAAAATCTATCTATCAGTCAATCAGTCTGTCCATCTGTGTATATATATTTTTTTAGAGAACTATTCTGTGATTTTTTTCCCAAGTAGAATATGCATCTGTGTAAAATGCAGGTTGTCTGTTAATTTAAGTGCAAAACCTCTTTTAAATCTGTTTATTAAAACATTGTCCTTAATGAGTCAAGACTTACATCGGGCCTGTGCTCATATCTGTTAATCCGTTCAAACAGATGCCATATTTTACTGAGCGGGAGGTTGAACAGTATCAAGGGGCTGTAAGTAACTTTTTGTATTTGTGTTTAATAAAAAGCTGACTTTTTTTTTTTTTTTTTTTTTTTTGTTTGTGTGTGTGTGTGTGTGTGTGTGTGTATTATGCTTAACTTCCATATGTCTCTTTTGGTTAAAAAACAATAGATAGGTGATTATTTTAAAGCATAATACATTATATATTTGTTTATACATATACCAAAGCTAAAAATGAAGCTGTAGATTTATTTATTCCTCACATTTGTATCTGTATGCAGTAATTTTGGTAAAAACTTGGAAAAAAAACTTTCTGTTGAAATACCATTATGCAATATTCTATGATGTGATATTTGAATTATTTCTGATGCTGTCATAGAAAGTTGTCATAAAAACATATCATTTGTTTTTCTGGCTATAATTTAAATTTTGTAGCACCTTTGACAGAGAGAAAGAAAGACCAGTATAAAAATTTTTCTGCAAAAAAAGAAAATTTGATGCTTGTATGCTCATAAATTAGAAGTATGAAACTGAAGCTGCTAATATGTGAATTTTATACTTGTTTTTGTATTGGTCAACAACTGTTAGACAATGATAGAAATATCGCTTCATAAGTAATAATTATGAAAATGTAAATTCTGAGCATGAACTTTTACTAATGATAATCAGCTAATGTGTTAGAGGATAGCAGAACTAGTGAATATTATTAAGCTGTTACACTCAATATTCTTGATGTTTTTAATATGAAAAAATTGTGCAGTAAGGTACTGTTAAAAGGAAACTTGATGGAAATGAGTAATGACTGAGGATTTCTCAAACAATATATATTATATAAAAGAAATTAATGTTTGTGATTATGGTAATTTGAATAAGATCTCTCCATAGATGATAAAATTTTAAAAAAAAAGGATTGCATTTAGGAAAACCTATGAAATTGGCAATTGTGGAGTTAAAAATTGAAAATTTGTTTGTTGTGTCTTTGATTTTCATAGAAGCATCAGCTTGAACTGTGCCTGAAAGACAAATGATAAGTGCCTTCTGCAGGGAAGGATAGTTCATATTCATAAAAGAATCTTAGATTAAGCAGGATTTTAATTGAAATAGGAAGCAGTTTTCTCGTCAAGTTAGTACTCCAGTTTAAATCCATCATTTTGCTGCACAAAATGATAATGACTATTTATCCTACTTGCCAGCTATTGCCAAAGAATCCCAAAATGCTTTCTTTTATTGGGTAAACTATATGATGATATATATCATTGACTAACGGTGTACCTTTTCCAGGCATTTGAAGAATGATGACAATATTTGTTATAATATTATAAAAGATTGTTTATGTTAGGTATCTGAGACTTTTGGAAATAAATAAAGATGCATGTTGAAAGAGAATGAATTTTTATTGAAAATTAAATCAACAAAATTTCCATTCTTAAGATATACTTTTGCTCATCTGGTTTATACTGGTATTTATGGGAACACATTTGTATAAATTCTCTCTTTTGTGTAGTAGCATTAAAAGGCTGATCAAGTCTCTTTAGTTAAGAAGAATAAATTAAAATTTTTCTATACGAAAATCGATTTTTTTATTGTACTATTTATTTATTTATTGTATAAATTTTAAAGTTCTGCGCAAAAATATGGAAATTGATAATTTTAGATTTCTCTTTGGTGCTATTTTATAAACTGATACAACAGTCACCAGTGGGTTTAATTATATCTTAAAAAATTCATATAAATAAATAAAATAAAAACTTAGCTGTTGCATTATTTAATTATTTATATGAATATTCATTTACAAAATCTGCCCTGTAATACTTTCTGTTGAAATATATATTTTTTCTGTAATAGTGTACCCCTATATTATAAAAGTTCTTAATGAATCTGCTTAATAAGCTGTCAGAATACTTTAGCTTAAATTTGTTTGTATTTGTTTTTGAATTTAATGTTTTGATGTATACTTTTTTAAGGCATCATACGAAAACCCTCCTCATATTTATGCTTTGTCTGACAATATGTACCGCAACATGCTTATTGACAATGAAAATCAATGTGTGATTATCAGGTGATGCTTTTTATCTTTATTTCATTTCCATGCTTAACATTTTATATATAAATTGTCTTATTTTAAATTCTATGTATGTAATTGTCGGATTAATTTTTTTAAATTAATGTCTGTTGTTAAGACTTACCGTATTTGATGGCATATAAGACGCACCCTTATTTAGAAGGCCCGCAATAACTTAAAAGGTGGTTAATTTTAGTTCTCACGTTTCATAAAAGTCAAATAAACAATTATTGAATGCAGTCACCAAACACATTTTTATTAAGGAAAATTAACAAACAGCAAGCTATTTTGAACATGATATGTAAATTTCAATAATGAATAAATGAATGAACAGCAAGCAATCAAACATAATACAAAATAAAGCAGAAACAACAAAAAACACAGATTCAAGGAAAACATTGCTATCATGAAATTAGACTTTAATCACTTTCAAAACCATAAAAATCCTTTTTACTATCATCATCATTGAAAACGAGAATATCGTCATCACTACTCTTTCCATCATCGCTAGTGTCACCTTCTTTGAATAATGGTTGGATGGTACATCAGATGTGAGTGGAATTTCCTCCATATTTCCTATTTGACCGAGCTCAAAAGAAGTTTTCTTGCGTGCATTTATAACAAACCTATAAAATGCTAGTATTTTTTCTTCATAGTCTGCTGGCATTTTCTGTGCAATAGTTTTTTTGTGCTCATTGATAAGCCTTGCCTTTTCATGAACCTGTAGCACCAACCCTCAGACCCTGAAAAGTTCTGATTCCCATGTTCTTCTGCAAATTCTTTAGTTTCATTGATTATCATTTTAGTTGAAACATGTATCCCAGATTTCCTCTAATCTATCACCCACATTTTTACGGCATTTTCAAGTTCAAGCCAAGATGGAGCTGAGCATCGAAGGTTATGTTTTTGCTTTTTAGCAGTTTCAGTTGATCTTCCTGCAGTCGCCAAGTATGTATCTGCAGCTGATGTATAAATTTGTTATAACTTCAGAACAATGATTTTAAAACAAATTGTATTCAGTAAGTTTCAGAGGAAAGGGTTTATTTCAAAAATCCATTGAATAATTACTAGTAACTTCTTTACTTCAAAAATAATAATTATTATTATTATTTTAATGAAAAGTTTAAGTAATCGTTAAGGGTTAAATTGTGGTATTCAAAATAACCAAAAAGGCTAGCTATGAGTTTTTCCCGCTTTTCTTTAAATATTGAATTTGGGATGTATATTATCAATTAGATGGTTTTTTTAAATAAGGTTGAAAATTTATGAGAAGGATGTCAATATTGTGTGTGAAATGATTCTGTAAAAATAAAATCATAATTTTTTTATGTAGTCCCTGTAGAACAAAATTTCCTATTAATAAAATGTTCATTGTGCTTTAGTAAGTTGAAAATTAAAGGTTCTACACTTAATGTAATAGTTAAGTCCTTTTAAAAGACCAACTACATTTTCAACAATGAAGCTAGAATGATAAAATCATATGCAGTTTATCCTACAGAGTGAGTGAAAATTCTTTAGGATTCTGTCAAAGTTTTTCTGCCTTTGCATTACCTATCTCAGCTTTTAGTATTACTGAAGAATTCTTTTCCCAACACCTCAAAAATACAAGTCATTTATCTTAAATATTGAATGCCAAAATTATTATGCAAAATTATGTGTTTTAACTATTAGAAGATTTTATCTTGTTTATAACTTACATATGTTCATGGTAAATAGCATAGATTAGAAAGATATTGCTTTTTCAAACAATAAAATTTTCTATGTATTGAAAAATAAGTGCATTTTTAATGTGATTTATGTCTTTTATCTTATTAAGTCTTTTATCTTGCAGTGGAGAAAGTGGGGCTGGAAAAACTGTTGCAGCCAAATATATTATGTCTTACATTTCTCAAGTGTCAGGTGGTGGATCTCGAGTTCAGGTGTGTATTATTGATTGTTAAATGGAAGTGTATGTTCCCAGACCTTAACTATAACTGTTTCTCTTTTTTCAGTTGCAGTTATAATGTCTTTTAAGCAGTTTTCTTGTGATATTTATGTTTTCTTGATCAGTTTTGTTTGCAGCTGTGAAAAAATGGTGGTGGTGGTTTATTTATGCATATGCATGCATGTGTTTTATATCATGATATAATATTTTGTGTCATTAATAAGATTCTGTGTATAATTTTGCTTATGTGCTTTCATTTACAAGATAGTATTTCATTTAAAAAAAAATGCTTTATGTTTCATGCTAATATCTTCAAAATAAGTTTCCCATTATCTGAGATGTTATTCACAGCATTTTTGGCTTCCTAAGTGATCAGTAATTGGTGCTTTGCATACGTTAAATCTATTAATAATTCAAAACAAGATGCTTTTGTTAATGCTTAGGGATGTCAAAAATATCCTGTGATTAAATATCTCTTGAACAGCTGGAAATAATACCATGATGCTTATTTGACAAAGGACTCATAAGTAACTCTCAAACTGTAGTTTTGATCACACTAAAAATATGAACAATATGAGTGTTTTATTTGGGTTGAAAAAAAAAAAAGTTGTTGTTGTAGGTGGTCAGAGTTATGCCCATTTCCTTCTTGTGTCAATCCCACATGTTACAGAACTGTTTTTTCATTTAAAAACTTTTGGTAAGATAAGGAACAATTAATTACACTGATGCAGAAGTCATCAAAATCGAAACAAAATGAGAATAAAGGAATGAGATGCGTGGAGACTAGTTACCCATTCTTTGCAATACTTTTCTATTTCATAGTTGAAATCCACCTATGCGGATTTGGTACTCTTTTGATGTCTTTCTTTCTGCCTAAACTTTTCTGCGCTTAGCTTAAACCATCTTAACAATAAATTCTTTACGTGTTCATAGTCTTTAGTTTTATCAGAGGGTTTTCTAGCTATTAACTGTGTTACTTCATAAGGAAGTAGTCCTAGTAAATGAGATACAAGTTCTTCTTTTGAAAATTTGAGCCCATTCTGCTTGCCTTTCAAACAATAGCAAATATAAACTGATATCTCCTTTCTTGTCATCGAATTTCTGCATAAGGTGATGCAGCTCTGTTTTCAGCCGGACCTGTCCGGCAGTTTGAGACTTTGTCTCTGCTTCAAGTCTTAATCTCTCTAATTCATACTGTTCTTTCCTTCACAGCTCTTCTGCTTCTTCCTGTCTCCTATGTTCTTCACTCTCCGTTCTTCTTTTTCCCTTTCCGTTCTATTATTGTATCTAAGACTCCTTTGACAAATACTTCATCATAATCTCTGCTGTCAACAATTTTCTGTTTTAAGTCAACTATTTTCAAATCTTCAGTCACAAAACACCCAATTCAGCCACGAGATTTTACAAATCTTCCTTTTGAGCTCTTCCTAAGTAAAACATTGTTTCTGTGTTTAAAATTAACGAACACTGTGTTCTTTATACTTCCTCAAAATAGCTCAAATCAATTACTTTAATTAATGCAGTCAAGAAACACTGAATTAACCCTTTCAGGACAGGCGTCCCATACGCATTCCCTAAGAACGTCTCTTACAGCCGGCGTCCCATCCACGCATCGCTAGAGATTGCATTCAGAGGACGGGTGATGCGTATGCACATTTTAAGCTGGAACGTTTTTCTGAAGGCCACTAGATGGCATCCTATGTCCATTACTTTTGAAATGAACACAGTTTTAAGTTCCTGACCTTGACTTTGGTATTTTACTCATCAGCTCTTGCGAGGGTGGGGGGAGGGAAAACGTAAACAGAGGTGAGCTCTTTAAATACGTTTTGCATTGCCCTTCAGATATATTTCCGTTTCTGCTCTTTTTATTTCCGAAAGCCTCACCTCCAGTCTATTATAGCGGAAAGGCGCTATTTATCAGAGGAAGAATACCCTTGTATGGTCAATGAACCATTTAATCAACGCAGATGAGAGTGATGATTCATTTTCTAAAGAGTTAGAAAGTGATGCTTTTTCTAAGAGTTAGAAAGTTATACTTCTCCGTACTTCGAGATTTACCACAGTCTTCATTTTAAATTTTGTTACTTCTTACTGTAAATAGTCTTTATTGTGTTTTTTTATTAATTCAAAAACTTTATTGATGGATTTTATCCATTAAAACTTTGGAATAATTTTAATTGCGCTTCCGAAAATTATTTTACAAGACAAGCAATTTTTTAAGTTTATTTTCATGTAAAATAAAGAAAAAAACCTTATGTGCTAATTTTAACATATATAAAAGCTCAAGTAATAATCTAAAAGAATACAAAAAATTATGATACTAGAAGCGAAACTTTTTTTTTCTGATCTTTTTTTATAAAATTAAGTTTAGTGATGCAAAACCTCTGTCCTGTACGGTGACTGCCTTCGATTCCCTTCCATCCCGCACAAGCGTCTTAAACAAAGGTGCGCCGTCGTGAAAAGGTTAAATGCACTCTGTTAAATACGTAAACCTCAAAAATAAAGTATTTAAATTATATGAAGTTCATACTCTCTACCACATTATTTATGACTAAAATAAAAATAACAACATAGTGCAATATATAGGTCTTCTGTTTGGACAACTAAAATGAATATTAAAAATAATATCCAATACAGTAATAAAATAAGACAATTCAATATTAACAGGAAATAATAACCTGGTATCACTAATATTGCATTCATTGATGAACTAATAACATAAGGAAATTCAATATTAACATGAAGTAATAATCTGGTATCACTAATATTACATTCAGTGATGAACTAATAAAATAAAGCAATTCAATATTAATAGGAAGTAATAATCTAGTATCACTTATATTATGTTCAGTGATGAACTAATAAAATAAAATACACACGATTATTCCATGTTGGCCGGTGCCTCCAAAATAATGAAGACTGTGATACTTCTTTCGCACATACAAATAAGAAGAGAAAACACATATATACTTATTTAAAATAAAATAATTACATGCTTCGTGCAAGAACCACATGCCTCAAGCCTGTGTTTCAATATTGCCAGTAACCTGTACATTATTATTCATCTGTTTCAAATGCGCAAGAGATCATTAACAATATTAAAGCTGTTACACTGTATATGTCAGAAAAAATGGTTTCATCGGTGGGAAATTCAGAGAACATAAACAGGGATGCATCTCTATCCTTTTCATGCATGAGAATCTGTAAAAAGGCTTATTTTATGTCTGTGGTGAAAGCTATTAGATTGCACCTAAATCTCAACAAGATTTAAAATATTTTTTGAATATATATCTGACCCAACATGTAGACAGTCGGAACCTGAGGTATGTGAAGACGCATCATAAACAATATCTAATTTACTCCTAGGTTGGCCTTTGTATATAACTTCCATGTGGGGGTAAATAATTTATATGGGGGCATCATCTTCATTTGAAACATCTGTGACTGATTCAATAATATTTTGCTTCAATCAATCCTCTAACACTTTTCGGTATTGGAAAAAATAGATTAGGATTTTTTTCAAATGGTTTTCTAATTCGATTGAATTTTTGTTTCGTGACTTCCCTATTATCATTTAGATTTGATGTATTGCATTTCCAAGGCAATCTAACTGTATATTGAGAATTATTGTACATTATATTTGATTTGAAATTTTTGTTGACTTCATTTTCAAATGAAGTTTTTCTTCTTATCAAGAAGTCCTGAATTATCAAAGTCTCCAAATTTTGTTGCTTGTTCCAAAATAAAATCTTCAATAACAACTGTATTGAAAGTTAAAGAGGTGTTAGATTTTTGGTCCTTAAAAGTCCTTAATTTAAGCCAAAACCAACAAAAGGTCCTTAATTTTACTTATCTGACATTTCTGTCTGTTTTTTTTTTTATAACTGCCATTTTAGTGTGAAATAACATTTTGGAGGAATATTTTTTGGTGATGCATTGATAAATTTGTATTTAATGGGTTAACATTTGAATTCTTTCCTTTAATATTAATAGTAGATACTCGAGTTTTAAGCCCAACATTCCCTCTTTTGAAACATAAACATTTCGAAATAATTTCTTTAATTCGAAATAATTTTCTTGCTAATAAAGATTTCATAAAATAGTACATCAGATACAACTTGTCCCTTTTTTGAATATGAGTGCTTTTATTATATGGAGTTAAATTTAGCATTTTATCAATATTTTGGCGATTTCAAGATCAGTTTTTGTACATTTTTTATTTGGAGGTTTGCGAAATTTTGGCAATTTCTTTTACAAGCATAATAACATAATAACATCGATAAATATCATAAAAATAGTTATATAATATTATAATTAAGAAATAAGATTAAAATAAAATGTTTTTATTTTTCTCCCACGATATTTTAAACTGATAATGTTGTTGACTTTGGAATATTTTCATTTTGAAAACTAAACAAGGTAGAGAGCAAACAAATCCTATAGAGTAGAATTTCTAAAACATTTCTTAGAAAAAACAAAAAGTTACTGCAGTTATTTAAAAATTAATTTCATTTGTCTTCTTTTATATTTTTGCATAATAAGAGTTTTTCCTTGTGTATTTATTTTAGAATATTTAAATGTGCACCAGTTTTTCTCTTCAAATTCATTTTATAATGTTTTCTGAATTTTTTCTTAAAATCTTCTCGCTCTTGCTGAGTTGGTAGGGATCTTTCAAATTTTTTAATTTGCAGCTTAGAAGGCATAAAGGCAAGATTTATAGATTATTATTTTAAAAGCAAGATTTATAGGCCTATAGTTTCCAGAAATTATGTGATGAAATTGAAAATATCTTCATTGTATTAACACCTAATGGACATGTTTTATGGGAAATTTGTGATGAATTTCTTATCTTGGAGAATTTTTAAAAGAACAGTAAAAACAAAATTATTTCAATTTCTGCTTTCTTCTTTTGAATTAATCTTTTTTTGGGGGGAGGGGGAGGGGTTTTCAGAAAGTATAGACAGTCAATTTTTTTTTTTACAACTTCAAGGTTTAATTTGTTGGCTAACTCGCGAGTACAAAATCTTTTTAAGAGAGGTCTAGCAAACTCTTTTTCCTTAGCTGTTGTTACTTTTATTATCATGCAAATCTGTAAAATGTTGTAGTATTAAGTTATTTACACTACGAAATGGATGAAATGATTTCATCATTCTATTGTTTAATTTGAAACTGATAAAATATTTTTTTTTATCGGTCACTGTATTTTTAACTATCAAACTGGACATAAAACCTGAAAAGCACCTGCTGCATCAAAATTTCTCTTTTTTTTATTTACCTGTAAACATTGTACAGGTTTCTGAGTCATGATTTTGTGAAAAAAAAGTGTAGTTTCTATTTGATGTGGCGATAAATTCACATACTGTTACAGCTTGTTATGTTTCACCACTGGCAGATGTCTGTTAATACTCTTCATTTCTGCCTTTAGCTTGCGTGAAGAAGATAATTAATTTTCTCTCATTATTCTATTTCTAATTTTAAAAAGTATAGAAATTTGTTTAAACAGAAGTTGGAGAATTTCCATTATTCGTATGATGAAATTCAAAGGTTATATCTTTGGAAACATTATAATTCGGATAAACGATTAATATATTTCTAGTTTCACATCAAATGCTAAAATTCTTTAATTTGAATATTAATTGTATCATAAACTATTTGCATTTTTGTCACTTTAATTGAATTTTGAATAGAATTTAAATTTAAGAAATTAGAGATTTGCCTAATGATAATTTAGTCATTTTGATTGAATCTATTTATAACAGTGTCTATGGCCTAATCATAATTAGCCTCTGAAATTGAGAGACAACCTTTGATAGCCAATGCTTTTCCACAATAGGTTTTCCTATCGTGCTTTTCCACAAAAGGTTTTTCAAATAATCAAAATTTTCGATTCCATAAACATTATCATGAATCATAACTTTGAATTAATTCGAAAAATTCATCTAATCGGTATAGTCCTCATAAAATTTGGCAATAAACATTTTGGGTTATTTACGTCACCATCAATATGTCTTTTTCTTTCATCTTCCCTAGAATGATAAATGATTTACATGCACATTTACACTTTGAATATTGGATTTCTTTAATCCTTTGAGCAGCATGACTGGCTTTATCCAATCATGAAATTTTTTGTAACTTGCTATATATTTGCTTATAATTTAAGATATATTGCTCTCTTAATAATGTAAATGTCATCTTAATGAATGTAAGTTTATGAAAATAAAGAAAATAAAGAATAATTATATAAATTTAGCTGATAAATTCTGTTTAAATGCAGGTCTTCATGACAGATCCCAAGAATCACGCCGCTCAGAGTGTTAAATAACGGTTGATTTTAGACTTTGTTAGTATTATTTTATCAATATATTCCATAGAAGTTTTAATATCTAACTCTAATTTTAAGTCATCTTCAATCAAATTTCTAACTTCTCTTATTTTTCTTCTAAATATTCATATACATTTTAAATAATTTGCATTACACAAGCACATAGATGTGCTCAATTTTTATTTAACATCTTTTGTTCCATTTTTGTAAATTATTAAAAAAGAACTGAGCAGTCAGTGCACAAAGTGCTAAATCCAAAAGTGAAAAACACAAATTTACAATTATTAATTAGATTCTTGATGGCCAAATGAACCATGTTGCAAACATCATTGAAATCAAAACAAAACAAGAATCAAAGAACGCGGTTCATGGAATGGAGGGTTTTCCATCTTTTAATTAAAACTTAAATGATTATATAGTACAAAGTCCGTAATCCGGACTCATCGGAACTTCAGCGATTCTGGATTAGGGTTTTTTTTCCGGATTATAAATCATCAATTTAAATCTGGTAAGATGGCATGCAGAAATTATAAAATTAAAAATATGAAAGTGTAATTTATGAAATAAAGAGCAATTATGATCTAAAGGGTGTCAAAATTTACAAAAAAAAAAAAAAAGCTTCATATTTATTTGTTTGCTTTATTAAACGTTTATTTTGTAGTAGCTTTGAGGTCCGGATTATAGACTTTGTACTGTATATACTATATACATAAGGTAGGCTAAAAGCTTAAATCCGATAGCAGAAATAAAAAAAAAAAAAAAAAATGAAAACTCGATAGTTCCATCAAATATTTTGAACATATTACTACATACTACAGTCCTCGACTATTTCTAACATACTACACTCTACATATTATATTGCATGCTGCAATTCGAATTCTAAAACAACAACAAAACAAAACAAAAACAAAAAAAAACTCATATGTCCAGAAGGGGAGGTGTTAAGTAATCAAATAGATGGATTTGTAATCCATCTTTTAGCAACATTAATAAATATTTCTCAACATTTTAAAATCAAGGACAGCATATTCTTTAACTTGCAATTAATTTTAGAGAAGAGAGAGTGCCCTAGATCATTTCCACTGACTGATGCATTCTGTTTATTACATTGGATGACATGTTGATTAGCTTCCTAAGTAGGTTCTGCTTTGAATCTCAAAGAAGACAGTATTTTATAACATTTTAGCATTTAGCGTTTTGCTTTTCTTATAAATTCATTTCTAAATTCATGTTTTTTAGAGAAAATAATGTGTTGGGTTTCAAAGCTTATATTGGCATGTTTTATTTCAGAAAATTAAAGAAATCATTTTAGAATCTAATCCTTTATTAGAAGCTTTTGGAAATGCCAAGACTGTACGGAACAATAACTCATCACGATTTGTAAGTAATGCTGTTATATGCGATATTTTGTTCTGGTATTGGAAATTTCATGTTTTCTGTAATTTAATATTTTTTCCTATCTAATCAGGGAAAATATATTGAAATACAGTTTAGCAAAGGTGGAGAGCCAGAAGGTGGCAAAGTTTCAAATTTTCTTCTTGAAAAGGTAATTTTCCAAGCTTATTAGAATTTTTTTCAAAAATTATTCATGAATAAAAATTTCAAAACATGAATCTTTGATGACTGCAAGATTCCTTATGGTATCCATTTATACATGCTATATTTTGCATGTATATATGTCGTGACTGTCATTATTATAAAGCTAAAACTGCTCTTTTGAGCTATTACTATTAACTTATAGTATAATATGTATAAAATCCATATTTATATTGTTTTCCAACATGTTTTTTAGAGAATTATTGCTCATATTAAAAACAATCAGTTTTTTCCAATGTGAAGTAGAATTTAATAAAAATTAAATTCCAGAATATGTAACCAATTTTAGAATATCAAATAGTGTTACTTAAGAATAACATTGACTTAATTGACTGTATGTAAAATATTTTTATTAGCATGTTATTATTATTGTACTAAATTATTACTTTATTAATATACCGGACATACAAATTTTATAAAAATAAATATATATATTTCATAATTGCAAAACAATTTTTTTTAAAAAACATAATATAATCATGTCTAGTATTTTTCACACATTAAGCTGCTGAAAAATTATCAGTAAAAACATAAAGTAAGAAATTTAGAAACAATTTTTCACAAAGACCGAGTAATAAATTTGAAATAATCTTATAAAGGCAAAAAAGAATTTAATAAATGTTAAAACCAAAAAATTTCAAGCAAACAATACCCCAATTTAAAAAAAATCAATGAAATTTAAAGAAAAGAGAATTTAAAGAAAATGAAATTTAAAGAAATAGAAGAGGAAATCAATCAACTTCAGTGCAACTTCGTCGGGAGGAGGAACACCGAAATCAGTTGAAATCTCTCTTCCATAAAAGTCCTTGCTTTTCTGCATCCAGAATTAGCTGATGAACTTTCAGTGTATTTTAATTATAATATTTCACCCAAAAATTCTGGCCCTCCATCTTCAAAGCAAGGTAGAAAACAATGTAAATTCTAATCAAAACTTTTTACCTTTAAATAAAGAGAGAATTGAAAATATAAGTGAAATAGTAAAATACTGTATTAAAAGATTCAAATCAAAATTTTACCTTTAAATAAAGAGAACATTATCCAAAGAACTGAAAACATAAGTGAAAAGACTTAATCTAAATGGAATTGAAATAAAAGCCCACAAGAAATAATTAAAACTTTCAAGTACTTTCAATTAGAACACAGCCGAAACTACGTAAAAGATTGTTACATTTAGGTTTGCCATTGGAGAAACTAAAATTTGAATTTTAGATTTTTTAATTTTTGTAAAAACTCATCGTTCATTATTTCAAATAATTTGAACAAAGTGCATGAACCATATTTGGTGTTATTATCACTTTTAACAAATATGCTAAATTTCAAATGTGCCAATATGTAAAATCACATATATCTTTGGAAATTTTGAATAAAAAAAACTCCAGTTTTTTGCAGGTGTACTTAAAAATACATCTACTTTAAGATGATGGTAAAAATTTTAAAAGCTTACAATTCAAAATTTTTTTCAAAAAATTTATAAAAATTATATTAGAATACAAAATTTTAAAATAAATCATAAAAAATGCATGAATTTCTATTTGTCATGAAACTAAATTTCAAATTCTGGAAGTAAGTATCAAGTAAGTTTATTTAAAAAAAAAAAGACGTATTAATAAATGTACATCAAATTCAATTAACATTGAGGAGATAAAATTTTGAGAGCTCATTTTTTAAAAATCTACTCATGCGATTTTTACAAAAATTGGCAGTTTGGCATAATTTGAGTTATAGAATCGAAATATGGAACAAAATTGGCATGTCATTTCAGAAAAGTCCGATTTTGTGCCAAAATACCTATATTAGAACAATGCTATATGTAAATCTAATAAATATCCTTTGTCCCGCTTTCGAGACTTGAAAAACACAAGTTGAATTTCGTCAGTTGGTCCAGTGAAATGTGAGTTTTTTTTTTTTTTTTCACTGTGTACATCTATCTCATTTTTGTTTTTTCGCAGTGTACATACATATATGCAAACATGCATGTATTTATACATTTTTTTATCTGGTCCCGATAACAGAACCGTACCAAGAATTTTAATCATTGCATCTATCATTGATATATTTTAAAAGATAAAAGATTCAAGATAAATTCTACTAATTTTTGATTCTGCATTATACATAAAGGCAGTGAGCGACTGAACGTTTTAATTTGTACAAAAGTTTTAGCTGAGAGCTATTTTTCCAGTAATGTTAATAAATGGCACTTTAAATATTGTTATAGTGAAACCTGGGATTTTGAATGCCTCATTTCACAAACAATTCAGACTATGAACAAATTATCTGAGCAAAAAACACCTCGAGTGATGATTAGTGAACACTGAATAAACACTGAAGTCAACAAGTTAAGATTTTCAAAGCTGTTTTGAAGTAACAGTTTCCTTGTCTGTACCATGTGCCTTCATAGTGCCAATATGTAAAATCACATATATCTTTGGAAATTTTGAATAAAAAAAAACTCCAGTTTTTTTGCAGGTGTACTTAAAAATACATCTACTTTAAGATGATGGTAAAAATTTTAAAGCTTACAATTCAAAAATTTTTTTCAAAAAATTTATAAAAATTATATTAGAATACAAAATTTTAAAATAAATCATAAAAAATGCATGAATTCTATTTGTCATGAAACTAAATTTCAAATTCTGGAAGTAAGTATCAAGTAAGTTTATTTTAAAAAAAAAAAGACGTATTAATAAATGTACATCAAATTCAATTAACATTGAGGAGATAAAATTTTGAGAGCTCATTTTTTAAAATCTACTCATGCGATTTTTACAAAAATTGGCAGTTTTGGCATAATTTGAGTTATAGAATCGAAATATGGAACAAAATTGGCATGTCATTTCAGAAAAGTCCGATTTTGTGCCAAAATACCTATATTAGAACAATGCTATATGTAAATCTAATAAATATCCTTTGTCCCGCTTTCGAGACTTGAAAAACACAAGTTGAATTTCGTCAGTTGGTCCAGTGAAATGTGAGTTTTTTTTTTTTTTTTTTCACTGTGTACATCTATCTCATTTTTGTTTTGCGCAGTGTACATACATATATGCAAACATGCATGTATTTATACATTTTTTTATCTGGTCCCGATAACAGAACCGTACCAAGAATTTTAATCATTGCATCTATCATTGATATATTTTAAAAGATAAAAGATTCAAGATAAATTCTACTAATTTTTGATTCTGCATTATACATAAAGGCAGTGAGCGACTGAACGTTTTAATTTGTACAAAAGTTTTAGCTGAGAGCTATTTTTCCAGTAATGTTAATAAATGGCACTTTAAATATTGTTATAGTGAAACCTGGGATTTTGAATGCCTCATTTCACAAACAATTCAGACTATGAACAAATTATCTGAGCAAAAAACACCTCGAGTGATGATTAGTGAACACTGAATAAACACTGAAGTCAACAAGTTAAGATTTTCAAAGCTGTTTTGAAGTAACAGTTTCCTTGTCTGTACCATGTGCCTTCATAGTGCCAATATGTAAAATCACATATATCTTTGGAAATTTTGAATAAAAAAAACTCCAGTTTTTTGCAGGTGTACTTAAAAATACATCTACTTTAAGATGATGGTAAAAATTTTAAAGCTTACAATTCAAAAATTTTTTCAAAAAATTTATAAAAATTATATTAGAATACAAAATTTTAAAATAAATCATAAAAAATGCATGAATTCTATTTGTCATGAAACTAAATTTCAAATTCTGGAAGTAAGTATCAAGTAAGTTTATTTTAAAAAAAAAAAGACGTATTAATAAATGTACATCAAATTCAATTAACATTGAGGAGATAAAATTTTGAGAGCTCATTTTTTAAAATCTACTCATGCGATTTTTACAAAAATTGGCAGTTTGGCATAATTTGAGTTATAGAATCGAAATATGGAACAAAATTGGCATGTCATTTCAGAAAAGTCCGATTTTGTGCCAAAATACCTATATTAGAACAATGCTATATGTAAATCTAATAAATATCCTTTGTCCCGCTTTCGAGACTTGAAAAACACAAGTTGAATTTCGTCAGTTGGTCCAGTGAAATGTGAGTTTTTTTTTTTTTTTTTTCACTGTGTACATCTATCTCATTTTTGTTTTGCGCAGTGTACATACATATATGCAAACATGCATGTATTTATACATTTTTTTATCTGGTCCCGATAACAGAACCGTACCAAGAATTTTAATCATTGCATCTATCATTGATATATTTTAAAAGATAAAAGATTCAAGATAAATTCTACTAATTTTTGATTCTGCATTATACATAAAGGCAGTGAGCGACTGAACGTTTTAATTTGTACAAAAGTTTTAGCTGAGAGCTATTTTTCCAGTAATGTTAATAAATGGCACTTTAAATATTGTTATAGTGAAACCTGGGATTTTGAATGCCTCATTTCACAAACAATTCAGACTATGAACAAATTATCTGAGCAAAAAACACCTCGAGTGATGATTAGTGAACACTGAATAAACACTGAAGTCAACAAGTTAAGATTTTCAAAGCTGTTTTGAAGTAACAGTTTCCTTGTCTGTACCATGTGCCTTCATAGTGTAATTGGAAGCATGTTCAACTAGCAACTTCAAATTCCAGAATTTGAACCCTTGTCTTCTCCCCCCCCAATGGCAGTTCTTTTACATTTTCTACATTGGCCTCTCCTAAGGATGGAAGAAGTGGTGGCCATTTTATTACAGAAGCAGCTAATAGGCGGCCACCATTACCTCCTATGAAGGGGACGGACAGTTACAACCATGCCTTCTCCGGGATTCGAACACAGGCAGGTGGCTTCCCTAACCACTGTACCATCTGGGTGGCTCAAACCCCAATGTAGGCACTGCGGATTATCTCACTTTTCGTGCTCTAAAAATTTCAGATGACTCTACAAGTGGCATCAAAACTAAAATGATAATTTTCTTCTTTAAATAGGGAAGAATATAAAAAATTAATTTGAAGCACTAGCAATTGAAAGGTCCAGCATTCAAATCCCTATGAAGCTATTATTGGCTCTTTGTGTTTCATGTTCTGATAAAATACCTAATAACTGCCCAATCTTTATGACAGAATTAATGTTCAGGGACTAGCTTATGAGTATGTACTTACTGCTAAGCTAGAATGTAACTGAAACTGTATTTTAATATTTTCTGTTGCTTTCCTCTCATTAACAAAGTCTAGCAATGACTTACAAGACCATGAATTTAGTTTGGAAGACAGTATGGCCAGATTGTACAGCAGACTTTGAAGACTTTTGACATTTTAATTTTTCTTTCTTTCTTTCTTTCTTCTTTTTTCTTTAAAAAAAAAAAAAAATTCATGATGTTATGTTTTTAAGATTGACTTAGAAATTAACAATGAATAAAGGAAGGAATTACCAAAGGACCATAAAAATACACTGAAGAAACAAGAACTGCGACAATGAAGTTGTGGTAACAAAAAGCAATTGGAAAAGATATGTTTTCATAGGAAAAGGAGGAAGAAAAGATAATCCTACGTCAGCCTGCAAAATAGAACAGTGTGCAAATTTTTCACTTAATGGTATTATTCTGGTAGAGCAATAGCAAGCTACAGTATATGCAATTTCGATGATAATGCTATATCTTACTTTAGAAACATTTTTAAACATTGACAACAAGAAACAAATTTTGAGAAATATGGAGGCAGAGTCTCTAGTAGGGTCAGAGAAAAATGTCCCAGAAAGGCAGTTCTACCTGATATTTTCATTGAAAGAGACTCCTTATTTGGTCAGAAATTTTTTTTTTTTTTTCTTTCTTTCTTTTTCTATTTGCTTTCCACGTACACTGTTCATTCCCCCCTTCATATAGTAAAGTATATTTTTGTCTTTTTGATTTACAGTGTTATGGATTTCGTATTTAAATAGCTAATGTTAGTTGAATTATAAATTAAATGGTTTTATTCCCCACGCAGTGCAGCGCGAGATGAATATTAAAGCAAAGCTAAGCTGGGAAATTAAATATACAAGAGCATGTGCATTTAACATTTAATAAATAAATATCTCTTTTTGATTTCGAGAAAGTGCTAGAAAATTCTCTCGCATTTAGAAAGCTTATATAAGTGACATGAAAACCTCTCAGTTCTGTATTGTAGTTAGTTTGTTGTTGTTTTAAGAGTTTGCTTAGAAAACTGCTCTTGTTGACTGTAGCGAATTCGCGGATTAGCTTTCTTTAGTTGGTTTGAATTAAGTTATCTTGAATGTTTAAGTAGTGAAAAAATAACTACTGTGAGATATTGTAATATTGCATGAATATCTGAGAATATCTGAATATCTATTGTGTTTTATTTATTTGTGATAATAATAAATCTTATTCATTTTTCATCGGACTTGTGCAATCAATTCCAAACAAACCTGTTCACACAAAACAGTTTTTGGTGTCGGGAATGGGATGAATTTTTTCTATCTTTGCTTTTTAATCTGAAGTATTCACCATTAATAAGGCAGTTTGCCGCTTGCTTTGCTTTGTACACTTTAAATCGATCAAAGTCATTCATTTTTGTTTTCAACTGTCTAGCAGCCATTTTCTTAGCTGTGGATGTCTCATTCCATTTTTCTGTAATAGTCTCTGCTTCCCATGCTTTTCGTACAACTCTAGAGGAAGTACTGTGAGGAAATTTTAGTCTGAGCTTGGTTAAACGAAGTCGCTTGAACTTAACTGCTTGCCTCTTGACACCAGTAGCAGGACTATCAACCAGAGCCCTATTCTGATCAACAACATCTACAATAGCACATAATTTTCTTGCATCTTTACCAAATGAAATGTAGGCAACACTGCCTACTTGCACGTAGGGAACAACTTGGCTTGAACAAGGTGTGGTTATGGAACCCGATTCGATGAAAAGGAGTCAAGCCTAAATTACGGTCACCTTGGGATGGTCCGCACACAGTCCTAAACAGGCAGAATGACGTCGTGGTTCGGATCCGCGAGTCTTCGAACTCTAAACATAAAGTCGTTCATTACGACAGGTTAGCTCATTACTATGGCCATAGTACGTAGTGTAAATAATTGTAAATAGTGTAAGACCATGGGCCTTTTTGTTTCTAAATGTGTATTTTGTATTTAGTATTTGATAGCATTTGATATCTTTTAGTTATTGCGTTTATTGTTCATGTTGTTTGTTATTATAATGTAATTTTTATTATTACATTTATGCCTTAGTTGTAAGTTTGGCATCCTGTCCAGGGATTGTACTGTTTGGGAAGGGGGCAGTGTTACAGATTTCATATTTAAATAGCTAATGTTAGTTGTATTATAAATTAAATTGTTTTATTCCCCGCACAGTGCAGTGCGTGACAAATATTAAAGAAAAGCTAAGCCAGAAAATTAAATATACAAGAGCACGTGCATTTAACATTTAATAAATAAATATCTCTTTTTGCTTTCGAGAAAATTCCAGAAATTTCTCGCGTGCGATTTAAAATCTTATAAAAGGAGGAAAACCTCTCAATTCGTAGTTATTATTGGAGTTAGTTAGTTTGTTGTTGTTTTAAGAGTTTGTTTAGAAAACTACTCTTGTTGACTGTAGCGAATTCGCGGATTAGCTTTTTTTAGCTGTTTTGAATTAAGTTCTCTTGAACATTTGAGTAGTTAAAAGATAATTACTGTGAGATATTGTAATATTGCAGGAATATCTTAGAAAACTGAAGTATTGTGTTTTATTTATTTGTGATAATAATAAATCTTATTCATTTTTCATCGGACTTGTACATTCAATTCCAAACGAACCCGTACGCATGCAACAATATATTTATTTATTTACTTATTATTTTGCTTAAATTTAATTATTTCCTTTGGTTTCATGTTAGACTTGTGCATAAAGTACTTTTGCAAAATTTAAATAAGTAATCATCTGTGGTTCAAGCACTAATTAATTCATTTTACATAAATTTGTATGGAGAGAATTGTTTCAGTTAATAAACTTTTCAGATGACAAACTGGCTTTCAAAAACAAATTAAATTAGTGAGCCAAGGTTTGACTATAATAAAGGTTCATTTAAAATTCTTTGAAGCTGCCTTAATAATGAAAAAAAATATAAAAGAATTTTATTATAATGTCATTTATATTTTATTTCTTTGTAATATTTTTTTTTTCTTTTTTTTCTAGTCACGAGTAGTAAATCAAAATGTATATGAAAGAAATTTTCACATATTTTATCAGTTATGTGCTGGTGTTACTTCAGATATGCAGCGTAAGTTCTTATTTTATATTATCATCCTTTTGGAGGGGGGTGTATTTGAAGAAGCTGAATGGTTGAAACCAGTGAGGAGTATTTATGTCATTCATGGCTCATTTCCCTTATTGAAAAATATTAACTGATATGTGTTTACGTGATTCATGTGTGATGTTGAAGGAAATCATTTATGTATCATTACATATATGTAACATATTTATGTTTAAGTTTCATGTTCTTTTGTTAAATATGCAAATCAAATTTAAGTAGGAATTTCACCAAGACATATAATCCTCGTTATTCTTTGTCTTTAACAAGTTATGTATTTACTTTCTTGTAATTGGAGTAAAACTAATTTAAATTCTAAAGTTGTTCTGTAAAATTATAAAAGTATTTTAGTCATCACACATGTGATATCTTTCTATAATCATTTTAGATCATTAGCAGATTTACTTGTGTAATTCTTAGGCAACATTACTGTAGTTATTTATTAGGTGCTTACAAAGCTTCGTTAGACTGCAAATAAGTAGAAGTTACTGCAGGTTGTTGTTCTCATAATTGGATTTTATAAATTTATAAAGGTACTTAAAAGCCATAATTTAAACTACTGTGAAAACAAAACTGATCATGAGTAATGCATATGGAGAAACGTTTTTTGTCTTTGAATGTTTGTGAGATGTAACTTGAATCCCTTTAAAGTGGCAGAATTGACATTAATGGCAAACTGTGACCAAAAACTTGGAAACTTGGAAATGCCAAAAACTTTGTGATAGCTGTCTAGTTGAAATATTGAAAAACGTGGAAAATAAATATGTAGGTGTATTTCACCTTCTTAATTAAGTAAATATATTTAAAATCCATCATAACATTTGCAAATACCTGTATTTTATTAGTAGTTTAAATGTATTTTGAGAGCGTGACTTAGTTTTTTTTTTGTAAGGGCAGTAGTATTAATCATATGTGTTAAATGAACACTGTCTTAGTAATTAATATCAAATTTTAAATATTGGGAGTTCATTAACATTATTATTTTGTATGTTTTATGCACATAAATCACGTAAACACATGTCAACTAACATTTTTATATGTTTGTGAACTAATTTGTGAAATTAACATTAGGCTAAAAATTACTTCTGCCACATTCATCATTCATATCACCAATAAGTTTTTTTTTTTTTTTTTTTTTTGTAATGTCAGTTGATAAGAATATTTTCTCATTATTTTTTATCCTGTGTTAATTACCATATAATCCAAAATTTTCATTTTTATGTTAAAAGTTTCTTGATTTTTGATTTTTTTCTGATTCTTAGACATAACTGGTTTTGATAGTAGGAAGAGCCTTATGACAATATATTTCTCTTCTTTTGCAGAAAATTTAGGTATTATGAATCCTGATTATTACTGGTATTTAAATCAAAGTGGCGCATACAAAGTTGAAGGCACAAATGATGCTCATGACTTTCAAGAAACATTAGTATGTACAATAATAAGTGCTATTTTTAAACTTCTGAGTTTTTTTTTTTAAAGTACTTATGTAAGGTTTTATCAGTCAAGAATAATCTGAATCTGTTTCTTGCCAGAATTTTCTCTCATGTTTTCTTGTAAAATTTCATACTTGAACTATTTCCATCTCTGATATTTTTTACAGAAAGCAATGACTATTATGGGCATGTCTGAAGAGGATCAAATGAATGTGCTACAAGTGGTTGCAGGAATTTTACATCTAGGCAATGTTACATTTATAGAAAAGGGAAATTATGCAGTTGTGGAAGATGATCAATGTAAGCCCACTTTCCTTCTTTAAATGAATGTATTATGTGAATGTAATAAAGCTGAAGAATATGTCAAATGTAGTTGTAATTCTTTGACTTTATTCTGTGAAGTCTGAAGGTGTTATAAGATTTTCTTTTTAATTTCCAATAATTTTAATATTATAGGAGCAGTAAGCATTGCATAAAAAGTTTTTATTTTTAAGGTAAGGTTGCATGATATTAGTTTGTAAGCTATGTTTGTTTGTGTTATGTCAGGTAATGTATCCTGCTCATATTTGTTATCAATGCACAGTATAATAAAAGTTAAAATGTTTTCGCTCTGCTGATAAGTTTGATATTGTTAATGTGATCATTTTTGTAATATCTTTGACTTTTTATAAGCATCAATGAAATCTAAATGTTCTCAAATATGCTAAAATTAAATACAGATGTTAGACGGTAACTAAATAAATATAATGATACCTCAATGTACTTCCACTTTGAAATACTTGCAACTTAGTATGTGTCCTGTTTGGAAGCGAAAGTTTTTGTTGTGCACACTATATTTGTTTACCTCTTTCAAGACCATGCTGCGGCTGCCAATGAGTATCAGTAACCTGTTGCTTTTATTCAGTAAACAATCTACACTGACTGTGCACACTACATGCCCATGAGCATCAGTATTCCTGCTTCTGCTATTCAGTAAACAACGCACACTGACTGTGCACATTTGTTTACCTCTTTCAAGATGATGCTGCCCATGAGCATCAGTAAGCATATTACTACTAATCAGCAAACAACCCACACTGAATTTTCTAGTGGTTTTGTGTTTTTCCACATAATTTTTTATGAGTTCTTCACAGTGAGTTAGGAAAGTTAATGAGAAGGCTTAAGCAAACTGAAGAATTGGTAGAATTGTCATAGAGATAAAAAAAAAAATCAGATTGTTGAAAAGTACAAAGAGGGCATGCATATCTGTAAACTGGCTGTTATATACTGTAGGTTAATTATGATGGTGTGTATGATTGTGAAAAACAAATGCACTGTTAGTCGACTTATATTATGAAGGAGGTGAAATTGATTATAAAACAATTGTCAAAGATAGGAAAGAGACCATGTGGTATCTCCATTTGATCTAAATAACATAAAAACATCTATATACAGTATCAAGTTGAATGCTTATTTTATCTACAGTATATATTTCACCCACTGCATTTGTATTTTAGTATTAACGAGTGTTATAATCATAATAGAAGAATTTATTTTATAAGAAGGGATTAATTATTTTTCCTTTATTTATTATCTGAAAAAATTGTTTGGTATGCATCCAAGGATCTGGAATGTATTAATTAGGTACCACCTGATTTGATAAATGACAGCATTCATCTAGGATGAAAAGCACTTAAATTTGTAAGTAGTAATAAAGTATTGGAAACATGAAATAAGACTGGTACATGAAATCAGATTAGCTATAGTTTAAAAAATCTGATGCTGTTTAGATGATGATTTTTGAAAGTATTAATTTTTCAATTTTTATGATGATTTAATAGGTAATTATCTTGATTCATTGTAAAAGATGTTTAATGCTTGCTATCTCATATCGGTAAATAAACTATTGGGTTGTCAAGAAAGTAATTTTCGTTTGCACAAATAGATAGTGTTATGTTCGTTTTTTATTATTATTATTTTTATTTGTCAATCTTATATTTTCTTTTACTTTTGAGATTTGGCTGCTGATACTTTCGGGGTGGAATAGAAACAAATTCCATGTATTTTTGTTTACAACTGTAAGTTTACATTCCATTGTAACACGGGGTGCAAAAATAAGCATTTTTGACATATTTTATTTTTCTGTTTTCATAAAGGTACGAAAGCAACTGTGGCTCATGAAGAGATATGTGAAGTTTATGGTGATAATTGCTTAACAGAACGCATGTGTCAGAATTGGTTTACAAAATTTCATTCTAGAGATTTTTCACTTGAAGTTGACCAACGATCTAGCCGACCTTCTGAAGTTCATGATGAAAAATTAAAGCCATAATTGAATTGAATTTTCATATAACTGTGCGAGAGATTGCAAAATGGTTAAATATATCACATGCAATAATTGGCAATCACCTAAGATGTCTTGGACTCAGTAAGAAGATTGATGATTTGGGTTTTACATGAATTGAACGAAATTCACTCAATGAATCAGTATTATATGCATTTCAAACTTAATGCAATCAACCCTTTTTGAAAATGAATTATCACTGGCAATGAAAAATGGATTGTGTGCAATAACATTAATTGGAAAAAGGTCAGGGTCCAAGCATGAAGAATCAGCACAAATCATATCAAAAGCTAAGTTGCATAATGCATGAAAAGGACCATGCTGTCAATGTGGTGGAGATTACAAAGGGTTTGTGTATTTTGAGCTGCTTCTAAGCAACTAAACAATCAGCTCAAATGTTTACTGCCTAGAACTTATGAAGTTAGAGAAAGCAGTCAAAGGGAAAAGGCGAGAATTGGCAAATTGAAAAGGAATGGTGTTTTGCACTGCTAATACGAAGCCTTCCTCTTTAGCAGCACATATGAAATTATTATAGCTTGGTTGGAAAGTGATGTGCCATCCTCCATATAGCCTGGACCTTATCATCTAATTAGCATTTATTACCAAGTTTACAAAACTTTATAAATGGTAAAAATTTCAGTCATAAAGATGACCTCAAATCTCACTTGGTTGACTTTTTTGTTGATAAAGCCAGAAGTTCTGTGAGTGAGGATATCATAAAGTTACCAAAAGGATGGCAAAATGTCATCAGAGTGGAAGATATTTGACATCCAGTGACTTATGACTGGATAAGTTATTTTTTATAGAAAAAATTAAGTTTTATTTCATGCTAAAAAACTGAAATTACTTTCTTACTAACCGTATACTTTACTTGCGTTGACAGTGAATGAATGCTATTTTCCTTAGAATTTAGCTTCTAAATCTGATTTCTTAAGGAATTTAAGGTTAATTCTCTAATTTTAACTCTTCCTTTGACATTAAAATAGTATTATGTTTTTATAAAATAGTGTCGTGTCTTTTGTTCTGTTAATGTAGCTTTGTTCTGCCCATGTTTTTGATTGAACAGTTCCTTTAAACTGTGTACAGTGGTAAAATTCATCTTCTTCGAAAGTGTGAAAACAGGTAATTAAGAAAGCTTTAGTTTTTATTGTCAGGAACATTGTTAGTTACCTAAAAAAGCTGTGGAAACTAATTGATTAAAATAAAAGAGTGAAAAAATCCCAAATATAAAATTTATAAAAGTATGTGCATCATACGTTTTTATTTATTTATTTTTGACCATTTAAAAATGCTTTAAGATGTGCAGAAATACACTGTGCATACTTTCTAGTTTCTTCTGATTATTTATGCAAATCTCAAAAACCTCATACAAGTTTTCAATATTCAAAGCAGTTTAACAGTGTAAAATTTCAATCAACTTTCCCCTTTTGTCTTGGAATGAATGAATTTAGTTTGTTTAAAATTCTGTAATTTTTGTGTGTATTCCAAATGTGTAGGAGAATGAAGGATAATGTCACAAGTCTTTTCTCTGTTTCAAAATATCTTGTTTAAGTTCATTAATTTATGAATATTTCATAGCAGAATCTTTTATTTGAGATTATTGCATATTAAGAAGATATTTCTCCATATTAGATTTGTTAGAAAGGTTACACCTTCTTTTTTGAATTGCTGCTTTAAACAATGCAGCAACACAAGCAGTTTTATTCATTCATGAATCTTTAATTTGTGCTTTCTAGCTGTGCATTACCTTTTTATCAAAAAATTCCAATAATTAAAAAAATAAATTGTGCTATTCAGTTCTAGCATTTCCAGCCTATTTATTTGGAGTGGATTCTGAGCTTGTCAAAACTAAGCTAACTAGCCGGGTCATGGATAGCAAATGGGGTGGTCAGTCGGAAACTATTCATATGCAGCTGAACCCAGATCAAGCTGCATACACCAGAGATGCATGGGCAAAAGGTCTTTATTCCCGTCTTTTTGACTATTTAGTTAATGTAAGTATTTCTAATGCACATAATGATTTTTTTATACTTTAAGAATCAAAGATATTATTTCCTGTGTAAATCCAAGTTTCTGTTCTTAATTTTTCTAATGTTCATTTTAGCAGCATACTTAGTTATGTATGAATTTTTCCTTTCAGAATTTATCGATATTCATTGACACCTGCATTTAACATTTGCAGATATACTTCAGAACAATTACTCTTATTTGAAATTCATTTATTTTTTATCTTTAGAAAAGTGTTATTTTCTAGTTGAACTTATAATTGTTTTGTTCGGAAAATGTTTGCTTTTATTACACATAATATCAACATGCCTGTATCCACTTCAAGAACAAGCTTTCAATTTACAGGCCTTACTTTTGTGGCACCTCTGTGAGCTGTAAAAACACATTCCTTTCTTACTGAGACACATTCCTTTCTTACTCAGTATCTGTATTTTTTTATCATTACGTAACTCTTGTGTAAAGCTACAAGATTCACTGCAGTATGAAAAGTAATCATAAAATATGTGCATTGGGTTTATTTTTTCATTAACTTTTGGAAAAAGTGACCTGTCTATAATAAAGAGAGGGTAAGTTATGTCAGGATGTCTTATCATTTGCTCTTTCATGTGAAAGAAGAGATTGTGCAATGGAAGTTGATAATATTTTGACATCCTAGTATGCATCTCTGTATTTCTGTCAGTTTCAATTAAGGTATCTTTTGGTAGAGATTTTAAAATAGTAGTACACAGAATGCTCAGTAATTCGTTTAGAGATTGACCCAGATTTTCAAAGCTTCTCGATTCAATAGAAATTTTATCAGAAAATTTTCCTAATGTGTAAACACCATAAAAGTTCTGTAATAGTTTAATATTAAGAATATTTTTCATATGGGTGTGTACAAGTAAATCAGTTTTAGCAGGCCAGTCAATCATAGCTTGAATCAGTAAACTTCATATAGTACTTAAAACAGATCCACCTAAATGTGCCTTCAGATAATTTTATCTACTTTATTTAATGCTTTGTTGTTATGAATAGCAGATTGAAACTATTCCAAATGCAGACCCGTTGTGTATGTGTCTTCAGAATTTAGCTCTGGTCGATTTTGAAAGCTTAATGCAAAAAATATCATTAGATTTCAATTCCTTTTTGTTCTCAGTTTAGTCTGATGACCAGGCTGAACTTTCAAAAGATTTTCTAGCGCTGTGGTTGTCAGTTTTAGGCGAGGTATCTGATGACCAGGCTGAACATTCAAAAGATTTTCTAGTGCTGTGGTTTACAATGCTACATATGAGACTTGTAGTTGTGTATCAGTGTTTTTAATAATTCTTCCAAATTGCTGACGTTTGATTCATCCTCATTTGGAAGTTCATTTTCTATTGCTTTTAGCAATTTAGTGAGAGATGCTCTTTGGAGTGCTGTGTTTTTTTCTTCAGTTTATTTAAATTATTTTCAATCACAGTTTTTAGTTATGATTAATCAGTATATAAAATCCAGTAATCCATAATTAATTTCTCTTATTTCTCTCTGGATTTTTTTAACAAGTCCATATATTTATTTTTTTTTTTTTCTTAGTTTTACAATATGCTAAACTCACTGTTCTGCCATAGATGCCACTACTGTTAATTTCATAAAATTTATTATATCCATAAGCTAAAATTACTTACTTCTCTCCTTCTTTCCAAGGTCTTTGGGGCATAATTTAGTATTTTGTTTCTTCCTTAAACAAAGTAAAACACTTAATACAGAAGTGGTCAGTCATGTTAAAGTGAATTGTTTCAGATAAAATATTTACACAGATTCACAGGACTTATAATTTAATCATATACAAAATATTCAGGACATTCTGCCAACATTTCTTTACTCTTCAAAAATTCTAGTGACACAGAAGCTAGTACGGTTGATGATGCTAAAAGCAGAGATGTCCCAGGATGTGATATGCATAATTTGTCTTCTCCCATAATAATGTAAACTTATAGTTTGTATAGTCCGTAGTATAGTTTTGGGTTTTTATTTGCTGTATAATACTAAAATTTATATAAAAAGAAAGATATATTTATTGCATTAAAAGTTCAAATAAGCCTCAAACTGCATGCTTTATGTTTAAAATCTAAAGAAAAATCCCATTTTATGTATATAACAACAATTCATAATACAAGGTCTGTCGAGAAGGTAATGTCATTAATTTTATTGTGAAGTGATTGTATGTTGCAGCGCATTGTATCTTCCAGGATTGATGATGGTGTAAGTCAACTATCGAGCGAGTGCTTACTAAGTTATCTCCGAGTTGTCGGAGATAAATGAAGGGCAATTTCATAAATCTCTGTTTCGTGTCTTGTACAAGTCATGATTCAGCACTCACTGGAACAAAGATACACGATAAAGGTTTGGTTGAAACATGACAATTTTTCCATTGGTTAAACTGGCCTTTGGGGATAAGGTTTTATCTCAGACGCAAATCTACTGATAGCAAAAGGCATTTTTAGAAGGCAGTGAAAACGTCGATGGTGAAGCCCACACTGGACCCTCATCAACTTCCTCATGAATAAAATGTAACTCATGAAAGAAGTTTTGCAAACAGATCATCGAATAAGTGTTTACTTAGTGGCTAATATGTTAAATATTCCAAAAACTGTCGACCACAAGATCATAGCCAAGGATTTGCACATGAGAAATGTGTGCACACACCTTGTCCGAAGGACTTAGACTGATGACCAAAGTGGAAATTTTCTGAAGATGTTTTGGAAATACGTGAAAATGGTCCTCATTCTTTGGTCAATGTTATCACAGGTGATAGAACATGGATATTTCAGTATTATCCTAAAATGAAGAGCAAAATGACCATGTGGCACCCATGAATGAGCAAATCAAAAACATGCTCATTGTGTTTTCTGATATCAGGGAGGATCATCCATGTTTGAGTTCTTACACAAAAGTGCTCAAGAAAATGAGAGCAAGAATTTGTAACGTCAAACCAGAGATGAATTGTGGTTGCAAACTTATCCATGACAGTGTGCCATCCTATACTGCCTTCATTATGACCAGCTACCTGACCAATCTAGTGTAACAAACTTGCCCCAACCGCTGTACAGTCTTGACTTAGCTCCCACAAACTTCTCTTTGCTTCTCAGTTTGAAATCTGCCCTGAAAGGGCATCATTGCAGAACAATTAATGATTTGAAAGCAACTTGAAGTGGCTTTAAGTTCATTTCTCCTGACAGGCCTTTGCATCTAAATCCCTATGTCCAGGACAGTATTTTAAGAATTTTGATGTAGTCTATGTTATGTACATGAATGCTTTTTAATACTAGTAGACTTGGTGGCATTAACTTTTTGGACTGATTTTGTACATTTTCTTAAATAATGTTGCAAATATTTAGTACAATATGCAACTTTCAAAGCTAAAATCTAGCGCTAACATAGCTAAGATTAAAATAATATAATTTATAAAATTGTATATTTATTAAACGTAGATAATTAGAGGAATTATTTGCTCAATTTGAATTTGAATTTTTCATTTTTTTATCAATGACTTGATATAGTAGTTTTCCCCCCCAATACACCATTATTTTCACTAATAAACTGTGCTTAAATCTATAATTTTATAAATTATGTGTACAGTACAAAGTCCCAGATCCGGACTCCAGATTTGGGATTTTAACGGATATTAGATCATCTGTTTAAATCTAGTTAGAAATAATAAAATTAAAAATATGAAATAATGAAGCATTTGGACTTTTGTACTGTGTATATACAGTGTCTCACAAAAGTGATGGGACACTTGTGCTTTACAAAAGGGAACTGTAATAAAATAAATTAAAAAAACATGTAAACAATTTTTGTGAGTGTGTTTCATACTTAAATTTAGTAACAATTATTACATAACATACATTTTCTCAAAATATTAAAATATTAATTTAATAAAAATACAATTGTTTTGAACGGAGCAAAAAATGGCTCACATAAGTGATGGGACACCATTAGATACCACTACGTACTACAATAAAAATATTTTTTGGGGTTTTTATTTTTACTCAAAAGTATAATAAAAACACCATCACAATCTCCAGACTAAATCCCATAGAGAATATTTGGCAAGAATTGGAATCAAGAATTCGCAAACACACCATTTCTTCAAAACAACAATTAAAATCGGTGCTTCAAGAAAGAATGGGGTAAAATCACTCCAGAAATCACAAAATAAATTTGTTGAATCCATTCCAAGAAGATTAAATCATGTTTTAAAAATAAAAGGAAATCCAACAAAATATTAAAACCTTTTAAAAAGTAAATTTTTGGATAAATATTTGATGGAAAAGTAAGTGTCCCATCACTTATGTGAGCCATTTTTTGCTCCGTTCTAACACTATATTTTTATTAAATTAATATTTTATATTTTGAGAAAAGTATGTTATGAAATAATTGTTACTAAATTTAAGTATGAAACCACCCACAAAAAATTTTTACATGTTTTCTTAATTTATTTTACTACAGTTTCCTTTAGTAAAGCACAAGTGTCCCATCACTTTTGTGAGACACTGTAAATATATGTGTGTGTGTGTGTGTTTATGTATGTATTCTGAAATTGTTTAAGTATATTGTTTTAAATAAATAAATATGGAAATATGCATTTTATTTCATTTAACTTTATGTGAACTTTAGTTTGCCAGTAAAAAGCTTTCTTGTATGCTCTGACAATGAAGCTGCATCTTGCTTTTGTTTTCTTGCCTTTTTGTACATTTATACATATTTGGAACTCATAAAGATAATGTGTCTGTTGCTATGGGGCATTAACAATGTCAAAGAAAATTTATATATCAAAAATGGGTAAATTTTATTTAATTAATGTAAAGTAATTTGTATCAAGAAAAAGTTTTTTTATTAATATTTTCCATAAATAAGCCCTTAAAATGCACATTTGATAAATTTTAGAATAATCTTAGCTATATATTATCATCAGTTTACTTATTAGCAATGCAGTATTTCATTGTGTGGTGCATCTCCAATTACCTAAAAAGGCAATTAAAATGATTTCTCTTTCATTTCAGGTTGTAAATTCTGCTATGAAAACAGAGTTGACTGATCTAACAATAGGAATTTTAGACATTTATGGTTTTGAAATTTTCCAGAAAAATGGCTTTGAACAATTTTGTATCAATTATGTTAATGAGAAGCTACAACAGATCTTTATTGAGCTGACTCTAAAAGCAGAACAGGCAAGTGTTTTGAAATTGTTGAAAGTAGTTAAGAAAATAGCAATAAGCAAATACATATTGTTTTTTAACAGTATTTTTTTCATATATTATAAATAGGTATAAAAATATACTATATGTCTGTGTGTGTGTGTATAAATTTATTAGCTTAATAATTAGGGTGTTCCCTCCATCACCAATTTTTCATAATCATTGTTGAAAATTATTATGTGAGTAAAAATTCTGGCTATACTATCATTGGCTAGCCATTGTTAATCATAGGTCAAAATAGCAATAATTTATGAATACTTTGCAAATCTGAAGAAGAACCTGTTTGGATATTTTACAAAAGATTTATTATTTATTTTCTGTATAGCAGCAGACAAATACTGCTATGCAGAAACAAAGCAGCATAAAATGTTTGAAATATCAAGTGCATAAAATATCTGAATTATCAAATGCATTGTTTTTCATTTTACAGATTTTTCATAAATAGAATAAAAACTGGTTTTCAGGATACTAGTTAATTATGCTTTATTTCAAAAAATGGTTAAATCTCAGTTATATTAAAAATAGCTTTTTATTTCTTTACATTTTCCTACTGTGTGCTCCATTTTTGTCTGTAAATAGGAATATCTGTAAAATTTCATTTTTCGAGAAAATAAATTTGATTCTTCATGAAGAAACAGACATATTGAGAACTGCCAATATAATGAGGTAATATGAGGGATAACATCTACAGTTAGCTCAGAGTCATAATTAATCCAAGGACAGTTAAAAAAGCACATAAAAGAGGAATGAAGTATAATATAATTAATAGAAGAATACTGTTAGCATTTTCCCTATCTTTTCAAGCAGTTTAATCTAGAAAATAGTCTTAAATTAAATCAGTTTGCAGAATAAAAAGAATACACTGTAAATAACAGAAGAATAAACATCATCAGAAATTGAGAAACCAAATTAGTTATAAATGGCATTAAAGAGCAATGCAAGGCTAACTTGAACAGTGCCATTAAATTGTAAAAATGATTATCAGTGAGTGGTTTGTGATAGTACTTTTTCCATTATTTGTCAATAACCCCCCTCCGAAAGACCTGGTTAATCTGCCTTGCTCCCCCTCCCTCGAATTGATTGAGAGTTGACTGTGCTTAAATATTTATTCTAAATTGCTGATAGGCCAGACTTCAGAAAAGTTTATAATCATTTGAAAAAAATAGTGGTAAAATCAATTTACATTTTTTTAATGATTTAGTGTAAAATATTCATATTTAGACGAATAAGTATAAATATTTTAAATAATGAAATGTTCATACAGTTTATTCATCAAATTCGTGAAGTACTGGTAAATTATAATGCGTTTCAGGCTTTTGCCGACCATTTTGCAAAGTAACAGAGTGTAAACAGTGTGCTGTGTAATTAAATGCCTTATCGTTAATTACTGTAAGAATTACTTTTTTTTAATTATCTATTAGTACTAAATTTAACTTAAAAGAAAATAAAGTAGCTTAGGCCCAAAAAAACATGTTAAAACTGAAAATAAAATGTTCAGTTATTAAAATATGTGCTTTTGAATATCATTGATGTGGTATGAAAGTCTTGCATATCAGAATTCTTATTAAAACTGTTTAATTCATATATACCTTATCTTTTAGGAAGAATATGTTCAGGAAGGCATCAAATGGAATTCAATTGAATATTTCAATAATAAAATCGTGTGTGATTTAATTGAGAGTAAATCTTCTCCTTCAGGCATTATGTGTATTGTGGATGATGTATGTGCAACAATGCATGCTGTGAATGAGGGTTCAGACAATCAGCTTCTTGGGGTAATGATTTTGAATAATTTATTTAATTACTGAAAATTGCTCTAACGTTAATTCATTGTAATTATTATCTGCAGGTAATTTGTATGCTTTAAAATAATTAGAATTTGTTTAATTACTTCTACCCCTTTGTTCTGTAACAGTTGTTTTAATAATTTATTCTCGGAATTAAACCATTTAATAACAAACAAGCCATTTAATCTTTATAGTTGTCAGCAAAGCCTATGTACACCAAACTGCAAAAGTTAGAAACCAGCTAAGGCAAGATGTGTGTGTGATTATAGTACATTTATGTAAGAGAAAGTTAATGTTGATTCGTCGAAAGCTCACAATAAAGATTACAAGGTAATTTTTCCCACCTTCCAGCATGCCTTTATGATGTAATGGTTAGCACCCTCAGCGCGTATTCGAGAGGTCCAGGGTTCCAGTCCCGGTGAGGGCATTGCTCATTTTTCAAGTCTCCTGATTTAAAATAACCTAATGTCTCTACAGTGGTGCTCAGACTAAAATAGGTGGTGGATGATGATTCTTCATCACCTTTATTTAGTCCCCAGTAAGTCCCAGTAAGTTTATTTAGTCCCCAGTTAAAAAGGGAAGTATATAAGGTATTTACCCTTTTCTGCATGCCTTCTTGGTTTAATGGTAGCACACTTGGCACATAGTTGAGAGTTCCAGGTTCGAGTGCCGGTGAGGGCATTGCACATTTCTCATGTCTCTGCTTCAAAAATCCTAATACTTTGCAAGATAAATGGTTAGGTAAAAAGAAATGCAAGATGTAACTTCCATTTCCCATGGCATTTTCAGTCAAAACTGGAAAGAAGTTTAGCATGCACAGACTGTCACCACTGATGCTTAGGGTTTGGGATGTACAGTACAAAAGTACTCACCCGTAATTATTCTGGAGACTTGTTTAAGTGATTTATACTGTTATGGAACCTTTGATATAAGTAACTGTTGCAATGCAACTGCACCTAATGTGCAATCAGCTAGTAATATAATATACAGGCCATATTCATTTGCCCAAGGGAAAATTTTTCCTGAGCTGGATTGCGTGCATTACAAACTCATTGTCTAGAAATGTCATTTCTAATATCAAATTGTATAACCATGCTTTGCTGTTAGAGACAAGAAGAGGATTTATTGCAGTCTGTTGACATGTGTTAAATTACATTAGACTGTGGATCTTATTTTAACTAATTCTTCATATTATATGTTCATTATATTGCAATATAGTGAAATATAAGTTTGGTATATTTTCATCTGGAATTCCAAATATGATGCTGACCTTTAATTTTGACAGGATGGTATTATGCCATATATTGCAAGAATTAGCATGAATACTCTTCAGATGATATTCTGTGATCATTTAATTTCATTGTTTGCAGACATTTAACGACCATCTGGTATCTTTTGACCTAACAGCCTCAGACTTCCATGAGCTATTCAAAAACTTCTTGATCTAAGAAGCTTCACTGGGATTCTGTTTGTGAAATTCACTAAACCAGTATTGTTACTTTGCAAGATATTATCCAAATTTTTAATGTACAGCTGCAATATTACATTAATTATAATAGAAAACGATTTCTTAATACATTTATAAGACATGACTATGTATCCATGCATTGAGAAAAACCCTTTTACCGTTTCTAACAATACTTGTGTACTTCTGCTCTATGTTATTTATAGCTATAAAAATGATTAAATTGTGGTAACCCATCATATGTGAACCGAGTTATCTATCCTTATTACATTAAAAATTACAGTTTAATTTTATGTGGAACTGCGATTTGCATTTGTAGCATTTTTAATTGTATATATATGTAGCGTATTTGGAAACTAAGTACCATTTCATTCTAGCTCCGTCGCAGCGCTGTGGTAGGCGTCCCGTGCATGCGCACTAGTCTTTCTTGTTCACTGACTTTCAATCGTCGCCATTTTGGTTGCTCTATGTTGTGTTTTCAGTTTGCTGTACACATTCAAAATGTTTAAGACAATTAGTTCTTCCACTGACTGTGAGATTCGTGCCGTGATTAAGTTTTTGAACGCGAGGAATGTTAAACCGGCCGAAATTTATCGTCAAGGGACAGAAGTTTATGGTGAATACGCGATAAGTGATGGAATGATGAGAAAGTGGGTAAAAATGTTTAATGCAGGTCGAACAAATTTCCACGCCGAGGCTCGGAGTGGTTGGCCTTCTGTTGTCACCGATGATTTGGTAAGGAAAGTTGATGAAGCAATTCATGAGAACAGACGCTTCACAATGACAACTCTTTCAGAGGCATTCCCACAAATTTCACGTACTGTTTTGTTCGAAATTGTGTCTGACCACTTGAATTATCGCAAACTGTGTTCCCGATGAGTTCCAAAAATGCTCACTGATGTTCACAAAACAAAGCGACTTGGTAGTGCCCTGACATTTCTCACGCAGTACAGTGATGAGGGAGAAAACTTTTTAAACCAAATTGTGACAGGTGATGAAACTTGGGTGTGTCATTTCACACCAGAATCAAAACAACAATCGATGGAGTGGAAACACACTCATTCTCCGAAAAAACAAAAGTTCAAAGTGACAATGTCATCACAAAAAATCATGTGCACTGTCTTCTGGGATAGGAAAGGCGTTTTGCTTACTTACCCCAGGGTGAAACCATTAATGCGGCACGATATTGTGAGACTTTAACAAAACTAAGGCATGCCATTCAAAACAAATGAAGAGGAATGCTCAGTAAAGGAATTGTGTTTGCTCCATGGACAATGCTCGGCCCCATACTGCTGGTGTCACTCAATCGTTAATTCGACAGTTTTCATTGGGAGCAGTTCGATCACCCGCCGTACGGTCCGGACTTGGCGCCGTCCGACTATCACTTGTTCCTGCACATGAAGCGTGAGCTTGGTGGGAAGCGCTTTGGATCTGACGAGGACACGAAAAATGCTGTGGATTCGGGGTTATCGAAACTGGCGGGAAGTTTCTTTGACGATGGTATATAAAAACTGGTCACCCACTATGACAAGTGTTTGATCATTGGCAGAAACTATGTTGAAAAATAGTTTAAGACATGTATTTTCATGTAAAAATAAAATTGGATTCGAAAAAATTGTTTTACTATTTTTTTTTTTTTTTAAACGGTACTTAGTTTCCGAAACGCCTCGTATATCTACGATTCCAAGAGAACATATTCATGAATAAAAGCATAATTTATTCCCTAAATCTGGCGTTTCATTTTATAAATGCTGCAAAAATGTCATAAGAAGTATTTAATTTTTTAAAAACCATGCAATTTCAGTAATCCTAGGTCTTGAACAAGTCTAAATCTTTCAAAGATAATATATGAATACAATTTCTCCATTCATATCTGAATTTGGAAACGTCATATTCGTATACCAAGAGTATTTTTAGCATTATCAGATATTTTAGCTGTGATTGAAAGAAATATCTGGAAACTGAAATAATAGAAAGCTTATTTCAGATTTTCACTTTATCAAAAGAATGGTAAGGGAGTCACAAATGAGTATGCTAGCAATCAAATACAAATTAAACAACCAATTAGATTTTTAAAAAAGTATGTAATTTTACATAAGAAGAAAAGAAAAAAAAAAAAAAAAAAACCTTAAAACTAGTGCAACATTTAAAAAAAAATTTTTTTTTATTTATTTTTTCATTTAACAATTTATTATTTATCCAAATAATCAATAATATTTTATTTTTTTTTAATTTTAAATAAGTAAATGTATTATTTTACGGACATGAAATATTGTTGTTGGAAATTGCTGCGGTTATAATGTCAGAATTTAAGATCAGTTATTTTAGAATTTATTAAATAATAATATAAAGTATACACGTGCCTTTTATTTTGCATTGCATGTAGGGATGCCTTTTTTTAATGACATGTAAATAATCCAGCAGAACATGTAACCATAGGTTAACAACTTCAGCAAAAGACCAAAATTATCTGGTATCATTGATGGTCATGTTAGAAAGGTTTCATTGAATCCAATCCAAACCTAAATAAAGTTATAAAAATTAGTTATAAAAATAATTTGATCTTTAGAGCATAATCATTATCTGTGATGACTGTTAGTATTGAAATTACTGAGTGTATTTAAGAAAAACGAAGAGCTAGTTAATGTTTGTTTGTCTGTAATAAAATGAGACCAAATATTATTATTCAGAATGTTTGAAGCTGGTACCTTTAGATCCTTGGATTGAGATGTCTATTCTTGTTGAGTATTCATTAATATACATAAATGAAACAATAAGCATTTTGGAATGCAATATTTTAATAAAGTTGTTTTTGTAATATGTTGGGGGTCATTTTCTTTTTCTAGAAACTGAGTAAAGCTGTTGGTTCTCATGCTCATTTTCAAAGTGCAGGAGCAGGATTCATAATTCACCATTATGCAGGCAAAGTAAGTAATTTTTTTAATTGAATAAATAGCCATTTTCTTTTGTTTAATGTTGTAAATAAGCTGAATTGAATGCACTTGTGCATCATATAACAAACGCTATCTCATCCAGAATCCTTTTACAAACCTGCTCTTGCCCCATTAATGGCTAAGGTAATTTACTTGGGTTTGAAAGCAGGCTAGTTGCATAGGTGGTTTTCATGTTTTCCCTGAAAAAATCCTTTAAGAAGGCATTCCTCCATCTTTGGCAGATAACCTTTGTGTGCTTTGCTACATTCCAAATAACCTTACCTAATCAAGCTCGGTCTGCAATCACAAAACATATCAAACAAATTCACATGTACAGTCAAAAGTCTTTAATCCGTACTCCTTGGGACTTCACGATTCCGGATTATCGGTTTTTCCGGATTAGATCATCAGTTGAAATCTGGTAAGATAGCATGCAGAAATTATAAAATTAAAAGTATGAAACCATAATTTATGAAATAAAGAGCAATTATGATCTAAAGGGTGTCAAAATTTACAAAAAAAAAAGCTTTATATTTATTTGTTTACTTTATTAAACATTTCTTTCCACGCGCGCATGCGTAAAGCATACATTACGCATAGTTGAAATTAGAAAATTGCAGCCAGAAAACTATTTGATGTGTATTCGGAGGAATTTGATTTAAATCATATCAAAGACGGAGTACATCGAGATGAAATACTACATTTAGTAAGGAATTATAAGTCGAATAAAATAAAAACCTCTGCCCTGAAGATAAGGATAGCGCTGACAGATTAACTTTCAGTTCATTGCGCGCTGCGTCGTCCCCTGCTCCCTTCGCAGAGCAGCGTAAAATTTATAAACATATTTCGGAATGATTAGAGAATCAAAGGATATGCCTTTTTCCATTTTTTGCAGCAATTCCACTTTTTGTTTGATGGACATCAGACATGCTTTCGCTTTGTAGATCCTTTGGTAGCTCCAGAATCGGATATTCTTTTTGACATAATCGAAAGTTCAAGCTTACTTTTATAAAATTGCTCTAACAGTCTGCAAAAAAATAATAAGCCGGATGCAATTAGAAGATTAATGAACAACGCAATCTACACCATTAACTGAAATAGATAATTAGATAATTTTAGCTTAGCGTGTACCGTCCGTTATACATTAAACATGCATGCATAAACGTATTATGCGCATGCGTTAACACATTATGCGTTGACACATGCACAGAAAGTTTGTAGCTTTGAGGTCCGGATTATAGATCATTCTGGATTTATGGACGTCCAGATTAAAGACTTTTGACTGTAATTAAAAACATTATCAGTGTTAGAAATGCGAGGACTTTACTAATTTCTTAGTTATAAAAAAAGTAATTACACAGCATTGTGCATGTACGTAGTCTCGTGATTTTTCAGTTCAGTTTAATTTCAGTTTTCCTGGTCTTGAACTTGTGGTGGAATATTAAATTAACTTTTTAACTATAAGGTGAGAGAATCCAGGTTTCAAGAAGTTCTGTAAAGTACTGGCTGAATTCTGTTTTTCAGTATAGTTTTGAAGTGCATGTCATTATCAGTGAGCAAGTTTGACATGCTCTTTATTTAAGCCTGTTAAAAAGTCACGTCTTGTCTGTGGAATGGACTTCTTTCCAATTCTTTATAATGTTGTTAAAGATTTATGGTATACTTGAAAGTTCTATATATTCCTGATCCACACTAAAAGACACTTCCTTCTGAGCTTCTTTGTGTTTTGCTCAAGGAAGGGCTTACTTTCATCAATACTAATATAATATTAAAAAATAAATTTATTTTCCTGCTTCTCTGTTCTTTGCCTTTGTTCTGCAAGAACCCACTTGTTATACTTCCACGCCATCAAAAGTGAAAATATAAAATAATAATAGCTCTAATATTTAATTAATGTGATACAATTTTGTGTACAGTTATATTACAGGGCGGATTCATTGTGCTTGACATTTTTCTGCCCATATGCTCATTATGTGGAACATTGTTGTGCAAAGTGTTCATTATACCAGGCACTATTCTAGATGTCATAATCTGTATGTATGTTGAAGTACCTTTCTACCTTGGGCCCTAAGACAATGCTTTTAATTAGCAGTTAACAGTGCAAAATGTTCCACTGATATACTGTAAAATGATAAGTGCATATCACCATCTAGCAATGTGAAAAAGAGACTTTCCGATTCCATCATTGTTTAGGTAGAAAAAGATTACTTCTGCTGACCAGGATTTGAAATCTTGATCTCTGGATCCAAAGTCCACACACAGTGCAACTGTCTTAATCCAACTCCTTGTTTAAGTGCTGGAAAGAGAAAATGATAATTCAGAAGTCAAACAACAAAAATCAGCGTTAATTTACAAAATTTTCACAGGACTGATTTTTGTTGTTTGACTTCTGAATTAGTATTTATTCGGCGTGTTATTGTGTCTTAAGAGAAAATGATCTTTTCAGGCTGGCATATTCCCTTCATTTAATTAGCATTTAATTTCTTTGAGAATTTCAATAACTCTGAATGTAATTTCAAGCTTGGCATCTGCTGCGTCACTCTTCCTCCTCACTCTACCATCCTTCCAGCGTCCTATACTGATGGCATATTTATATTATAGATTATTTACTTTTATTTACATTTCTATAAAATATTCTTTTAGATCAATAAGCATTTTCAATGTTTTGTAAAAAGTGCCATTTGATTAAAAGTGAATACAGGATAAAGTTTTGAATATTCAGTATTAATTTTTAAAAAAGCTTGTAAATTTTCTAAAATTGGAAACTTGAAAGAACTTAACACACATTATGTCCCAGACAAGAGCAAGTAAGAGTAACTGATTTGTTTCAGTTTGGTGTAAAAAGTTGTTCTGCAGCTTTTATTATTAATTGTCAATGTATTTGTCTTCAGGTTGGGAACAAATAGGTTCAATTTCTATTTGAAACAAAAGAATTATATACTTTTTTTTATCTCTGTTGGAGATAAAGCTTATACACAGTTGTTTTTAATTAGGTAGGATGCATAATTGTATATAATAATGTTTGTTTTTGTTAAGGTGACGTATGATGTAGAAGGCTTCTGTGAAAAAAATCGGGATGTATTATTCACTGATATCATACAAGTTATGCAAAGCAGCGAAAAGTAAGAGTTTAATTTTTTCTAAGGTTTTCAAATTTCTTCTAGTATCTTTGTCTTTAAATACGTTTTTAGAAAAAGCGACTTCATGTTGAAAGATTTTTTATATTCGGGTTCATTACTTGAGAGGAACTGTCTTTGAAAATATTTTCAGATGTTTAGAGATGGTTTATATGTATTTTATAGATCAATCTTTGATATATTTCAGTTATTTTTCTATGTGAGTATATGTTTTAATACTATACACACATTTAAAAAAAGTTGTGTGAAATATCGTTGAAAAAGTATTTTAGTTTTGTTAATTCCCTGTGGAAAATATCTCAGTTTGAAAAGTTATTTCAAATATTTAAAACATTTTGTGTTATTTTTTACCCCACTTCCTATAATGAAATTCTCATTTTGTATTCCCCTGTGGAAAATATCTCAGTTTGAAAAGTTATTTCAAATATTTAAAACATTTGTGTTATTTTTGACCCCACTTCCTATAATGAAATTCTCATTTTGTATTAGCATTTTTCCTTTTTTAAATATTTTTATATGATTAAAGTTCTGTTTTTATCTATATGTAGATTGTAGATTATTTTATAATGAACTGCGAGTTATCTATAATTATATAAAGTACTTGTTGAGTTTCAAAATAATTACCTATAGATCAGCTGTTAGTTTCTCATTTTTGACAGTTTTAGGATTTTAATGGTGTGACTCCCATTTAACAATCCTTTGAAAAACTAAATAAAAAAGATGTATTTGGAGAGAGAGGAGAAACACGTCAAAGTAAAACATAAAATTAGGTGAAGCAAACAACCTTCTGTTTGATGTATATTTTAACCAAGACTCTATCAGTTTCAAGGACAACAGTTTTCTCTCGATGATGAGGAACCTGTGCCTGTTGCTCTTGAAATCAGTGGAGCCTTGGTTAATATATACATACCAAACAGAACATTGTTTACTTTACCTAATCTTAAGATGGATGTTATTAATTGTGCTTGACATCTGGGATTTGCTTTTGTGTTCTCACATGTTCTCATATGTTCTTTCATGTCCAAACGGGCAAGAAATGTTTTGTGCATGCCATGCTTTGAAGTATGGTGTCCTTTTGATTCATAACTTCTGTGACTGACATTTCAGCTTTCTCCCACCCTCTCTAAAATACATCTATGGTTATACCCGGAACGGAAGCCAGCTCAGTGGCTCAAACCCTCTCTGAAAGCTGTTACTGAATTGATTAAGTGCCCTGTTGAATGAAACGGATATATTTAAATGTGTTTTGAATAAAAATTTAATAAATCCATTCCTTAAAAATTATTGTGCATGTAGTTGATGCTATAGTCTGGAAAACTATGAAATTAACATTAATGATATGTTATTGCTTATGATATGTGTAATTGTCCTCTGCAAAGGTTTATCATTCCAAACAGTATGAACTGTACTGTATTACAATTAACTAGTAAACATTGCTACATAAAAATTTCGTCTTGAAACTTTTTTTTTTTTCAGTTAATTGTCCATTCTGTCTTCCTTTTCCTGTGAAAATATTTACACATCTATATTCAAGATAGTAACTGATTAATTTGTTATTTTTATGATCAAAAACTGACTAAAAATATCATATTAAGTAAACAAGAGAAGGCAAAATCAATTTTTATAGTTATTTCCATCTCTGAGCTGAAGCTTGAGAAGTAAGTGATTGTTCACTTAGCTAAAACATGATAGTTAGCCTAATGTTAGCAAAATTTTGGTTACAAATAAACTGAATATCCAGTGTATATGCTTTATATTATATATTTGTTGCATGTCATGGTTTTTTTTTTTTTTTTTTTTTTTTCAAAACTTGTTAAAATTTCTTACACGAAAGTTAACTGGCTACTGATTGCTTGAGTATATAGAGATAAGCCCAAATCTTACTTAACATACAAGGTATTTTGTAAAATTTGTGGCACCGGCATGTTTCAGCTCGTTCACATACTTCTCAAAATCATTGGAAAATATATTTACATCAAGATAATTCTTCAGTTTTACACATTCTAAATTATATCGACAAACAATTTGTAGACATGTTGAAGTTTTTAAATACATTGCATCAAATTTCATAATTATATCAAATGCAGTCTCACACTCGGGAATATATTCCAATTGCTTGTTTGCTATGGCGCCATGAATGTAATTTGTATCTTAGATATCCTTTTCTTTCCATTTTTCCACGTCATCATTTTCACCAACTTTTCGCTGAACATATCTTTACATTTTTTAAATTGGAGAAATTTCATCATATGCACTTTCCAATTAAAATAGTCAAAGCCATCAAATAGCGGTATACTGATATCACTGCTTCTTGCACATGCTATTTTTACGCTAGTACCGGTAACTTTTAAAGCAAATTATAAGTACTCAATTCTTCATTTATATTCACAAACCACGAGAACTGCTACCATATTAAATAAACAGATGTCATATCAAGAAGCAAGTGGAAAATTAAGAAATGTATCTCTTCACATTTTTGTTGAAACTTAACAACATGTGCACAACATTACACTAACATCAAAATCTCGCACGCAGTGAAGAAACAGTGTTGTCAACATGGTAAAGATAAATGTACCAAACTAACAGGCATGAAGGTTTTACAGTTCTCTTACCACATATAACTGTCTTATTATCCACTTAACTGTCTTATGATGAACCTTAATGTCTTTACTGGCATGAATTTGTTTTTTGTTTAAATAAAAAGAAGCTGTCACTGTCCATCCTTTCTAGAGGATATAATCGTTGCACAGGATGAATCCATTCACCCACAGCTGTTTTCACCTTTAAAACAATTATCTTGACTCTGAAACAGTTCAATAACCTGAACCGAATTGGCAATCCAACATAAATAATCAAATAAAATAGGTAATCCACCTAAGTAATCAAATAAAGCAGCCAATATACATTAGTGATCAAATAAAGCAGGCAATCTAAGTAATCAAATGAAACAGGCAGCAGGCAATACACCTAAGTAATCAAATAAAACAGGCTGCAAGCAGTTCATCTAAGTAGTCAAATAAAGTAGGCAGCAGACAGTTCACCTAAGTAGTCAAATGAAGAGGCAGCAGGCAATTCACGTAAATAGGCAACAAGCTATCCACTAAGTAGTCAAATAAAATGGACAATCCACATTAGTAATCAAATGAAACAGGCAGCAAGCAATGCACCTAAGTTATCAAATAAAGCAGGCAGTCCACCTAAGTAATCGCATAAAACAGGTAACCCACCTAAGTAATCATAAAACAGGGAATCCACCTAAGTGCAAAAACAATTTGTCACAACTTGATGATAAGGATTTTTATCTTCAGCCGTATTAGATCTTCATTGGTGAAAAGGCAGAGAGTTTGCAACTTCGATTTTTGTAGATTCTTGCTGAAGTATTCTTTCTGAACAACAAACAAAGTAGCCTTTTCTTGTTTCCTGAACAGTTAATTCTTCTTTCAGTTTGTGATCTGGATTTCTAGAATTCTGAATGAATCTCAGTATCCAAGTTGTTAGCCAAATAATTTGCAGATATTTAAAAAATGATGCAAGTACAATTTTTCGTTAAGAGCAACTCAGGTAGCTAGTGCTGTTATTTCTTTTTTTTCTTCATTTAACATATAATTAAATCTCAGAAACAAGCCAATTTTCTTCAGACAATTTAAACCATAGTGGTCCCTCTCACCAGCTAGTTCTGAGCAGAACACGGAGTAACCTCTAGAAAGAAGGGCAGTTGAATTGTAGCTTGGCTTGCAGCGATATGCTACCTTTGCTTCTATGAAGTTAAATGTTTTATTTCCTTCACTTGTTTATTAACAGATGTTCTCCATTGATTCTCATTTTTGATTAAAAATAGAGAAATTAAAGCATTAACCCAACAGACACTTTGAATATAGCTTCTTTAACTTCAATAGTTCAGTGAAACAATCCAGTAATAATTACCAAAATTTTCAGTTCAAAGTACTATCAATTTCTTGCATGCACACATTTCTGAAAGTAGTTCTGTAAGTTTCGAAATATTCAACAAAATTCATTTACAGTCTTGAATGTATTCCAGTTTTTTACAGTAACATCTTAAAAAGGCTAACTGCTGTGTTTTGCATAATTCAGTGGAAATAGTCCAGTATAAATGGTTGATAAAGTTATATTGCAGCTCTTTAGACTGCTTTAATGCAGTAGATTTCTTGGCAGCTTTAGCTTTTTTTTTTTTTTTTTTTTTTTTTTTTTAAAGGGGTGAAAAATTAATGAAACTTTCAGCTTTAAAAATTCTATTAAAATATATTTCTATAATTTAAAATTATTCTATTGAAATATATTCCTACATTTACTTCTGCTGTTATGAAATTTTCATTATATTTTTCTTTCATTATCCCATACTCATTTGATACATTTTTTTTATCATCTAGTAATAAAAAGCTTATTTCGTGATCTATTTCAGTTAGCTGCAGACCAATTTCCAAATCCATATGGTCCCTCTCACCACGCTGTTAACTGAGCAGACCACGGCAGTAGTTATGACCCGCTCGAAAGAGGAGAGATTGAATTGTGAGCTGGCTAATGCCACGCTATGCGACCTTTGTTTCTATGAAGTTAATTGTTTTCCTTATTTCCTTCATTGTATTATACAGCTGTTCTCAATTGATATCTATTTTGATTAAAACATAGCGACCTTAAAGCAGTCACCCAACAGACACTTTGAATATCGTTCTTACATTCATGTTCAAGTGAGAAACAATCCAAGTAATAATTACAAAATTTTTCGGACTTTCCTTGGACGTCGTTTACCTGGCGCTCCCGACCGGTTGGGGCGACCTTGTGGGGAGCCCTTTCAGTCCATTTCCCGGCACTTCTTTTTTTTTTTTTTTTTTTTTTTTACTAAATATCTTTCACTGTAAGAAAATCCTTCCACTATCTAATTTGCACCTGACATGAGAAACTTCAACTTAACTATTGCCTCCCCTCCTCCTTTGATACATTTTTTAACAATCAGTTTATTTTCAAGAACGATACTAATGTCCGTAGCACTTACTTTACTTATCCTACCTACTCATTTTTCGTACCCTCCCACTATTCCACCAGACCCTCTGACTTCTCATTTTCTTTTTTTTATTCCCCCATTCAGCCCTCTTTACCTATTCGGTAAAAAATGTAAAAAAGTTAATAATCAATTAGAGCAGGCAACCACCAAAGTAATTAAAGGAGATAAAGTAAGTAATTAAATCAAACCAATTAAATGTAATCACTACTGGCAATCCATATTAATAAGAAAAACATGGCACATTTCTGCCTTTTGCTTTTAATATTCTGACTAAAAATACAGTGTTTGTGAAAGCATGAAAAGTGACTTTAAGGAAAAGTATGTTTACACAACCATTGAGTTGCTCTTGATAGCTTGAGCTATCCGTACTGTTGATTCAGAATTAAAAGCTGTACAAAGCTAAGTGATCACAAATTGAAAATTAAATTAAATATACAATAAATATAACATTATTTCATTTGGCCACAGTATTTATGGAAATCTTAAGGAATTGTCAATCTTTAAGTTTTTAGTCTTAACTATCTTTTTAAGGAATAGATTTATTAAATTTTTATTCAAAAGGCATCGTATATACATAAGCTTTCTTTAAAATTGGCTTATTAATTGTATTAGTAACAGCTCTACAGAAAATTTAAAAGTTTGAAGTGGCAATCAAATAGTTTATGAACAGACTGTTGAATACACTAAAATAATAGTGAGATGTAGTACACTACAGAGAATAAATAAATAAAAGCAAGGTACAATACTACAAAATAAATGAACACCAATTTATAAACAAATAAGTATTTACAAGAATATATAACAATATATTTGTTGGCATACTAACAGTTAGATAGAACTAGACTAGAAGAGAAACACGCTAATGTGACAATCAAAATCGTAAAAAAAACCTTAGATGAGCGTAGTATAAGAAACAATCAATCTATATTCGAGGGCAGCTACAAGGTCCTCCTCATCAGGAGAAAGAACATACGTAGAAGAAGATAATAGGAACACAGAAACACGTGGTGCTTATCAGCACTTGCACGTTTTGCAACTGTTGCAAATGGCCGCCTACTTTTACTGAGCCAGGCGTCTGATCAAGCATAAAGAAATAACGAAAGTTAGATAAATAGGGAGCGAGGGCAAATGCACATTACGCTCAAAATCTGAACTTCAAATAAGGGAAAGCAACCTCTGAAGGATTTTTATACCATCCGCTAGTACCAAGTGCGAGAGGTAACGCCCATCTATCGGCAAAAAATAATTGAATTAAGACCATGACAGTCAGTTTTAAAGGCATGGAAGGGGACTGGATTGGACTTCAAATCATTAAATAAACTTTTTAAATCTTTGTGAATGTGAAAGCCTGAAAATCCAATGCTATGGAAGAAGCTTTTGGATGATTTGGCCGATCCAAAATCAAAATTATGGAAAAAGTCCAGCTATGATACGTATTGAAGACTTGTTAATTTCCCCTTTTGACATAAGATTCATGTTCTTGATACGAAACTTCAACGCTCCTTTTGTTGGCAATATATCTAAACCACACTGACATGATATACTATAAATTCCCCAAGAATTCAGACAAGGACGCAATCTTTAGAATCGAAGGGTGAATTTTATTAAATAGGGGAGAAAACCGACTTGAAAATGAATTTCTGGAGAATCGTGCAATTTATAGCTAACAGAAGGATAAAATGGAAGCACGACAAGGGCATTGATATTATTTCGAACAGTGGAATGTCTCTTTGATGGGAATCTGAAAATTTGGACGGCTTTTATCAATAATACGGAGAAAAATCCACGGTCAATCGCAACTGCTCTCAAAATAATTAAGTTCATTGGTAAGCAAGATTCAGAGGAACAAAACGTTTAGCGTGGGAAAACATATAGTAAAAAGGCATTTTTGCTAACAGGGTGGAGACTTGGGGATGGTAAACAAACTGCAAAGGTTTACGGTACAGTGGGCTAAAATCGGTTTCATTGCAGATTATAAGAATATCGGGAAGGGGAGGGAATTGTTGGATTCAATTTCAAGAGTGAATTGGTGGCTGGATCAATTGATTCAGAATCGATAGAATCCGGATAAATCATCTTTAACCGTTCAAAAAGTGCGAAAGTGTCCAACATGCGAATCCAAGTTGAAAGATAAGGTAAAATAATTCATTCAAATAGGATATAAGTCAGCAAGTACGGACTGAGAGGATTACCCATAGCCAATCCTTCAACTTACGAAAATATGCATTTTGGAAACCATATGTGGTTTGACTTAGAGAAAACTAGTAAGCGAAAACCAATCATTAATTTCAGATGTGTGAAGTGAATTCCCGAAGCCTAGTTTTCCGACATTTGTGTCCTTCGAACGGAACATTAGTAAACATGATGTGACACCAAAGAAACCATATGGAACGAAGTGGGAAATATTTTACGTTACATGACTTCAACAGAATTTTACAGTGTGAATATTGTTTCAGTAGAGGAGAATATGGAAATAAGTTTGGCCAAAGGATATGAAGCTTGGCCTATGTTGGAAACAATGGTCGAAAGGAATACCGGTTTTGTGGACTTTGGAAGAGCTAAAGTCTAGCGCAAACGTAAGGCGCGAATAAGTGATTCACTGAGTTGGCAGAATGTGAAAGATTTAAGCACTTTTACTTTCATGAGGTCCCGAAGTTGAAGGATCGTAGGGATCGACTCGTATGGGCTTCATTTATCAATTTAGAGACTCCAGTAAATATGGTGTTTGTCCATAAAACACAAATTGATTTGAATGATATTACCTCCATCTTAATTGATATTCCATGAAAATTTTCCTCATTTGCACACCATCTGGGTCTAGACGATATTGTTCAACGGCACAAAAATCATTTCTAAATTCCAAAAACTCACACACAGTCCAATGTCCCAATTCTCAGTGATCTCCCATAGTAAACGTTAACTCCATCAAAATCTCCAATAGGAATCTTCGGGGAAGTTTAAAAGTATTACAACTATAATTTCAACTTTTCAACTTACCTAAATTCAATTCCTCAATCATCGCCAAAGAGAAAGTTTCCTTAAATTTCCCAAAATTAAGCAGCATACAATCGCCACCTAATTACTGTCGTTAATTTTAACCAAAATCTTTGGGTTTATTTAGCAAAAAGGAAAGAATCTTACGTGAAATATTCGATATACCATTATCTAGCTGTAAGGGCGGACAGATCGTTTTATGGACAAACCAACTATATTTACTGGTACACTGTAAAAAATTCTGTTGAAAGTCATGATAAACTAAAAATATTTCCACTTGTTCCATTATGGTTTTTGATGTCAAATCATGTGTACTATGTGCCGGTCGAAGGAGCCTAAATGTGTCTTGAATAGGTTCGGAATTCCTTCACATACTGAATTCAACGAGTTGGTTTCGCTTACTAAAGTTTCTCTAAGTCAACCCATTGTTTTCCAAAATGCAATTTGTCAGTTGAAGGATTGGCTATGGGTAATCCTCTCAGTCGGGTACTGACTTCTATGCACTATTTGATGAAATTATTTGATAAATTATTTTTTCGTCTTGGATTCGTATTGTTGCGACCGCTTCGGCACTTTTTGAGGTTATCCGAGAGATTTATCGAGTATGAATTCAATTGATCCAGCCATCATTCGCTCTAAATGAACCAAGAACCCTCCCTCCTCGATCGCCGCAATTATCACCACTGTGTACGTACCCTTTGCACGATTGTTCCCTTTTGCCAGTTGCACCATGTTAAGCATGGCTTCTTTTTTTATGTTTGCCTGCAACGTTTGTTTGCCTGTCTTGCTTAACCAATGACTTAATTGAGAGCGTTGCGATTGCCGGGATTTTGCCTGTGATTATTGCTAAAGCCGTCAAAGAATCAGAAGACATTCCAATAAATATAATGCTTGTCCTTCTTCCTATCCTGTTGGTTAGCTATAAAGCTTGCACGGTTCTCAGAAATATTTCAAGTCAGTTTCTCCCTATTAATAAAATTCACCCTTCGATTCTAAAAGATTGCGTTTCGTCTTGAATTCTTGGGGAATTTATAGTAATATGTCAGTGTGGTTTAAGATATATTGGCCAAACAAAAAGAGCATTGAAGTTTCGTATCAAGGAACATGAATCTTATGTCAAAAAGGGGGAAATTAACAAGTCTTCAATAGCGTATCATAGCTGGACTTTAACCATAATTTTGATTTTGGATCTGCAAAAATCCAAAAGGCTTCTTCCATAGGCGATTGGATTTTCTTGAGGCTTTTCACATTCACAAAGATTGAAAAGTTTAGTTAATGATTTGAAGTCCAATCCAGTCCTTCCTAATGCCTTTAAAAACTTACTGTCATGTTCTTAATTCATATTTTTGCCGATAGATGGCGTTACCTCCTCGCACTTGGTACTCCAGAGGGTATAAAAATCCGTTCAGTGGTTGCTTTCCATTTTTGAAGTTTAGATTTTGAGCGTAATGTGCATTTGCCCTCGCTCCTATTTTAACTTCTAATATTTCTTTTGCTTGCTGATCAGACAGCCTGGCTCAGTAAAAGTAGGCGGCCAGTGCAACTCTGATTAAAAATCTAGTTATAACCGTGCAGTGCTGATAAGCACCACGTGTTTCTGTGATTCTTCTATTTTCTATTTCTACGTATTTCTTTCTCCTGATGAGGAGGGACCTTTAGCTGCCCTCGAAATCGATTGAGTGTTTCATTATACCTACGCTAAATATAAGGTTGTTTTTTACGATTTTGATAGTTAGATAGAATTTGCAATATTCAAGCCAATAAGCTGCATTATTTTTTCATGCTAATTTCAGGTGTCAGTCAATAAGCATACTTATTACTTGTGAATATTTTCAGCCCCTTGATTAAGAATTTATTCCCTGAAAATGTGTCTGGAACCATAAGGAGCAGACCAACAACTGCAGGCAGTAAAATTAAAGTATGTATTGTGTTTTTTATTTAATAGCTTCAAATTCATGCATTTGTAATTAATTAAAATATACTATCATATAGCAGATTTTCAGCACATTTAAACACACAATCTTTTTTATCGATTTCAGAAATGCCTAAGATTGCATTAATAGGGAATTCTCATTGAGGCCATGTGTAAACTAAATATTCCAGAGAAACTTGTTGCACTGGTCGCTTTAAGGAAATGAGGACACAAATTCATTTACAAGATGATCTTGCAGAACAGTTGAAGGTAAAGAATGGAGTGAGACAGGGTGATGCATTGACATGCTTCCTGTTGTAATATTGTGCTTGAAAAAGTTATTAAGAGATTCTAGGATCAATACTAGATGAAATATTTTTAATACAACTATTCAGTTACTAGCTTTTGCAGATGTTGCAATTGCAGTGTTGTCTGTACTGTTCCTGCTTTTAAACAGGCATTCATAGCATTGAAAAAGGGGGCAAAATGATTCAACTTTTCTATTAATGAAAATAAAACTAAATGCTTTGTTTAAAATCTGGCTTATAATTGAGTCATTTAGAAATTAGCAGCTATAGATTTGAAAAGGTCTACGATTTCTCGTAGAAATGAGATAACTTATGAAATACTTAAAAGAATCTCTGCTGCAAATAGATGTTTTCATGGCCTTAAGAGTTATTTAAAATCCAGCTTTCTGAAGCTAAGAACTAAATTACTTCTTTACAAGAATATTGTTAAGTCTGTTCTGACTTGTGAGTCGGAAGCGTGGGCAGTACTTAATTTATGTGATGAGGAAGCTTTTGATATTTTTTAGGAAAGGGTATTGCGATGCATACTTGGTGGGGTCTGTGCAAATATATCTTAGAGGAGAAGATGTAATTTAGAGGTGTGCAAGACAACTATAGACAACTTGATATAGTGAAAACTTTCCAACTGCAGAGACTTAAATAGGTTAGTCATCTGGCATGAATGCATGAAGATTGGTGCTGTAAGAAAATCTTTTCTAGAAAAGTCCGTGGGAACCGGATCTCAGGTAAGATGTTTCCCAGTGACATGGATTGATTGTGTTGAAAATGACCTAAACATTTTAAAGATCAAAAACTGGAAAATAGTTGCCTAAAAGCTGAGATGCCTGAAGAAGCCCAAGCTCACCGTGGGCTGTCAAGCCAATGAAGAAGAAGAAACATTTTGATTACAGTTTTACTTTTGAATTAGAGATGATACTTCCAGCTGAAACATTTCTTTAAATTTTGTTAAGAAACATATTCTGTGGCTTCTAAAACTGTTATATAAATATATATGAATTTAAAAGTGCAAATAATAGCTTTTGATACAGTACATATAGTCAGAAAAGTTCCATGACTAGAAATAATTTTGAAGCTTTGATTATATCTTTCAAAACAGGGAAAAGATTTTAATATATTTTAATCTATTCTAAGCGTTTTGTTTTAGTATAAACATATCATTTCCTTAATTAATGTCATTATCAAAGAAAAAAAGAGTATCATCTGAATGTAACTTTTACTTTAAATGCATTAATGTTATTTTTAGATCATGCTGTAAACTGAAAATTTTATACAGTTTGCAATTGCCTGATTTTTCTGTAATTAATTTCTTGAATTTATTATCTCAATTAAAGTTTATGTTTTAATTATGTGATTTTTTTTTTATTTAAGTTCAGTATTTCAGTTGGAGTTTGATATTATATTTTTGTTTTTTCTTCATTATTTGTTAATAGAAAATATTGTCGCTTTAGTAATCATAAGCATCTATATTATTAATTTAAAGGAAATTTCTGAAATTTTTTTATGCAAAAAATGCCTTTTTTGCAGATAAGTTTTTGCAGCTATTAGTTTATAGCTGTCTCTTTTGGGTAATAGAAAATCTGATACTATGCAAAAAAAATTTCACTTACACAAAGGCTGTAACAGAAACAGAAAGCTTATCTTTATAATTTTCTTCTGCAGCGATGTTCAGATCTCTGGGGAACATAGAATAAGAGTCAAAACAGACTATCTATAACAAGCTTTCACAAATCATGGAAAATTTCCCACCTACTTCAGTAGTTTCTGCCATCAAAATGCCAAATACATCTGCAAGGCCTCAGCTTCTTCAGCGCACGTCTCTTACATCCATGACTGTTCACTCACTTTGCCCTTCAGAGCTTCCCTTCCTGAGCTTCATGGATCACATAGCCTCAAAGATCTTCGTCAAGGATTACTACGGACAGTGGGTCGTCAGAAGCAATATAGAGTACATCTATTCTAAGAGAAACATAATCAACCATAGCAGATAAGCTGGTATAGGCACCTGATGAAATATAAAGGCAGCAAGTCTCCATTCATGTATACAGTACAAAGTCTGTAATCCGGACGTCCATTAAACGGAATAATCTATAATCCGGACCTCAAAGCTGCAAACTTTTTTTTCGTATGCTTTACGCACGTGTGTTTAATGTTACGCATGCGCGTTTAGCACAAAAAAACGAAGCAACTTAAACAACTTACATTGAAAGAAATGTTTAATAAAATAAATATTAAGCTCCCTTTTTTGGGGGGGTAAATTTTGATATTCTTTAGATCATAATTGCTCTTTATTTCATAAATTACGGTTTCATATTTTAATAATATAATTTCTGCATGCCATCTTAGCATATTTAAGTTGATGATCTATAATTCGGAATCGCCGAAATCCCGACGAGTCCGGATTACGGACTTTGTATTGTATAGGTACCTCTAAACTAACTAACCCATTTTTGCTAATTTTGTACTAACATACCCAAAACATTATAAGTTGGAGCACCTAAAAAAATTAATACATTAATGTTAAATCTGTTTATTATTAATAAGTTTGAAAAGATAAACAACCAAAAAAGATTGCTAGTGCAATGCTTAAGAAGACATGACTGACCTGTAGTGCCCTTTGAGAGGTGAAGCAGGCAGAATAAATAATAATAGCCAAATTTTCAGAAACTGAAAGTTGCAGCTCATTGCATTTGGTCTTATTTGCTATACAGAGTATACTTACAGTTACTAAAACTCATGTCTAAAAGAATTTCGTCCACAATGAGATCAGAATTTGATCAAACAAAATATTAATATCAAGGCATAATAGTTTATCCCTCAGTGTCGATGTATGTTTACATATGTCTGTATAAAAAATACAAAATAGTTATATATATTTAGCTTTATCTTTTACTCGAATTCTCTGAAATGAAAGCCTAAAGAATGATCTTTTTGTTGACAAGTAATAAAAGTATTTCTTATTGATTCTATAGTATTTTTAAGAGTCATTGCTACTGATATGTTTTCTAATGTGTTTTGATTTTTTGTTCAGACTCAAGCAAATCAGTTAGTTGATGCTCTTATGAAATGTACACCTCACTACATTCGGTGTATAAAACCAAATGAGACTAAAAAGCCTCATGATTGGGAAGAAGATAGGTAAGTGAATATAATCTAATTTTTGTGTTAACATTGTGCATAAATTTTATACATATAAGACCATTTTTAATGTAAGAAATCAATAAATATGTAATTATTTTCTACTGTAGGGTGAAGCATCAAGTTGAATATCTAGGCCTGAAAGAAAATATCAGGGTTCGCAGAGCAGGATATGCTTATCGACGACCTTTCAAAAAATTTCTGCACAGGTGATTTAATATTTATTTTTAAAAAGAAACGACCTAATTTTTTGCATGACATAGTAAATGAATCCCCTCAGGGAAAAATAAAAATAGTAATTTTTTTATGTTGATATGCTTTGGCTGTAAAATATTTTGTTCACTCCCCCAATGATTGCTTTTGAATATTTTATTCTAAAAAGCTGAATAGAAATAGCTACAAATTGCGTAAAATGTTCATTTCAACAGCAGAGTGCTTAAAATTTTGTCAGTTACATGTTTTGAATAAAATTTGTGTACTTATATAATCTATATTAGAAAAATGGTATAATTTAAAGTCTAAGAATCTTAGACGCATAAAAAAATACAGAAAAATATATAAACAACAAAAGTCTATTGATTCTGTTACTGGACTTTAAAAATATTTTTATTGCATTTTTACCAAATTTCAGTTTGTGAATCTTTTATTGGAAGCATATTAAATTTATACTCAGTGTCATTTCAGCCATGCACCAAAAGTGATAGTGAAAAGGCCTTATTTATTTATATTTTGAGTTCTGTATCACATACACTTTATCTTTGACACAACTTGCAGAGGAAGAAATTAAGAGGTATAGTAAGGAGCATCATCTCACCAAAACCACCAATCGTGAGACAATTATGTTATTCACATATTCTTGTATAGTATAATTCAAAGAAGGGATTGCCACATACTCTGCTGAATGATATAAGAATGTAAATCAGAAATTTAAGGAAAAGGGGAGAAATTATGAAATCCAAGTAAGCATCTTTAGTGGCAGTGATTTTCACTTTAAAAGGGGGGAGTAAATTATAGTTTTACTTATATTAGCAATCCCTGTAATTTTTTTCCCTGTTAGTTCTTTAATATTTTCTTTTGAATTATCCCAAATTGCAAAATTTCATAAACCAGCTTGCTTAATATACTGTAGATAAAATCGTTTTGTAATTTACACTGATTTATGCCACCTGCAGTTTTATTTTAGTTTTATTATTTTATGTTTTTTCATACAAAGTACACTAAATAAATATAAATGCTATATCCCCTCCCCCCCCTAAAAAAAGAAGTTTGGTTTTAGGTATTGATTTTTGTTGCTGAATGTCTTAAAAATTTCTTTGGGAAGAATTTGGTTAGTTGAGGAAATAGTGACCACAACTACAGATTTCATTTGTTCTAATTTATATTTAAATTTAAGTCTCTGATGAAATTTTTTCTTTATATTTTCTTAATGTGTTATGTTTGTAACTTACTTCAAATCTCGAACCTTTCAAATCACCTGAGTGCATGATAGACTAATAAGAAAATATTTCAAAATCGTAAAAACAACCTTGTATTTAGTGTAAGTATATTGAAACACTCAATCAATTTCGAGGCAGCTAAAGGTCCCTCTCATCAGGAGAAAGAAATACTAGAAAAAAAAAATAAAGGGAAGGAGTCTCAGAAAAACACGTGGTCCTATTAGCACTGCACGTGGTTATAACCGGATTTTAATCAGAGTTACACTGGCACCTACTTTGCTGGGCCAGGCTATCTGATCAAACAGTAACAAAAGGACAAGAAAAATTAGCGAAGTTAAAATAGGGAGCGAGGGGCAATGGCACCTTCACGCTCAAATGTAAACTTCGAATGATTTTTAACTTGATTAAAAATCCAGTTATAACCACGTGCAGTGCTAATAGGACCACGTGTTCGAGACTCCTTCCCCTTTATTTTTTCTTCTATGTATTTCTTTCTCCTGATGAGGAGGGACCTTTAGCTGCCCTCGAAATCGATTGAGTGTTTCAATATACTTACGCTAAATACAAGTTTGTTTTTACGATTTTGATTGTCACATTAGCATGTTTCTCTTCTAGTCAAGAAAATATTTGTTTAAATTTAAGTAATTGTTATATCTAATGTTAACTATTAAATTTAGAACAAATGCTGACTAAATATACACACACATGTATAAACCCTTATTATTTCTAGAATTTAAAACCTGAAGAAATTAAGATTTGTTCATATTAGTTTGTTTTTTGATTAAATTTTGAGTGTTCATGATATCAGTTCGTATCTGCAAAATGGGAAAAAGACCATTGTGTCCACTTTGTTCTGTGGTTATTTGCAATATCAACAATAAACTAGCATTAATAAATAAACACTAAAATTAATTGTACAGATATGTTAATATTAAAATTATCTTCATAATTTTCCATAGGTATGCTATATTAACAAAACAAACATGGCCATCATGGGCAGGAGACCCCAAACAAGGTGTTATACATATCCTTAGAAGTGTAAATATGGATGACGACAACTATCAACTAGGAAAAACAAAAATTTTTATTAAAGCACCAGAGTCGGTAAGTTGCGGCAAGATTTTCAAAATCCAGTATGTAGTTTAAATAAGTAACTTGTGCAATAAAATATTATTATTAAAGTTTATAAATGAAACGCTAGTCTTGCAATAATCTGTCTTATATTCCATGAAACCTTGAAGCCAGATACTTTTTATCTACCATGAACCAATATTTATCTTACCATATTTCACCATGAAAACAAATGCATTTTGTCTGTATTTGTAAATTTACCTTTAGGTTCATGAAGAACATCATTTTGTTCCATATCTAGATCAAATCTATATCTATATATATATATACATATATATTTGAATCTAGAAATATGTACAAAAAATTTTACAAAGGAATTTATTAATTACAAAACTTCATACCTACTCATCTTACATTACTCTCCTAAATAGTTTTGAATCATGTGTTCATTATGTAATAAGATTACATAAATTTGGTAGTTATTGCCAGTTTTTTTAAACTAATAAATTTCTTGGGAATATATATAATTATGAATTTAAAGCATCATAAAATAGTAATTTTATCCTTCAGTTTGTCATCCTTCTGTTTATTTGCTTATTTTGTTTAAAAGGAGAAAAGTGTATTTGCACAGACATTGCCAAGATGTCAAAGAATGCTATATGTGAGTCAATCTGGAATTCAGCTTATGCATTCCAAATATAAAATTGAAATTTGTAAATCAAAAAATGGTATACTATTGCATTTATGTATAAAAAGTACTGACAACATTCTTACAGTTTTTGTAATTAACTAACTCCTTTCAATCTTTTCATCTTTTAAGATGCATAACAAAAGTTTCCAAAGTGAATTAGTGAATTGTTCAAGTTACAGAAAATGAAAGACTGCTTTTAATTTATACTTTTGTTTTATGTATTGCATTCTGCAGAATCTTCCCCTATCCAATTATCTTATTGGATATCTATTATTTATCTTATCCATTATCATTCTTACAGAATTTTTAAAGTAATAAATTTAAATTGTTACTTATATTGTTTCTTTAAAATGAAAGGGGAGGAAAGTTTATTGGAGATATACATTTTGTCAAAAACTATATTTTTTTGCTTGTTCATGATAAATAAGTAGAAAACTCATAATTTAAAAAATGCAATTTTGTTTCCCGCTCAAAAAGATGTTAAAATAGTTTCAAAAATACTTGTCTTTTATAAGAGATGCAGTTTTCCTGTTTTCAAATCATATTTGTGCTACTTGAAAATCAAATGGAAATTATTTGTTATTAGTATTCTAAATATATTTAAAATACAATGATGCATCATAATTTTTTTATAATTGATAACTAATAAGTAATATTTTCCAGTTATTTTTACTTGAAGAAATGAGAGAGAGGAAATATGATGGTTATGCCAGAGTTATTCAAAAAGCATTTAGACAGTACTTTGCTAGAAAACAATATCAGAAATTAAAAGAACAAGGTGAGTTTTTATTAAAATACTAGGCATTGAAGCAATTTCATAGACATAAACTCCTTTAATTTCTTTAGAGAAGTTTATTAATGCAGTTTGCTTGAACATTATCAGAGATGGTATTTACATAACTAGCAATTAAGTTCATCATAAAATATTATTTTCTGTTCTGTAAAACAATTGGCTATGAATAATGTGAAAAAGAATTTTAATTTCTAAATGTGTAGTTCCACTTTTAACTTTGAAATCAATTTATTAATTATTGCTCGTCTTTTATTTCTCTGGTAATTAAATGTGGTAGTGTGAATATTACCTGTGTTTGCATATAACATGCTATTAATTTCTGTATACGAAAATACAGTTTTTCATTTTAGATATTATACATGAGTAAGTGTATAGTATGTCATAGGAATGTGCAGTAAGTCATAAATGTGAATACACACATGTATAAGTATGTATAATGATACTTCCATCAAAGTGTTTTAATAGTACATTAAACAAGCTAATTTTTGTGCAGTATGAATAGTTTCTGCATTTTGGTAGTGGCTGTGTTAATTGTTCTATTTCAAGGGCAGTAAGTTCTGGGTATTTTTAAACTTGAAATAGTTTTAGATAGACACTTTTTTAAATAGTTTCCTTTAAATAGTTTTAGATAGATTTTTCACATATTAGAACGGCCCTTAATTTAGAATGCCAATTTTAATTTTACCCTCTTCTCTTTGAACCAAACTTTTAACATGTAATAGATACCAAACTTTTAACACTTTTAATAGAACCAAACTTTTAACATGTAATAGATAATTTTAGTAAGTTATCTGTTAGTTGTCTTCATTTGAACAAAAGGTTTTAATCACAAAATAGTGTTTAGAAATAAAGAATATAGCATGATCATAATTTTTAGATATGTCAGAGAATTATTGAATAAACCTTGTTACTTTGTGCTGAATTGATACATTTCAAAAGAGGTTTTACCAATGTGAGTTCAATAATAATGCTAATATCTTCCTGAAAAATAGTAATTTCATCATGAAATGAATGTTTGTGGCACTGCTGACCATTCAGATTGCATAAAATCCTAAAATTCACTGTTTTTAAATAATTGCTATCATGTTTGTCCCATGTAAGTAATAAAATGTAAAATGTTTTTATTATAAAAGTTAAAAGCACTGAATGAGTAAGTCTATATATGTTGTTTGTTTGGCATATTTGTTTAAAATTATTGTGTTAGTATGTGCTCTTCTTCACAGCATCATCATACTATGTTATATTTAGGAGGATCAAAATGTACCTTCCTTTTCAAAAGTATATTAAAACATGTTTTAAGGTATCATACAAATAATATCTAATTATCTAGATGGATAGAAAAGGAAACGATATTTCAAGTTGAAGTTTTAAATTATTTGTGTGCATTTGATCTTGTATAAATTATATTTTGACCTTCAGCCATTTAATTAGCAATTAATGTCTTTTCAAAGTCTGAATTTAATGCAAGTGTTTTTTTTTTTTTTTTCTCTCCCTGTGTGTAGCATCTGACCTCTTAGTAGGCAAGAAAGAAAGGCGAAGGTACAGTCTTAATAGAAATTTTATTGGTGATTATATTGGATTAGAAGATAATCCAGCCATTAGAGCTTTAATAGGAAAAAGAGAAAGAATTGAATTTGCAGAAACTGTAAATAAATATGATAGACGTTTTAAAGTAAGTATTTGTGAATATTAAGTAGTTTTATGAATTTATGTAACTGATATGCACCATTTGGTATTAATTGGTTTTAATGATTTTGTAAAAATAAATTGTTTGTATTTAAAGCTTGAGAATTTTATTTTTTTACTTTTTATGCAGCTACTGTTGTCTTTTGTAGTTTATGTTTTAAGGTTGGAATAATATTACACAGTACAGTGATAACAATTCAAAATAGAATTCATTTCTGATGCTTGAGAGCTTGTAACTAATATGATCAGTAATGACAGAAGTAGAAGATGCATGTTAATTCATGCATATCTTGAAATTGGTGATGTGTAACTGCATATTTACTTAATAATATTGCTTTATTGTTTTGATAATTACATATTTATTTTATTAAATCTGCATGCTTTTTCTGAAGCTATTAATCATTTTTATTTAGAATGTGTTGATGCTTTTCCAAAACAAAATTCTCGGTTTTTTGTAAGCCTTAACAAGCAGCTGTTGCGCTGTAAATTTTCTCTTCGAGATATGTAATATATGCTATTTTGGACCAAAGTATGGAACAAATAAAGTATGTTGCATGCAATGAATATCATTGCTTTTGAAGAAGTCATCAATGAAATCGAACATTAGTGTCCACAAAGATTAGCTTTTATTAGACAAACTTTTAAGGCAGATGAAAAGTCTTAAAATTTTATGTAGAATGATACATTTTTCTTCTAAAATTCTTTATTTATGAGAACAATATATGTATTTTATTCTCTCCTCTAGTTTGAGTTCCTTTTATAAAGAAAGTAGGTCTGTTTTATTTAGTATATCAGTACTTCTTATCATCATTATGATTCCATTTTATAATAGCAGGCAGAAAGCAATTTGTTCATCTTTCTATTCAGAATCAGACTTTTTACTATGCTTTGGATCATTACAGACTAAAAAAGGGAAAATGCCCTTTAAAAGGCTTCATTTGCAGTATTAATTTTGTTAAATACTATCATCCAACTGAAGACTTATGGGAAGTGTAGGCGTCTGAACATAGAAACTTCTGTTCGGGTAATATAATGTCATGTATGTCTAAAAGCTGTAATGTGCCCTGAAATCTTTTTTCCTGTGACTATTGCATACTTAAGAGAAATAATTGCTTTGTTTCTTAGCTTTTGGAGTAAAATAATAGTCTTACATCAAACTTCTCTCCTGTGTATTTTTGTAGAACTTCATTTAAATTTGCAGTGTCTTTGTTTGCTCTACACTGAATGTCTTGAATTTCCTGATATGGTCTCCAAATACTGACAGACTATTTCAGAGTGAGCCTTTTTTGTGTGTAACTAAACTGCATATCTCATGTCTGATTACCATTTCTAGACTTTTTTTATTCTGTTTGCATGTCTATATTTGCAACATATTTTCCTTACCTTTCATATATTGTGAATTATATACAATTTTATATCTTCTAAATTTTGAGCACTGTTGTATCCTGAAATTATACATATGATGGAATCAAACTGCTATTTTCAAAATGTTGATCTTTCTTTAATGAATAAATATTCAAGGTGTCCGTGTATAAACTAATACCTGGAATTAAATTTTGCCAAATTTCATGTCTGCTGCCTGTGTATACTCAACCATCATAAATTAGTTCAGAAACCGTTGAATATATAAGCATTAATCATAGTTATACCTTTTAATTTCAAATATTTAACAGTACTTTTTTTTTAATTTAACTAGTATGTGTTTGATTATTTTTAGATTTTACGGGTACGTAATTTTCTTATCCATCAATCGTAATTGTGTTTTCTTTTTTAGGTCACAAAGCGAGATTTAATATTAACACCCAAATGTGTATATCTCATTGGAAGGGAAAAGGTGTGTAAAAATTAGTTTTCTTAGCAGTAAAGGCAAAATTAATACAATTTTATGTCACTTAAAATCAAATATATACCTTAAACAGCTATACCCAGTTTCTTCATATTTAATGTGACACATTTCAGTTGTTTAAGCTAGCAGAACACACTGAAACAGTGTTTTGCAAACCATTTTTCATATTAGCAGTTCCAAGTCATGAAATAAAAGTATATGTTGTAAACAGTGTGTTTAGATTTTTCCTTGCTAGCTATTTTTTCATATGTAATCCATAAGAAAATATTATTGACAAAATTAAGTTCAATACCTGATAATGGTATGACTTTTTTTCTGTTGATTTTCAAATTTGATTTCTATTAAGTAAATTTCACTTTGGAATGCAAATCTGCATGCTAAGTGACTATATGTGTGCAGCTAAGAGTATAAATATAAAGCTGTAGGAGGAAATAATAGGTGCAAGTAGAAATGGAAAAAGCATAACAGTTCTGGTTTTTTTTTTCCGGGGGGGGGGAATTTTCCAGCAGCATAAATGAAATTCTCCACAATGTTTAAAAAACAAGAAGTTTAATCAATATTGTTAGCAGTTGTATTAAACAGTAATTTTTTATATTGAAAAGTATCATTAGTGGTTAAATTTTAATATTCTTAAAATTTTTGTGATATTTAAATACTACTAAATGCAGTATATTTGAATTAAAAATAATTATAACATCTTGCAGAATATTTCAAAAATTCATATTCAGGTAAAATTTTAAAAACTTTTTTAATAGTAGAATAAATTATTATCCTCCCAATCATTCTAATTCATATCAACTGAAATATATTTCTGGATTTTTGTAATATATTACTTCTTTTAACAAATATCTATTTAAGGTATTAGCTCTCCTTCAGTTTTGATTTTTTGATAAAATTGCAAAAACAGATGAATAAGTTTGAGTCAGATTTGATATCATAAAAATATCCTACACAGCAAATGAAATGCTCTGATGTTATAATCAATTGTTCTTTCCATCTTAATGCCTTTTTTATATTGCAGAATACATGTTTGTTTATAATGGTTTCACAATTTATTTTAATGAGTTCTATCAGTCTAATCTCTTATGAGTAAAATTTGGGTTTAATCAAAAAGTTAATAGTAGACTAGTGTAAAATAAAAATTTACCAGATATTTTTGTATTTTGCTTAATCTTTTATTCTAGTTTTAAAGTGCATTAAATATTGTAGATTACAAAGTATTCTTCTAAAATGCGAAGTATTCACTTAAATATATTTAAACTTTAAATAAAATGTGCAGATTTTAAAATTTTAAAATACAGAAAGAGTTAATACATTTTCTCTTTCTCTATTTAAATAGTAAAAATGGTTTCGCCCCCTCAAAAAGAAGTTTTAAAAATGAAATGATTTCATTTTAATATATTCACTTCTATGTGATAACGTTAGTTTCAAGTACAGTGAGTTTGACTTTTTATAATTGTGTAGCATGTGTTTTTCATGATTTTCCTCATGCAACCTAGTTGCCATTAGAAATAATTCCACAAAAGCATGTCTTTCTATTGGTAGACAGCTGTAGTGCAATTTATTATAATCAGAATAAGGGTGTTTCATATTGAATGGGACAAAAAGAAAGCATACCTGTGAATGCTGTAAATACTTAATTATGATAAATAAAATTTACTGTGTAGTTATAGCTATTCAAGTTTCTATAGATGTTCTGTGTGTGTGACCAGTGGCATGGGAAATATGTATGTGGTAGTTTGTTTCTTGCCACACTCATGATAGAATATCTCAGTGGTCAGCAAAGCGATGGCTTGTCGTTTGACCCAGTATGACCAGACCAGCATTGGGGTAGACTATCGTTCAGCTCCTGGCATATGTTTTAATGCTGGTGTAATGGAGAACCGTCAAGCTGCAGAATGAAGCTGGGAATCGCTTCCTCCAACGGAGGGAACAACCACTGTGATGAATATCTTAGTAAAATACACCTATAAATCAATGTTTTCATGAAGAAAAAAGGACCCAAGGCAAAACTGTTGGAAATGGCGCAGAAAACATTCACCTTTGGAGAATCATGCATATGTTTTGTGGACCATGTGGACTTTCCATGTCCCAAAATCATAAATTATAATGATTAACTTTCTCAGAAACTTGAAAAGTGACTTCATCCATAAACACACTCTGACCATCTACCTCCAACTTATCTTGCAAATTCACTCAGAAGCTTGTTGCACAGAATAATTTGTTCTAAGGTTTTAATGCCTGCACCATTTGAAAAGTGTATGTCGAGAATTGCAGATGTTTTCATAACACATGCAACATCATTACAGGAGATAAATTGAGTTTAGAACTCGCATGGCATGTTGATTTTCTGGGATTTTGTAAAAATGCTTCATGAATTTTTTCAACCACTTTGGTTTTGGCTGATGTTCATTCTGGGCTGTTAACTGCTTCATCCACCATTCTATGTAGTGGTTCTTTACCAAATTTTGTGCGAAAATGTGTTTGAGCTATGATAAATCAAGATGTTTTGGTGTACTCACAAAACACAGTATGCTTTCTCTTGCATGGATGGCACCATTTTTCTTAACAATGCCTCTATCGGTGGTTTCTTAACCTGAAGATATTTTGCTGTTGTCAGATAAAACTTGTGGTTTCAAAATTAATTTGTTTTGGTGGTACTATTCCGTTTTGAGGACCGTAAAAAAATTGCAGCAAAAATGTATGCACAAAAGCGCCAAATCTAGCAAATGCGCCCATTTAACAGTGCGCCAAATCTAGCGTACGCACTGATTTCAGATTGCATACGTTTATATAGTTCTATATTTCTTAAGACGCCATTGAAATACTAGTTTAATTTTTAAATCTTTTTTTGATTTTAAATATTTTTTTGATATCCTATGGATTTAACAATTTGGGAATTGCCCATGACGAAAAGTGTGCAATAAAATTTTTGGTTGAAGTGCAGAATCACCCACTGCTTGACACGTTTCTAAGAATTGCACATATTCAGTATCTATGTACATATCGACCTATTTTCACCTCGAAAAAATCCCAGAATTGCACAAAAATGGCACTGTGCACACCCTTGACTTTCTCTATGTACACATCGACCTATTTTCACTTAAAAAGTAAAAGAAAACTGACAAAAATCCAATTGTTTATAGCCTTATAAAAAGCGACAAATAAATAAGTGGGCAATTCTGTACTTTACCGAGAATTTTTTAAAAAAAAAGACATTGATCATTATAGAAAATTATGTTTGAACAGCCAACGAGATGAAACTATGCTTTAGCGATAATTTGGTAGCAAAATACCGATGCAGGCATCCATTCAGTTATGTTTAGCAATTTTTATATAAATTATAATAATGATCTGAAATAGTTGTTTACTCTTATGCTTCAATTCACTCATGTTTAGCCTTTTTTATAAAATTTATAATAATAAAAAGTATTATTTGAAATTCATCTAAATTAAAACAATCTTGGATAGTTATTTACTATTATACTTTCTTTCTTGCATTAGGGTTGCCGCAGTTATTTTTGGCAACACTGGCATCAACAATAGTTTGGCGATTTTTTACGGCCCTCAAAACCGAATAGTACCGTTTTGGCGTATTAAATCAATTACGGAATTTGTACTATGCTATTCATTCTTTTTATCTCATTCAATATGACTCGCTTTATGTAGTGGATTTGTTTATATCTTAATGCTTAAAATTATATTTTAATAAATTAAATGAATTATATCATTAAAAATATTTAATAGAATTTGTAACATATTTATATATTGCAATTAGTAATTGCATTTTATACAATAAAATCTCTCCAATGTGATTACCTACTATTCTTGACATATTTGGTTGCGATAGAACATGTATATCTGAGTTGCTTTATATCATTCTAGTTCTTAAATATTGTTTCTTTCAGAGATAGTTGCTGTGAGAGATTTCACTGTATTTTCGTTTTTCAATATATTATGCACTTCCGTTTATTTTAATTTCTTTAATTAAAACTTTATATATGCAAAATTCAGATGTATTGTTTTAAAATTTATAGGTTAAAAAAGGTCCAGAAAAAGGACGTTACAAAGAAATTATAAAGAGAAAAATAGAAATAGAAAATATATCTCATATTTCTTTAAGGTAAAATACAATATATCTATTTTTTGTTCTGCGACTTAATCAGTTCATCAATTGGTTAAATGCTATAATAATTATATATAAAAAGATATGCTATCATGAACAATGATATTCTTGTATATTTTGTTGCAAAAGTGCAGTATTTCTTAAAATATTTAATATTACTTATACAAAGTACAAAATATGCTAAAAGATCAGAAAGGTACACCGTTTGGAACAAGAGAATATATCGATTTCAAGTCATTAAAAAAAGTTATTAGATTTAAGTTAAAAAGCAAAATAAAAAGAAAGTGCATATGGGTTTTCTTTCCCCTTTTTTATTTTTTAACTGTGGAAGAAAATAAAAGTATGTAAAGAGACATTAACAGTAATAAAAATTCAGAAAGTAGTTTTTTTTCACAATTTTTTTTTATTCTGTATTTTAACTCAACCTCTTTTAACCTTTCTTTATTTTAACCCAAAACTGTAGTGGATATATTCTGTTGTATTCATATACAAAAAAAATTCTTGAACATATTTCCTCGAATGGTCAGAAATAGTTTAGTTTGTTGTACCCGAGTTAACTTGGTTGAGTGCATTAAGAGATCATGAAATTTTTTTAATATTTTTAAACATTTATTTTATAATAATTCATTTTAAAACTCCAGGATATTTTAGTCTGAGTCTCTATTTCCCATCACCTTGCTTTATTGTATATTATCATATTACTTTATGATCAGTTACATAGCTTTGTTCTAAAGAGTTCAAAGACTGTACTTCTAAAGCTAAATTTTCATTGGATGTTATCATTTCAATATTCATCTTATTGTAATCATGCTCAGAATTTCAGAATTTTGTATTTAAAAAAGAGAGAGAGAGGAAAAAAAATGTGCTAATTTCATCATCAGCCCATTTGATAGTGGTCTTTTAGTTCAACCAAATTTATCAGCCAACCCGCAGTGTCTTTCCCCCCCCCCATGTGTTTAGTTTTCAACTTTTTTTTTTTTCTTTTGTGTATAACGAAACAGTTTTTTAGCTTTAGCTTGTACTAAAACCTCAGTTTATAGTAAATTTGGCATCTGCCCCAAGTGTTTTTTTTTTTTTTTTTTTTTTTTAAAGATCATCTCATTTTAGTTAGCTTAAATTTCATTATGATAACTTTTAAGAACTTGCATAGCTATTGGATATCATTTCAAAAATAAATAATTTCAATTTAGGAGTACATACCAATTCTAGAACTGTTATCAAAATGTCTATCAAAACCAATTCTGTGATCAAAAGGTTTTTGGGGATTAAATACTAACAAAATTCAAAATGAAATATTTGAGACACTTCACAATTTTATGTCAGAAAATGAACTTCAGTGTACAGAGAGAAGATAATAACCCATGTAAATGAATTGCAGGTTATTTAAACATTACTTTCCCAAACATATACCAAACATAAGTAAGAAAAAAACAACTGGATTTCAAATCCTTTCAATAAAATTTCTTTAAAGCAGTCTCAAAATTATCATTCTCTGAAAGAAGAACAGCTTTTTGATTATATATCTTGATTCACTGTAGTTTATTAAATTTGTTATGTTAAAATAATACAATTTATGATATATTACTGAAATACTGGAGGCTATGAGAGGAGATGTATAATTGCAGAGTTTATCAAAAGGGATGTGAAGATGTGTTTGTACTTACTTCTATTAATCTAAAGTATTTTTATTCTTTATACTAGTTCCACCTGTATTGATACATTTATTATTTTCCGGATGAGCAAAATCTCTGATCAAAAAAGTACATAAATTCTCAGTTATTTTGTAGTTTTATGAAAGAAAATGAATGATTTTTCATTATTATGTGACTATAAAAACTAATTGGCTAAATGCAATCCTAACGTAATTCTACTAGTTTCTTTTAATTCTTTATGCTTTAAACCATTAATATGTGTAAAGCAAAGTGCTTTAATGAGTGACACTTAATTCAAAGCTTTAAATTATGACTGTGATACAAGTATCTTTGATCATGTCTTCTTGTTTACGAAAAAAGCATACTTTTGGATACAAATACATCAGTTTAAAGGGTTTTAAATCAAAAAGAAAACTAGATTTTTTTAAGAGAGTTGATCTGACAGTTGTCAGGGAATTAAGGCAAATATTAAAAAAGGGAGGGAAGAAGAAAAATATGTCATGCTTTTATGTAAAAACATAAATGAGAATGATAATTGTTTACAATTTCTGTTTTGTCTTTGATAAATAATTTATGTGTATAATATAAATTCATGTCAACATCTTTTTCAGTACTCACCAAGATGACTTTATTGTTATTCATGTCAAGAATGATTATGGAAGTCTTTTGGAAATAACATTCAAGACAGAATTTCTAACTTTGCTCAACAAAAAGTTTCAGGAGCGAACAAACAAACCTTTAAATATACAGTTTAGTGATTTGTAAGTTTTTTATATATTACCTTTTATTCTGTTATATTTTCTGGTTATCTGCATTTAAAATTAGAATTTTCACTAATATTTATTTTCTCATTTCAAGACTAGAGTTTAAAGTGAAAAAGGAAGGCTTTGGTGGGGGTGGAACAAAACAAGTGAAAGTAGTTAATGGCCAAGATGCACAGCCAGTTTGTAAAATCAGTGGCAAATTGATGACTGTGAGTATAGCTCCTGGACTTCCAAAGGAATCTCGTAAGTTTTTTTTTTTTTTTAATAAATGCAGATATTACAGCATTTTGATATAACTGAATGAAATATTCAACTATGTTTTCTCCTCTTTCTTTCCTCCCTTCCTTTTTTTTATTTCTAATTGTATAATCTGATAATGTCTTTGTAGTCTTATTCTCTTTTAAATAAGTTACCCAGATGGTATAGTGGTTAGGAGAGTCTACTGTGGCACCAAAGGACTGGTTTTAAATCCCAGGGAAGACATGGATGTTTTTAAATGTATAGTATTGATGCAGCATGGTGGCACTCTAAATATATGGTGAGCCTAAAGATAGGCAGACAAATAGACAAAAAAAGTAATTTGATTTTACTGTACCTATATGAAGGAGAATGGATAGCATAATTAGTAAATTATGAGGAAGATGTTATTGTTTGGATGCCAAACTCCTTTCCAATGTTTCTCTAGCGAGACATGGCATGATCATTGAAAATGCTTATACTAATAGGTGATATTGTTACATTATCAAAGTGATATTGTTACATAGCATCTTTTATATCTTATCTGATTAATGCACAGATGTTGGGGATAAGATATTTAGGACATTTTTTTCTTTCTTCCTCTTTTTCTGGAGACCTTTCATTCACAATCATTTTTCATGGCTGCTTCTGAAATTGTAGTTCTTTTTTGTTGAACTCATATTTATAGCCCTCTAGTAACCTCTATATCTTGATTGTTGAATTCCTAACCAATGCTTATGCTTAGAGACAGATTATAATAAAAGAATCAAAAAGTGTTCAGAGTCTTTGCCTACAACCCACTCTTTTCATAATTTCATCCAGGCCGAATCAATGGCACTTGCTACCAGGCTTTGTTAATGAGAATTCAGCAATGGAAAATGTTAAAGTGATGTTTCCAAAAGTCCCTGAGTTTTAATTATATGGCTTTAGGTATTGACTTTCAAATACCTTTAAAAATGATGTGTTGCCTACATGGATGTTCATACCTCGAGACCCTCTTCATCATCCGAGGCATTTTTTGTTCAGATAGTTTATTCAGAAAGTGAGACAATAGTTATCTATGATTCAATTATACCTTATTAATTCTGAAGGGTATCATACATATCGAAATAGTGAGGCATAGAAAAGGTACTTTTCTGTTAAACACTTCACACCATTTGCCCCAAGAAAGATCGTGAATTTGAAAAGTGTCATCAGTAACTGTGAACAGTTTTAATAATTTAAGTAATACTAAAAGGCCAATGGCTGTATTAAATACCCAAATGATTGTGCAAAATATATATGTGTGTGTTATATTAGGGTTCAGAACTACTGATTACGTTTTTTAATCAATGAGTCTGTCTCGGAGGAAATGATGAAGTGGTTAAAACCATACCACTTGGCACTTTCATTTTGATTCATTAAATTATGATGTCAAAAGTTAATGCCTGTTTAGTTTTGTGATCTACAGTTTCAAAATAATCACATCACAGCAGTTGAATATAGAAAATTAACATAGGTGTGATATGTTTCAGTCCCTTATTATCTAATCATAGTGTTAAAAATCAGTAGACAGAACAAAATTCTGGAAATAGGCCAAAGCTTACTCACAAAAAAGGCCAAATATGTAGGAAATGCCTTCCTCTGCAAGCATTTTTTAAGGATTCTGTCATGAAACCTGAAAAATGTTTTCTTGATGCTATGAGCAGAAATTTAAACAAGCAGATTGTTCTTTATTGTATTAGCTAATAGAGGGATATGAATTACGGATATAGCATATAAGAAATTTAAATCACTTGTAATTTTTCACATTACATCGCCATTGATTATCCAAAGTCACATATTATGCTTTTTGATGCTCAGATCCTGTAACTTTGAAAATCTTCCACTTCATGCAGTCCCAAATATTAATAATTTTCTCAAAATGCTAGAAAAGAAAAGAGCTAATATCTTTCCTTACAAAAATTAAATTGTCCTGTCAATAATTAATCGAATTTACGTTAAACCAAAACAAGCATCTTATGATTTTGTTTTGAGATGACATAATTAAAGATATGTTTCTTTTTTATCATAATTTTTTTATATGTACTACAATTAGAATTTCATCATCATCATTTTCATATCATATTTCTGCATTTTTGTTTCTATTATCATGCTGTGTATCTCATCATAAATTAAGCCAAAATTCCAAAGTATATCCATCTGTGATATTCACTAATCCTCTTACTCATCACTATTGACAGACCATGTTTATTTAATCTTAATTTTATTTATCAGTTCTTCAAATCATGCTTTTAGGTATGTTACATCATGAGAAATTTCTATCGTCTAACAATGTATTGTATTCTTTTTAAGCATAAATTTGTAGCCAAAGAAGGTAAACAGGAAACTTCCAAAAACATTTATATTTCAGTTAATCCCTAATATCAGTTTTGTTAATATATTTATTTGATTATGTGGATTTATTTGTTTCATTGATAGGTCCTGGTAGCAGAGACTTGGAAGTTGTAAGAAATAGGAATTCTGTGCGTCCTTTAGTCAATCATAAAAGGTCATCAACACGTATGGTACCACGAAGAAATGCTCCAGCACCTCCTGCTTCTAATCCTGCTTTACAATTAGCACATGCCTTAGAGTCTAGAAAAATAGGTAATATTCATTTCATACATCCTTTTTAATTAAGTTTTATTATTTTAATAACAATTCTGAGTACCTGCTAGGTTTCTAATTTTAATATATAGTGACTAGTTTTTAAATTAAAATAAAATTGTGAAGTCTGATTTTATTTTAAAAAGTATTTATCTGTGCAGTTTTTAACTTCTAAAAAGTATTAGTTCTAGCACACCTTTTTTTTATTACTTTGTTTCTTTTTTAATTCCTTTCCATTTTAATTTCACATTGATTGCAGAAGAATAAATTGTTCTATTTATTCAGTTATTTCAGTTTATTATTGTGAAATTAGTTCAGTTTTCCTGAATGTGCTTTATCATTAGCATATATGTTTGCCATGCCTGAATTGTTTAAACCACTTTTATCAGTGAGTGAAATATTCTGATCTTAGACTTTTCATGTGATTGTTTATTTTTCCAATTTTCTTTAAATTAAAAAGTCATGCATCCAAAGTTTTGATTATTGGGAAAGTTTGCTGTTTATCCAAATTAGGTGTCGCTTTATGACTATGCCAGTTCTATCAAAATCTTGTTTTATATTATTGAATTTGTATTATATGGAACTTAATCTTGAAGTAGAAAAATAAATACTAAAAATCATCTTTTCTCTATTTAGCTTCATCTGTATCTAATTCTAAAAATATTCAAAGAAATAATGAAAAAATGCCAGTCTTATCTAAAGCAGTATTTGAGAAGAGATTGAGCCAAAAGAAGATTCATCCACAGAGCAATGGAAATGCATCTCAAGACTTTTTAAAAACACCTGAAGCTGGTGTGGCTGGGTTAGTAGCAAAATTTAAAAAATAAGTAAATAAAAAATAATTTTAGGAAAAATATAGGTAGAATCATTTTATTAATTGATTTTAAAAAAGTCATTATGTGATGTTTATATTTGAAATGTCTGTTTGATAACTTATGATTTAACCATTAGTATCTATCTTGTAGGGATTTTTAAAATATCAGAATGTGTATTAAAAGAATTATATGTACTATTAATTGTGCAACTGAAATACAAATTTAATTCTAAATCATTAAAATTTATATAAGTAAATTTATTAGTGCATAACTTTGTATAAGTGCTGTAACTGTTAAATCATACATACATAAAAAGTAGACCTAATCATATTCAGCTGGAGCTTATTCAGATCAGAGAAAGAATTGATATTCATTAATTCAAAGTAATGTTTAGATATTTTTATATAAGGAAAAAAGTTATTAAATCAGGCATATTGCATTTAAATATTTAAATTTTATAATCTGAAAAATAGAATGTTTCAGATTATAAAAATATAAGAGCATATAATGTATATTTGTGCATTTTTATTTAAATAAAAATCATAACTTTGTTTAATTATAAGGATTTTTGTTTGAACTGACCTTAAAATGTATAGTATTAATTTACATCTCTCTCTCTCTCTTTCTTTAATATAAAGGTTGCAAAGGTTAAACACTCGACAAATAAAGCCACCACCTGGAGGTGGCAGGCCAAAACCACCTGCTAAACCTAAACCTGCTCTACCTCAGTGCAAAGCTATCTTTGCTTATGATGCCCAAGACACTGACGAATTAACATTTGCTGTTGATGATATAATAACTGTGATTAAACAAGGTAAAAATTTATTTTGCAATGCACTGGTACATTTTCAGATTTTCATATGTATTTGAATATCAGATTACATCCTTCCAGCATATCTTTCTTTATTGATAAATTAACCCTTTACATATTTTTTAAAAAAAAATTTCTACCATAGTTGTAGCTATTTTATGCTTGGAACATGTTTAGATAAAAGAAATATTTAAACTTGGTACCATTTAAAAAAAACTTGTATAATATAGGCTATTTACAGTTTTTTATGGAGAAATTTTTTGCTACTTAAGAGCTTAGTAAAGGTAATTAAGAAAACTGTAAAACACTTTCTGAGCATTTTGAATATTATATATTATTCATAATGAATTATCTCTACATATAATAAAAGAAAGAGTCTGTCTGTGTGTGTGTGTGTGTCTTTTGTTCGCACTGCGCGTAAGCTAATAGACCCACGGCTACGAAATTTGGTACTGAGGTGCATCTAGACAAGAGCCAGTGCACCTCGAAGCGATTTTTTTCAAAATTCGAATTCGAATTTTTTTTATTTTATGTTTTGTGATGAAATCGCCTCATTTTGAGACATAATGGTCTATATGAAAGAGAGATTTTACTCTACACACACTCCATTTTCACATCGTCGTGAAACGTAGGCACTTAGCTATTTTACGAACTTAAAATAAATTTCATGTTTCAATAAATCGATTAAATACGAATTTATTTAACAAAGGGAGCTTAACACCTTTTCAACTTGATTTTTATAAAAAAGTTTATTTTAAAAAATGTATAGTTTATTTTTCTTTGATTTTTGGACACGTTAAACTTTCATCCTTGCGACTGCTTTTACAAAAAGAATTTTGGGAAAATGATGATATTTTGTATTTTTAAAACTTTTTTTAAATGAAGCTTCCGAGTACATTTCTCACATCTCACATCTTTAAAAATGTTATTTTGGCAACAATTTTCCTGTCTTATTGTTGTTGGTAGATTTTTGATGAAATCGCATCATTTTGAATAGTTTCATTCTTTTAGAAATATGAGTTTGGCAACAAATTTTCATCGTATTTCTTATGTCATTGTTTTTAAGAGATTGGCATATTTCATTGTCATTTATATAATACATTTTTTTTTTTTTTTTTTTTTTTGATAAAGTTGTTCTGCAGAGTAAAAAATCTGCGCGGAATTTTATGTTTTTTGAGTTGCTTTCATGTTATGTTTTGTTTATTTCACTGTTTGTAAGATAGTGAAAAGTTTTGCATGATTTTTTTTCTTCAACGAAAAGTTGGTTAATTTTTTTTATTAGGATAATTAATATTTGTATTAAGAGATATAGCTTATTTCATTGTAAAATTTTTTCTCTTGAAAATATAAGATAAAATATCATTAATTATACTTGCTTTTCAGAATTTTTTTGTTTTTTGTATTCGTTTTTTATTTTGTTATTTATTGCTCATTTCACTGTTTTTAAGATATTGAAAAGTTTTGAGTGATTTTTTTAGGAAACAAAATTCTTAACCTCCTTTATTCCATTTGAGTTCTTAAGATTTTGCAAAGGGTAGTTGATTAATTTATTTATTGGGATAATTAATATTTGTATTAAGGGATATTGCTTATTTCATTGTAATTTTGTAATACGTGCTTTTTTTAATTAAGTTGTTCTGCAGAGTAAAATTCTACGCAGTTTTTAAATTTAATGTTTGGTGTTTCCTTCAGCCATTTTTCCGGTACATTTAAAAGCCAGACGAAGGCTGGCAGCGAAGCTGCTAGTATACTATATAATGTGTTATAATTGTAAATAGTATATTAAATAATGTGTTATAATTGTGAACAGTATATTATATAATGTGTTATAATTGTGAATAGTATATTATATAATGTGTTATATAATATATTTTATGATAAGTTATGTAATGTGTCATTTAATATATTGAAATTCTAGAAATTTTTATGGAATGTATATGTATGTCTGTTACGTAAAAATTAATTGTGCTGTTAGTAAATTTTAAAAAAAATGTCAACTGATACTTAAGTATTTATTTATTTTTCTCCTTTCTCATTTAACAGTATTTAAAATATAAGTACTTTTTGATTATATTCACCACCAATTTCAACATTAATTTTGTATGTGCTTGGTATATTTTCGCAAACACACTTGAAAATAGGCAGCTCCCCCCCATATGTGCATATACTAGTCACGTGTTTCAGTATATGTGAATTTACAAAATTCAGCCATCATTTTTCTAATTGGTTTTTTTTTTTTTTTTTTTTTTTTTTTTGAGTGCATTTGTTTTTGTCATAATAAATCATACTGGGACTGTAGCCTTTGCTGGCTTATGAAAAAGAAGCATGTTGAATTTGTTAAAAAATATAGCATTTTCTCCAACCATAGAGAATTTGAAAGTTCATATTGTTGAAAGCTGTATTTCCTAAATGACTGCATTTTATAATAATGCAATGTCAAAAATTTCATGTAAATGTGTTAGAATACTGGTCATAAATTGCATTGAAGATAGCCATATCTCCTTACAACAACTGTTCACTTTGTGTATTGTTTGGCAAAGGAATATATGCAAATCAAATTCTGCAAAGAAGAATTAGGATTATCCTCAGACACAACTGTCGATTGGTGTAATTGCCTCTGACAACTATGGAAAAAAAATGAGGTACAAAAAAAAGCCCCATTGGATGCATTGTCAAAATAGACAAGAATCTCTTTATGAGGCATTAAAATAATGCTGGATGAATCCTTCCATAGAACTGAATTTTTAGAGGAATTTGCTATTTAACAGAGGAAAATATTTTGGTGACTGTTCTAGACAAAAATACAGTAATGTCAGATTTGTATTTTAGATATCAAACTAAAAACTACCAATCTTCTCGAGTAACTTGAAGGGGTATAGCAGTCATTTGTTAGATTTTGGAAATGATTTTTAGTCCTTTAAAAGACCTTAATTTTTATGAAAATTTGCAAGTAGTCCTTAATTTTTCTCATTCAGTATTTCCATTTCATTTCTGTGACTGCTATTTGGTGTAGGAATCAACATTTTGGATGAATATAGGAATTCAAACCATGCAAACTTAACAAAGCCATTGTAGATTGATATTGTAAAAAGGGAAAAACAGTCACTTGCAACTCTCTGAAACAAGTTTTAAAATCAATGACTGCTTTTTCACACTTCTTTCAAAATAGGTATTATCAACAAAGTACCATCTTATTTGCAACAAAAAAAGTTTCTTGAACTTCGACCTTAACCTAATGGCCACACCCCAACTTACTGTGATGAAAGCATGATCATCCAGGAGCTCATAGTTAAAACATTATAAAGCATGTGTTTCCTTTTACTGTTATCTGAAAATTCATCATGAGTAAAGACCAAAGATTGGTTAAGGCATTTGAAGAAAAGGGAGGATATTTGGAAAAAATAATCTGCTGGACCAACTAAAACAATCTAAATCTGGAGAGAGTTCATCTGTTTCTGTGCTGCTAGAAACAATGGAGACCATCTGAAACGGGAATTGCCAAGCAACTGTTTTTTATTATTATTATTATTATTATTATTATTATTGTTGTTGTTGTTATTAAGAGGGCTGTTTCAGAAATGCAGAGTTTGGGTGACGCCTGCTTCTAATTTCTTTTTTCCGTGGTGATAAATTGTGAAATGAAAATTAAATTATTGTTAACTATTGTTAAAAGGCCAAATATAAAATAAGACTTTTTACTAAAATTATTCATTACAATTATGAGTATTTCCTGTCCTTGTATCCAAAATTTAGAATATTTGAACACTTTTAGGGCTTTGTGGGCATCATGTTCCAAACCCTGACCTAGAGCATTCCTGTGGAGAAAAAAATGACCATTCAAATAAAAATAAATTAATAAAATAAAATGAAAAATTATCAAAGATGACTGTTGATACAATTTTTCTGTCATATTATAGCTTCTAAACAAATTTAAAGCATATCTGCCAATTTTGAAGAATTTTTCAGTTAAAACTGCACTAGTTACAAGTACCCAAAATTAATTTTTTTACAAACTTTGTATTTTTTTGTTAAGGCACTAAGATTTTTACTAGTTCAGCGACTTATCACCAGATTTGTATTTAAAGCACATATAGAAATTTGCATAACATTTAAATTCAGGCTCTTTATTCAGCAAAAAAGAACCTTTCCCCTTCTTGCTACAGTATAAATTGTTTTATTGTGCTTTTCCATGTTTGCCAGTTACTCAAGACATTGGCAATTTTAAGATCAATTTAGCTAAGAGAAAATTAGATTTCATGATTTGTGAATTTTATTACTATTATTTTAACAAGAATATTATTACAATGTCAAAAATAACAACAGCATATTAAAATTTTGTGTTTTAGGAGAATAGTATCAAATTATTTTTATTTCCATCTGCTGTGTTTAAAAATATCTTTAACTTTCATTTTCACAATATTCAAATATCTTAATTGTGAAATTTATACAAAATAATAAATGATATAAAACAGAATTTCTGAATTACTTTTTTGCTAAGGCAAAAGTGCTACTGTAATTGTGTAAAACTTAATTTCATCAATCTAATTTTTTATGATAATTGTTCTTCTTTTGTGAAGCCCGGTGGCGCAGCAGCACTACAGGTCTAGGGTTTAATCCCCAGGCTGGGCAAGGTTGACTCGGCGTTTCATCCCTTGAGTGGGTCGATAAAATGAGTACCAAGTTCACTTGGGACTAAACACTGGGGGAGGGGGTCTTGTGACAAGCTGACCACTTGTTCAGGACGTATGCTCACGCACCCCGGGGCCCATGGTCAAGAAAGCAGATTTCAGGGCTCTGCAGGCCTTGGCCCACTAGTGCTGTTGTGCCAGTGAGTTTAGTTCTTGCTTTGTAATTCTTTCAAAATATTTAGATATATGTTAGCTTTCTATGTAAAACTTTTTTTTTTTTTTTTTTTCTAAATTCCTCTTAAAAATCTTTTATTTTGGTTCATACTACATTGGCAAGTATTTTAATGATTAAAAATATAGAAACAATCCATAACTAGCCTATTTTGCAATATTAAAATGGATTTCTTGTAGGAAAAAAAAACAGTATAAAAATACTTTATTATTTTACAGTCTTCATTATTTAAACAGTGGTAAGAGTTCTCATGTTGGTGAACTGTGCCAAAGGAGCCACACTAGAGCTCTTCTGGTATCATGCAGATTATAAGTGACTCTAGTTAGGAGATCATCTGGACGTGATTCGCCAAGAATTTGAAATGTGGTTATTTTTTTATTGCAGTTTGTTAATAAGAAGGCTCATGGCATCGTTTAAGTAATGGAGGCTGTAAGAATAATGTAATGCCTTTTCTACCTTTGATAGTGAGCATGTTTCTCTCAATAAAGCTCTGTTTCCTTTATTTTTGCGAAAATTTTTCTATTCAGAAATATGGAAATTTTCAGAAATGATTTTATCCTTGTCATATGGGCAGGCTTTGCATTTTAATAAAGATGTTGAAGATTGGCAGTTTAAAATATTTATCTTTCAGAGCTGAATGTATATCATTTAAAAAAGTTTGTTAGAGTTATTCTTGATACTAAAATTACTAAAGAAGTAAGATTAGAAATTTCTTCTGCATATTCTAGATTCAAGCACTTTTTTAGTACAACTAAATTTTTAATTAAATCTAAGGATTTAAACATGAAGGAAAAACATTATTTAGGAAAAAATTGATTACATAAAGAAAAGTTAATTTTTTCCTTCAAGTAGATATTGATGAGAATATTTACAAATTAGCAGATAGTTTAGGAGATGGTCCAGAAACTCGTAAGAACATTGATTCATTTATGGGGATGAATGGACTGAGAAAAGAAAATAAATAAGTGAAAATATCCAGAATGGCATAAGTATTTTGTTGCATTAAAGATGTTTTGTATCTTTTAATGTACTGTTCTTGTAATATCTTTTTAAAACCTACGTAATAAATTATGAATGTAACTGTCTCTTACTTTAAATTACAGAAGTTCCTTTGATTGTGATTTCAGTAGTGATGTTTTTTACAAATAATTTTAAATATTAAAAAAATTAATAGTGACCATATGAATCTTGTTTAAGATTTTCGGACTGCACTGGCTGGAAAATTACAGGAACATGTAATTTGAATGATTTGGCAACTAAGAATATGAAACTTGCTCAAGACTTATTCTGTGATACCAGAATTGCCTATTTCTCTAGAAAAATTAATTTATAAAATAACATAGAAAATGTGATATGAAGTGAGGTAGGAAAAAGTTGGTGTTAAAACTTTTGAGATAAAAACTAATAAAATCTATGATTACTCTTGATCGAAATGCAAACATTACAATGATTTTCTACGCTGTGCATTAGATTGTCCATGAGTTTCTGCTGTCACAAAGTTTATTCATGATGAACAATGTCTTGAAACTCTAGGAGAATGCTAGGTGCGGAAGGGTGAAGTGAAGCAACTCGGCATCCTAGTGTATTTCATACAGGTTCTGTTAGATTTAAATCTGGAGAAAATATGGTACATTCCATCTGCTGGATTCCTTTGCTCTCTAAAAGACTGGTCTGTAGTGCAGTGTGATAGATATGACCAAAAAGCAGGAGGAAGTTGCCAGCAGTTGTACCTGTAACTTGACATAAGGATCAAGAACCTCGTATTTCAGCATTTGTAGTTGCAGTGGTAAAAATGTGTAGGCTAGTCTGACCATTCAGAATGATGCCTGGCCATACCATCATTCCACCACCTTTGTACTGATGCCTTTATAGACTCATTAGGTTTACTGATGCAGAAGATGTAAAATATGTTCAGTGCCCTTTTTGGGATTCAAACTTCAGACTTCTTGATTACTAGCAGGGCATACTATCCAATTACACCTCAAAGGCATGCAGGAGAGACGTCAAAAATATAACTTTCACAGTTTCACTTTATTCGAGGTTCAGACTTGGTGCGGGAAGGTGCAGTTGCCCCTTGCTACCTATTTTTTTTACTTCGCTAATTTTTCGCATTTTAGTCTATGTGTTATATGTTTGATCAGATAACCTGGCTCAGTAAAGTAGGCAACCAGTGTAACTCTGATTCGAAATCTGGTTACGACTACATGCAATGACCACATGTTTCCGAGACTCCTTTGCCAATGCTTTATTTTTCTTTTTTCCCACTTTCTAGTAATTTCGTTCTTCTGATGAGGAGGGACCTTTAGCTGCTTTCGAAATCAGTTGAGTGTTTTAATGTATGTACGCTAAATGCAAGATTGTTATTGTGATTATTTCACAGTTGTTTTCAGGCTTATTGCATATAATTTGCTATCTCCAAGTTGTAACATATCAGGAATAACTCTCCAAACAAAAATGAGAATTATCTGTAAACAGATCTCGGTTCCAGTGTTTGATACTCTAATCACAGTCACCTTTTGCACCACTAAAACCGAGTGCATTTATTGGGACATAATCATAATTTCCTTGCATATATCCCTCTTTTATTCAACCTGTCACTTTTCGTTTATCTCGATAGTTGAGTTCCTGTAGCTCCAGCGAACTCAACTCCTTTGTACTCTGGGTTGACGTCGTTTCTCCATTTGTTTTAGAAATCATTGCCAAATAACAGTTCTAACCAGTCTGTTATGACACAATTTTTACCTTGATCTTTGTCTGCGTTCGTGACTAGTGTCTAAACAATTTTCAGATTCTTGATATTATGCTTTTGGCTACTATTCTGCTCTTCACAGTCCATCAGATGCCTTCTCAACAACTTAGTCTACCTTTTACATATGAAAATTTTACCCAGCTACTCATATAATTTTTGAAATTAGGATCTGAAGCACTTACTCCCTTGCACTTCCTCCCACACGTGTCAAAAAAAATGGGCACAAAAATTTTGCATATTTCAGTGTAGTGAGGTGAATCATAACTTTGATCGTAAACTCCCAACCTTTCAATGGACTTAATGTAACAGAATTAATATAAGTTATTTTTTATAGTCGTTCCTGAAATTTTTTCCAGCTGTGTGTTATAAGTGTAAAATGTGTTATATATTCTTATGAGAACAAATAATTATGAATTTTAAATATTTTCTCTTTCTAGACCCATCAGGATGGTGGTTAGGGAAGCTGAAAGGAAAAGAAGGATTGTTTCCATCAAATTACGTCCAAACTATATGAACGTACCCAACCTGTTCTTCAGAATAAGCACAAGAATTTTAATTGGTCACTGTTAACCAATGAATGAGTATTTACAGGGTGTACTGGAGAAAAAAAGAAAAAAAAAAGAAGAAGAAGTTATATATCTAATCATACATTTTCATAATTTTAGTGTGAAATGGAAATGCTTTAGAGAATTAATTTGCATATATCTTAAAAGTGTATGGAAACACATATATGAATTGTTAAATTGTAGCTGTTTCATCCCATCTTTTTCTAAATGTCAGAGGCAAAACTATAAATCAAAAACTAGATATTATCAAAGTTATTAATATCCTGGAACTTTTCTCGAACTTTCAAATCTAGAAATAAGGTAACTTTTTTGTTGTTGTTGTTGTTTAGAGTTCATGAAAATCTACAGATTTTGATTTTTGAATAATATGCAAGATATTGTATGTGTCTCATATAAAAATGTTCCTATTTTTGGGGGGTGCTGTAAAAGATTGCTAGATAGAAGAAGCCGTTATCTGTGATACTTACTACATCTTACAGAAAGTGTATGAATATTTTTGAGGAAACTTCTTTTGTTTGTAAATAGTTTGTGTTTTGACTAATGTGAAAATATGAGTGATGAAATTCTAGCATTTTTGTTAACTATAAAACCATATTTGCTTATACCTAAATACTCTATTAACAAGGTCACTGTTAGCCAATGAATGTGACTTATGTATACTAAATGTAGTTTGAGAGTGTACATTTTTTAATCATGTAAGAAAGCATTTAGCAATTTTTTTAATATTAAAGCACGGAAATTATTATATATAAATAATGTTTTGTGCCCTATACTCTTAAACAAATTGTTATATGTTTTATAAAATTGTATAATGTATTTCATTTTTGTACAAATTCGCTGCTAGTCTGTAGAATAAAATGTATTTTTAAAATATGTTTCTAATTCCTTCCTCTATTCGTATTTTCACCTATTATTTTAATTGCAGTTGATTTTAAAGGTTCTTAAATAAAATTCCATATATAAATTATAATAGTTTCGCTCTCTGAAGTATTGTGCTTATTATGACTGTTGATTTTGAAAAGTTGTAAACTAGTGAAACAGCACTTTATTATAGCTATGAACAGCGAAGCAAAATTTTAAAGAAAATCTTAATTTTCTTATGATTCCAAGTCAAAGGGCAAGTTAACATCTTAACATTTTGCTTCCGGATGAATTCAGAAATGAATTGCACTTAATACGTATTTAGATCTTACTTATCAAATAAAAATTTGGACTCTTGATCATAAATCTCACCAGCTTTTAGTTAAAAATATTAAGCAATGCTTAATATTTATGTTAACTGTATTTTCTTAGATATCAGTGTATTAGTCTGCATATGAAGAGAAATGAATGATATTGTAATTATAAAATTATTTAGTCATTAATATAGAGAAAGCCTTTTTTGGGGCTTCTGGTTTGATATAGTAGTAAGGAAATCACATTATTGCCCAACTAATGAATTTATATTCAGGTAAAATGCCTGCGGAAAAGGCATTCTGAGAAAAATAGGTTTATGTTTATATCATATGTGGAAAAATTCCGTAACCAGTCTGTTCAGTAGAAAATTGAATTTATAGTAAAATTTCTAGTTTTATTGTATAAGCCAGTGAAAGGTTTCTTGATATGATTTTATTAATTTGACCAGTATTGATATATATGCACCACTGTATCCACAAAATTCCTTATGCAGCCTTTATTTTCATAATCATTGTTCATGTGGTTCTAATTACAAAATTGTTTTAAATTGTGTATATATTCATGCTATATCATTTTTAAATTTAAAAAAAAAATTGTAAATTTGTAAAAATTATGCATTCTAACTTATGGTCTCATCTGTCTCTGTCTTTACGTTTAATGAAAGTTTATATTTATTGTAAAAAATAAAACACAAAAAGTTAGATTCCCACAAAACAAGAATTTATCCATACATTTAAAGTTTTATATTCAGGTATTGTACACAAATTGAAGAGCAAAATGCTTGCAGCTGTATATAACTAAAAAGGAAGTATTAATTTAAAAAGAAATTTGTGTATGTTAATAGATTGAGAAGCACTGCTATGTAGAAAATATTGATCTTTTTCCATTTTTTTTAAAGAAATTTTGTTCATAGAATCTTACATTAATGTTTTTTCTAGAGAACAGTAGCAAGCTTCATAAATTAATAATGAAAACTATTTCTAGTACAATGAATTTTTGAATAATTTTAAAGTAGTAATTAATTATAATTCTAAAGTAATAAAATTGCATGAGAATATTAATAATGTATTTTTAGCTGTTGAAATTACTTGTGTGAAAATTTTTTCATGAAGTATGTTAACAGAATTAAAGATTGTTACAAACCAGCAAATCATAAAAGAATATCATTGAAGAACATTAAAGAGGGAAAAGATAATCTGAAATTATTCTAATTCTCTTTTAACCAACCCTCAAGATGTGCATCAAAAATCCTATATTTCGAAGTTAAATATCTCAGTTAGTTTTCATCATATAGCAGTGAACCCCCCCCCTTTTTTTTTTCTTTTTAGATTGAGTATGAACTGTCAGTAAATGTAACTGGGAGGGGCCAATTAATAGTTTAATATATTTTTAGAAAACTTTTTTTAATTTAAAAAATCTAAAATTTGGGTATTTTCATCATGTAAAACTTATTAATAATTAGAATTCTGTATCTATAATCAACATCTGGAAATTAAAGGCCACAAGGACTTTTCAAGACATAGTATGCATGTGTGTGTGTGTATATATATGTATATTATATAAATAATGGGCGACCTCAAAATTAACTATTCTAGATTTGGTGCTCTTCCCCCTAAATTCATTTGTTCTCTTAAATTCGAGATCTTCCATGTTATATAACATTGCTTGAAAAAGGTAACTAAAGTTAACCAATCATAGCTTGTCTCTACAATTGCATCTACTTCGGTATAAATACCTCTCGCGAGTTAATTACGTCATTCTTTTCCTAGCTCCTGCCATGCTGTCAACTCTATGCTACTTTGCCTGTCTTTCTCTTATTCTAAACTGACATTGTAACCCCATTAATCTGTGTATATAAGAAAATATTGTAATTGCTTATGATCTAGAAGTATATTGTCTATGAAGTGTTATTCTAATGTGCTTAGAAATAAAGATGGTAATTAGCTGAACTTGGTTTGATATCAGCATCTTCCCATCTTGCCACGCTGCCATCACGACTATGCATTAAATCATCACACACATATATATACAGTACAAAGTCTGTAATCCGGACGTCCATTATCCTGAATGATCTATAATCTGGACATCAAATGCACAAATTATTTTTTTTTTGTATGCTATTACGCATGCTCATAATGCGTTTACACATGTGCATTTAATGTGCGCATGCGTCGTTTCTGATAGTAAAGAAAGTTACAGGAACAAAACATTTATTGAAAACGAAAAAATTTTTATTGACAAGTTAGTCGTTATTCTTGACACAATTACAGGACTTGAACAGTGTCCTGTAATTGCTGTGTCGAGAACAGGAACTTTGTAACTGAACAAGAAATTATGTCTGTTTGTAGAATTGAAGAGAAAGTATTAGCACAGAAAGCGAAGCAACTTAAACAACTTACATTGAAAGAAATGTTTAATAAAGTAAACAAATAAATATTTATTAAGTGGTCTTGACGAGTCCAGACTACGGACTTTATACTGTATACAGTAGTAATTGTTAATACTAAACCAACATATGATTTATACATAATGCTTTGACACATAACTTACATAAGCTCTCAGCCAATAATTATTGTAGAGGTATATTGATAAGCCAGTCCAAACATAAGAAAATCGAAGCTAACTCACTTTGAACTAAGATTTCATATTGGACATATCGCACTCACTTTCCGCTTCTGTTGCCGGCTAGACACGCTGCTATTCCTTCCTTCAGAAATGTAAGAAAGAATTCTAACACAGATGCATTTATTGCACCAAATTTATTTGTGTGGACCTAATGAAATGTTTGTCTATGAAAATAAAAAAAAAGTACCTAAATCTTGCGTGACTGCAACTATGTCATCTGCATGCCACTTGACAACTCACTAAATAATTACACATATGTATATATATATATATGTGTGTGTGTGTGTGTGTATGTAATTATTAGTGATATATAATTATATAAGTCATGTATATATCTATATGTGTGTGTGCATGTTAATACTAAATCATTGATTATTTTAGTCGTTAATTTGAGATTATATAAAAAAAATTATGTTTAAATGAGCTTTTATTAGCATATCCAGTGCAATATGTAATCCATATGTTTAATTTTATTTAGTATTTAACATTTAGAGTTAAGAAATGTTCCGAAAGATATCAGAATTTCGAGAACAAAAATTAATATTGCATTGCGAACAGAGGGAATAATGATCTTTATGTAACTGAAACATAATAGTTTTCTGGAAGTTTGTTATGAATCTTTTCTAGTTAGAGTTATTTATTAACTCTTAAGTAAAACAACATCACAGCAGATGCAAAGATATCATGTAGTAATATATTTAAAATATAACAAATGCAGATTTAATTACAAATAAACTTTTATTTAGTATAATCAGTTTTTTCCAAGATATTTTACATACATTTGCTTCTTTCAGATTATCTGAAATATAATAAATAATTTTAACAGCCAAGCATAATTGCGTTTGGATAATAGCATACATTGTTGCAAATTTACATTAGCAGGCAAGTAATTGTGGAATGTTCTTTCATGAGGAAAAAAGTTATCACTTTTGATGCTAGAAAGATTCATCAGATCTTGAAATTTCTTTTACTATCATTTTATGATTATTCGCCTTTCGAAAAGGGAAACATAATTCAAAAATGGGTATTGTGTATCTTTCTAAAATTGATGCTTTGTTTGATTATAATTAGGTTAATTTAAAGCTTAACGAAAAAGGGGGAAAGTGTACTAAATGTTTTACTGGGTAGTTCAAAAGCAGCTTTACATTATTTAACGGAAGCATTCAGTTATTTATAAACTTGTCTTTTTTTAACTTACTGTTTATTCTTTAAGAACATATATTTTAAATTTATATTTAACTATTCTTTATATTGTGTTACATCTATTAAATGCAGTTAAAAATTATAAAAGTGTCAACTTACTAATGGGTGATTTTTTTAAAAAAGACCATCACAATTTTCTTATGATGTTTTTCGACTCTGATTTTTAAATGCTTGTGGGTTTTATATATATGTTTGAACATTTGAATGTATATATTTCTATAAGTACTAAAAACATTTGAACTTAATCAAATGTTTAGTTTTAAGGTGACTTATCTTGATGGTTGGTTAACATTTTATTAAACAAGCAGGAATAAAAGTTAATAAAATCTTTATCTTCTAAACTTTGAATAAGCCTTATTACATTGTGAACTAATTAGCTCCATTTATAGATTTTCTGTCATGTTTGATTTTGATGGAATTAAAATAAACTAAACTCAGAATTCAAAATAAATTGAATTCCTGAAATATTTACTGCAAATATATAATTCAAATGTCTTCGCTGGCCGCCAGTTTGAAGCCACTGCATTATGCAATTAACAAGATGAATCAAGATGCTGTGTGTATCCACATACCTAATTTCTCCTCCTCTTATTGGAATTTAGTTGTTTAATTTTTTTCTTTGGGTGCTATCCTCGTTAAAAGCTGGCCTTGTTAACCAGAATGTTGAATTAACTTCTGGCAGTAAATATTATCATTTACCAATAGATATTTCTCATAGGTCTGGAAAAAAAACTGCAGTTTTTTGTTCTCTACTTACTGTTTTAACAATTTAGATTGACGAATATTGTGCAAGTTCTCATTCAGATTTGGAAGCACTCAGACCTTGATTATTGTATTAAATTTTTTATTTGATATCTTTGTTTGCCTCATGTATCTTCTTGCATGCTTTGAACAAATTTGGTTGTGCTAAATTAATCACTTTTAACAACTTTCCATATAGGTATTCTTTTCAGATTGAAAATTAAGAACAAATCTACGAATTTCTAACTAGTTTTTGATCAGAATATTTTCTTGAAAAGGGCCATGATGATAAAACGTTGAAATAATCCAAATTCGAGGAAAATTTCAGAACTCAAGGAAATGTTTTTTTAGATGTGTCTATAATTGCTTCGATGCAAAACAGTGTCTCATATTTATGTACTGTATTTTGTTAACAATTTCAATATAGTCGAGGCTTTTCCTACTCTAAACAGAAGTCATTAATTTTTAAACTGAATATTTTGTTTTAGTAAGAACATTTAATATAAAGAGAAGAGCAAATAAACATACATGACACAGAAAACCGTATTTTATGGTTTCAGATGAATATTTTTTTTTCCTAAAAGTGTCCGATTCCTTTTGTGAGACACTCTTTGTATGTGTAAGGATTAATTACGTCTGATGGAAGTTATTCTGAGAGGGTTAGGAGTCATATTAAATTTATGCAGAATTGAAAGAAATGGTGAATCTGAAAGTTTATTATGTTAAGTTAGATAAAATTAGTGCAACATATCTTATAGATGATAAAACAATAAATAGAAGTGATAATATTTTAGTAGCCATAAGCGATCTATGCACATCTATATGTAATGATGGCAAAAATTAAATTATTTCTTTCAATTAACCACAAGATGACAAAGAGTAAATAGCTTCTAGGAGAAGCAGTTACAGATACAATTTTTCTTGTTTCCGTTCATCTGGTTTCTTTACTGTAAGGAATGGTATAGTCATTCCGTACGTATAAATAGTTAATCGTGAAAAATAACTATTTGAGAACATAAGTTAATTTTTTTTTTTTTTTTTTTTTTGTCGCACAATATATAGAAGTAGAGTTCGTGGACATCTTGATTACTGCAAATCAATGGTAAATTAACAACCTCTTTTGTGACTTCTTCCGTCCTCAGGTATCCGTACTAACCCGGAAAAATCCCATTTTCATGTGAGTAAGAAAATTTGTCAGATTAATTTTCTTTGCTTCGTGAATTCTTACTGCTTTTTCTGAAATAAAACGGAGAAATTTATACAGCGTCTTCTTGAGATTCTTTCTGAGTACTAACAAAGCATGGGCTTTGAGTTCTGGATACGAAATTTTCAGTCTCTTCTAGAGCTTCCTCTTCAATGTCTCCAACAGATGAACGATCCATTAATTTGGTATCGGCATTTGCGTCGTCTTCTTGAGATTCTTCTTTAATATCATCGAAAGAGGATGGGTTAGGAAGTCTCGTGACAGTGCCTTCGGATTTAGCCACTCCTGAAGACACTGGTCTGGGTTTAAACAATCTACAAAAACCACAGTCCGAATCGGCAGGTGGGGAATCCATGCTATCCTCAACACTTTTTTGGTGTTTGGAAGAAAATGAGCGAAATAATGTTGGCATTAAGGGCAAGCTCCTCCAGCTTGTTTGTGACAGCATTGTTCTCTGTCTACGCATTGCAGCATTTGAAGACTTAGTTTCTTCTTGTTTTGCTGAGGGGGGAAAAATGAATGAATGAAAAGAATTAATGGTAAAATCTAAATATATTATTTACAAAATTTTTGTTTGTTTGTTAAAAAATATGTTATAGTAGTAGAACTTCAGAAACCTGAATCGCTTGAGTTTAAAGTTATTTATGTATTTTTAACTTTTTTGCTTGATTAAAGTAACATAAAAATATACTATATTATAGTGTACATACATTTTTAAATTATTATTACATGGCTATTAAATTTAGATGAAAATAACTGTTACATGTAAATGGATGTAGAGTGTAGCAAATAAGTAATCTGTAATCATTAATAAAAATATATTGTATATGTAATGTACTTCACTGTTCTTTGTTTATGTCGTCATAGTTTACTAATATCGAGCTCGTTGTTATAAATTTATTTTCTTAATTGTATTATTTCGCGTCAAGTCAATTAGAAATAGTTTGTGTTGTAAAAATAAATAAAAAAAAAAAGGTTATGTATTTAGTTTTAGGCCATAAAATAACTAAAAAAATTACCATTGGGGGGATGATGGTTCTTTTAATCGAAATTACAGTGAAACCTCGAGATGCGAGTACCCCTATATACAAGGAAAGTATGAGCGAAAAATGTGTCTCTAAATACGAGCATTGCCTCGAGTAACGAGGAACGAGCCATGCTGTTGGTATGCGTGACGCCATTTCCGGATTCCGGAAATCCCCTCGTCACATCACTCAGTGGTCTTTAATCTACATGTTTGTGCGCTTGTGAGTTAATTGTTTACTGCATTTAACGTCAAAATAATTATTTTAAGATGCCCCGCAAGAAGATTGTTGCCTTAGATTATGGTGGAAAGAAAAATAAGGAAGCCATGGCCGTTGAAATTAAGAAAGAAATCATAGATAAAGAAGCGTGGTGTAAGGAATTGGCGAAGACTTACGGGCCTTCCAATCAAGGATCTGCACTGTCCTGAAGAAGAAAGAAATTAAGAAACTTGATGTAGGCAAAGGAGTTACTTCCAAGCACTATTCAGATCCCCTAGAAGCTGTTGTTGGCGTGGATTAACGAGAAGCAGTTAAAGTCGGTATCGGAAGCTATCATAAAGGTAAACTATGGGTTATATTATTTACCAGTGTTATTTATAAGAAATATTGATTTTTATGTTGATATTTTTCTAGGTGCGGAATGGATTATCTGGATTTCTATTATTTTCATCGGGGAAGTTTTTTTATAGATACGAGAAATTCACTATACAAGCTCAATGCTGGAACGAATTAAACTCGTATCACAAGATTTCATTGTACACGGTTATACACTGTGTCCACAGGATATCCTTGACCGGCGTTTATTTTCACAACCGTTTGTCGTAGACTTCCAGCTACAAAAATGTTCTTAAATGATGCAAAGTTTCATGTGTGGTCATTTTTTAATTTAAAAAAAAAATCAATTTTGTAAATATTTTGAAATCTTACTTTTTAAACGTTTCCGCGGTCCCTATACTTATATTCAGAAAAATTATCTACTCGTGATAAAAAAAAACAAGCAAAAGTTTGACTCCCATGCGGCAAAAATTGGTTTGGTTTATTTGATTACGGCAAAGCACTAGAGGGAAGGATGCCATCATGGAGGACTTTCCTAAATTTAACTGGCTCGCATCAACGTTACGCATGGGAAAAACCACGAAAACGGCCATGCAGCAAACCCGTTGGCCCGTGGTCGAACTATCAGTATTCAGCGACTATAGCACTCGGCCGCTGGTGGGCCCGCAAAAGTTGATCGAGATATTTGGTATTAAAATCAGAAACCATATTCAGAGGGCGTACACTAACTGCAGGGCGCAATGTTTGCATTTGTTAACTTAAAAAAAAAAAAAAAAAAAAAAAATCATTTAGAAAAACTTTTCTAATTTTAAGAAATTAACGTTTGAGTATTTCAATGCAGATTTATTTTGAAAAAGTGTTGATTGATATAATTCGTTTCAAAATGGAAATCTCGCAGAACAGAAAATGCTACAGACACGCAACCAACTCGTAATATTATTTGCATTAATTAAAATGAAAAAATCCTTACAGTTAAATTAATTTTCTTAGTGTGTACCAAATTATGATTCTAAAGTAATAAAACTTCGTAAGAATATTCGTAACATATTTTTAGACTTTGAGAACTCATAAATTACTTGTGTGAAAATTCTTTCAGAATACCAAATGTAATAAAATTATAAATTAAAAAAGACACTATAGTATGTTTTAAGGTACTAAATAGGCCTTAATGATTTAGTAACTAAATCACTAAAGAATATAAATGAACGACATTTAAGGAGGAGAAATCAACCTGAAAGTACCATAGTGTGCAAATTATTTAGGAACAAGACGATTTTTTTTTTTTTTTATAATTTATGTACATACCTTCATATATAGTGATAATAATAAAATTAATAGGAAATATGTCCGTCTGTAGCACAAAAATGTCCTCTATAATGCACTTGAGCATTGACTATACTAGTCTTATGCATATTTTTTACTTAATCATGGAACTACTTTTTTATAGCGTTCTTAATCATGTGATACTTTGCCACATAATCTTTTTTTTCTAAGATGTTTCTTGAGAATTGACTAAAAATATGTTACGAATATTCTTACGAAGTTTTATTACTTTAGAATCATAATTTGGTACACACTAAGAAAATTAATTTAACTGTAAGCATTTTTTCATTTTAATTAATGCAAATAATATTACGAGTTGGTTGCGTGTCTGTAGCATTTTCTGTTCTGCGAGATTTCCATTTTGAAACGAATTATATTAATCAACACTTTTTCAAAATAAATCTGCATTGAAATACTCAAACGTTAATTTCTTAAAATTAGAAAAGTTTTTCTAAATGATTTTTTTTTTTTTTTTTTTTTTTTTTTTTTTTTTTTTAAGTTAACAAATGCAAACATTGCGCCCTGCAGTTAGTGTACGCCCTCTGAGTATGGTTTCTGATTTTAATACCAAATATCTCGATCAACTTTTGCGGGCCCACCAGCGGCCGAGTGCTATAGTTTTCGATCGCATTTAAGTCTGGTGAATTTCCAGGCCTTTCTAGCACGCTAGTTTTATTTTCCAACATGAACCTTCTGACAGATTTTGAATTGTGGCATGAAGCCTAGTCATGCTGAAATGTTCCTGCAAAGATTCCGAGAATGGCACGTTTTAAAATTCTTATATACTTCGATGAATTCGTCATTCCGTCAATAGAAACTAGATTTCCAGTACCATCTGCGGTGACAAAAAGCCCGATTTTCTTCCCCCCCCTTTTTTATGGCATATCGAATGTGTTGAGGTTTTATTGATACATCCTTGTTTCATCTGACAACGTTAGGTGTAACCGTGAACAAATTAAATGCGTCTTATTACTGAAAATGACCTTTTTCCAGTCATTTGTGATCCAAAATTTTTTCTTTTTTTTTTTTTTTTTTTTTTTTTGCCCTCATTACGCTTCGCTTCATCTGACATGCCAAAAGTTGCTTTTAAATAAGTCGTATATGTTTTGCAGTATGTCGCTCGATTACCAGATAAGGAATGCGGTCTGTCGATTTACGCTCTTGATTTTAAGTAACACTATAGAAATAAATGGCAAACCAAGTGACAGGGATGACCACGTGATATCTTCACGTAAGGAAATTAAATATGCCGGGAAAATCCTCTACACTCACTCCTTTCAAATCTTTCACCGTGTGGATAATTGCCTCATCTTGTTGGAACCACAGATTTGTTCGATTTAATGCGCCTTCTACGAAGTTGTGTAGCATTGCAGCGCATCGCTGTGCATGCGTCTTATCTTACTCAAAGAAATACGTTCTTGTCGTTCCAAATTTTAACACTTCAGACCGTACTGTAGTGAGCATAGTGCACGCTCATAGACTCCTGTAATATGTGAACTAAGGAGCACAACATTTACAAGACATCATTTTCTGAATTTAATATTGGTGACCTTATTGGTGTTACATTTTTTTCAGTAGTGATGTACATTAAACTGAAAGCTACAACATGAATAAAAATGAGTATTTGTCATATTATTTCATTTAAAAAAAATCGTCAGTTTTTTTTCTGCACCACCCTTTCGAAATGGCTGTAAGAATGTTGATAATAATAGTAGCTTCATTGTTTAATTTTGTCGAAAACAATGTTTGTATTTTCTTTAATGGAAATAATTGAATTGTTTAACTTGTTGATCTTTATTAAAAATAAAATACGATAAAACGAAAAAGTCACTCACTTGTATTAGAGTAAATGGGTATCCTACGGAAAGGAGAAATTATGTTGTTGCGAAATGTGGTTTAATTTGGTCCAAATATTTGAAGTTCGACTTGTAAAGTAATTTAAGAAGTGCCGAAATAAATCAGTTTGCTTCAGAGCGATATGTAATAAACTAATACTGCTGATAAGTTTTATTGGCAACTGAGAAAATTCTAGAATTCTACTTCAGATTCTCTTTGTTACCAAGACTATTTTGCATTGTTAAAGTATACGTAGTACACTTTAAGAAATCGAATTTATCTTACCGAAAATTTTTTATCTTACATATTTGGCTGTGAGACCAAAGAAAAACCTCTGCATTGAGAATGAGTCTAAGTGTTGTAGTTAAATTTGAGAAGTCTGAAGAGGCATCAGGAATAGCTTTCAACCAGGAATCCGTGCTCTCATTAATTCTGAAATTATGCAAACCTTGCGAATCAGGAACACAATATCTAATTTAATTTTACGCTTAGAGTTGCATACAGTTTGAAGAGGAATTGAGTTGTGATTATAGTGTGAGCTGCTGTGATCTTCAGTTGTTTTTTGTGCAGGAAGCAACATTTGTCGCAATTCATTTTCAAAATAAGGCAATACATTCATTGGGCACAGCAGGGAAAAATGACTGAACATAATTAGATAAGTACGTGTCCCAAGATTCACTCAAATCATGTCTCAGTTCTGTGGTACAACAGCTTGGAGATGTCTTTTAAAACAATCAAAGCAATCCTGCCGTACCCCAAGGGCACTTGATAACGTTGAATGTCCATCGTAACATTCGCAATCTCCCCTGAACTGCATTTTTAAGCCTGTTAATGTCAAACAGGGTGCAAGTCAAAACTAACTTTAGTCAAACTAAGCAAATACTTCATTTGCACAATTAATCCAAGTAATCTTATTGCTTTTGCGTGTTAAATTTTCTCCTCATACTCAAAACCATCATAAACATTATTAGAAAACTTTTCTCAGTTTACAAAAGCTACTTTTGCAAATTTTTAATCTCCTCCTGATTTGCAGAAGATTATCCTTATCCCGTCACCAGTTTGATAAGTAAATTCGAGATTCATGTAGTACCACTAAATTTTTTATACTTTTAAGTCCATCAAAAGTGATTAAAGATATCTGTGTGACCATGGCCTCGAATATCCCTTAGATCTCTTAGGCTCGGCATGTATATAATATTTTAGGGTGTTCCGAAAAGCAGCTGAGAATTTCATATACTCCTGTTTTCTTTCACGCGAAAGCAAAGAAAAAGGCATCAGGAGCTTCAAAAGAATACTATGCTTAGAACCCCAGGCAGTCCTTAAGCGGATCTGGGAAGCTTGATCTTCATCCTAAGTCGTTGATTTTTGGTGGAATGGATGAGATGTTTGAATATTTTTCGGGGCATAAAGCTTAGTGAGTTACTTTATATATTGCTCGTTGAAAAGTTTTTATTCATACACAGGTGTTTATCAAAATAATGGAAACGCTCTAGATTTATAAGGAATTCTTTATTAATATGGCGTAGGACCGCTTTGGCATATAATACAACTTGGATTCGCCTGAGAATTGAATCATACAAGTGTTGAATAGGGTGTAGAGGAATATTGTACCATTCTTCATGGAGATATTGTGGAAGTTCTGGGAGAGGTGCTGGTGGAGGATATCGATTCCGGATCAAACGCTCTAAAACAGACCATAACGGTTCCATTATATTGAGATCGGGGAAATGTGGGGGCCATGGTAGATGTTTCACTTCATCCCATTTTCATCAAATCATGATTGGACAAATCTCGCTGCATGAATAGGAGCATTGTCATCCTGGAAAATTCCGTCTCCTGCAGGACTCAAATTTTGCATCATAGAATGGACCTGCTCAGCTAAAACTTCTCTGTTTCTCCTCTTCCTTCCTTGCAGGCTTATGAGTGAGCCAATAGAAAAACATGACACAGCTGCCCACACCATGACTGATCCACCTCCATGCTTGACAGTTGGAAGGCGATAATCACGACCATACGCTTGTGCAGGCATCCTTCAAACTTGCACCCGTCCTGTTGTAGGAAAAAGTGTGAAAGATGATTCATTTGACCATGTAACTGTCTTCCACTTATCAATTGGCCAGGTTCTGTGATTGTGGCACCACTGTAGACGACATTTGGCATTAACATGTGTGACAAATGGCTTGTGAATTGCTACTCTACCGTAAATATTCTGTTTATGAAGGTGCCTCCTAACTGTGATTATTGATACTGCAGAATCCAGATTTTGATTGAACACTGCAGTCACTTTGGTTGCAGTTGTTTTCTTTTAAGACATTACCATCGGCTTCAATATCCATCGGTCTTTTTCACTTCGGCTCACCTTTCGTCTACTATTTTGCTTTGCCGAGCTTGTCTTGCCGCGCTATGTGTACGTTGTCATGACTTTAGGCACTGTACCTCTAGAAATGCCTAAAATAGCTCGAATGTTTCACTCAGCGTTGCTCCAGCTAATCGGACTCCTACAATTTGGCTTCTTTAACAGTCTGCGAGGTCTGACATTTTACGCTTCTGATGAAAATACAACACGTATACAACTTTACTAAAGCTATCTCATACTACTAAGATACATACTTCCTATACTAAAAAACAAAACAAAAACTGGTAGCCAGGATTATATTTAATTGATTACGACACGCATTCCTAAATGTCGCTCTTATTCACTTGTGTTTCCATTATTTTGATAACCACTTCTATATGGGTTTATGAATCAGAACAAGTCTTTCAAGCCCCATTCGATGAAGCTTTTGGGATGTTCATCTGGTTTTATGTTACAAATTTTTTCGGGTGAGATTTTAGTTTGGACCCATTAATTTCTTTAAAACTGGCAGATCCAATTCCTTTCTGTGATAATAGATTATAGAATATACTCTAAAGTTAAATACCGAGAATTTTCTCGTTTGCACGCATCTTTCTTCCAAAGGAATTTAATATAGCTGTATATTCATCAGGTTATAATCGATGCAGGACCGAGAAAAATGAGCAGTGGCCTCGCCAGAATTCGAACACTGGACTTACTGAATACGCGTCGAGCATCCTTCCAGTCACACCACGAAGACATGCAGAAAGGAGAGAGGAAATATCTTATATAGCTATCGAGCCGATTTATATAACATTATTGCTTGAAATGTGCATTAAACAAAATGTACATTAAAAAAAATGAAAAGTTGTTGTTTATTTTATATAAAAGAAAACATCGGTGGGTATGCAAATTTGCAGTTAAAAAATAAGAGGTCTAAAGTTAACTTCATCTTCAAATTTCTATAGAAAATTATAAATGATCTAAATGAAGCTTGTCTACTTACTTATGCAAACATTCGAAGCAGATTTTAAGGATCCTCTGGCAGATCGAGAGCGAAAACTGAGAGAATTCACTGAAAAATGAACACATAAATTTTATTAAATGATAATTTAGATTTCAGAAATCAGTAAACAAAAGAATAATTAATCTTTATCCAATGAAACAGTCCTATGCAAAGTACGGGGAAATAAGACCGTTGTTCAGTTATTCATCTCCCATACTTAATGCACGCTCTAAATAATATATGATAAAGAATTTTTTAAAATATTCATTGATGTAATTAAAAAGTTAAAAGAAGAAACGTATGATTTTCTTTGTTTCTTTTTTCTTATATTCTTGACTACATTTTTATTATGCTAATTTTATATTTTAATGATGTCTTACAAGTTGTGCGTTTCTCAACGAAACTTGCTAGAGTACCTTTCAATACCATGTATTTTCAGCGTCAGATTGGCTTATTCCTTTCTTTAAGATTTCTCCCATTTTTATTAGTTTTTAAAGTTAGTTATTATCCCATCTTATGAGTGTTTAAAGTTTTCTCCCATTTTTAGCCCAGAAGGGCTGTTAGTCTCGAAACGGCATTTTGCAGCGAATCACTAAACTACTGTATCCCTTTTCAGATTGTTGCCACCAAAGATTATCGCTCTGTGTCATATTTAAAGAAACTAAATAACGAAGAATCTACATGAATTTATGCATGTTTCTCGCATTGTGGAAAAACTACGGTACCTAGAGCCATCAAATTTTGAATAACATAGTCCTCCCGAACATGGGTACCTAGAAGCATGAATTTGGAATATGTTTTACTGTCTATTTCATATTCTGTGAAACTTTACGAATTTTTGATTAAAAAACTGAACCATTTTAAAGCGAGCAGTGGCAACACTGTAGGGAATAAAACTCTTTTCAGCACGCGAGATTGTCTATCAGAAATTCTAAAGTTAGCTGTTTTTAAGCATTTTTAACCCAATGTGGCGTTAGCAAAAATGCTCTCGGAACGTGTAGTTGTCTGTAAATGAAAACAACGTCCGTTTGCGCGTAATATAAAATCTGAAAGCCTTTCAGATTTTTTTTAAAATTAAATTTCTGTTAGTAATCGATTTACTGTGCAATATTCGTGTCCGCAGCTTGCATATCGGAAGATTTACATCCATTCCAGCAATCAGAACTTTAGTAATTCCATCCGCAATGTTCTTCACTATCTGCGGCCCTTAAAATTGAGCGGAGCGATTTAGGGCATCAAAACAAAAACATTCTCCAGTCCCATAACGCAATTTCCCTAAAAAGTTCTTTTGGGGGAAAGAACATCGTCTACATTATTTGTTCGTTATGTAAATAAGCTTTCAGTTTCCACATATTGTTGTGTCCTCCGAATTTAACGTTAGGACGACACAGCAAAGAATTTGTACGTACCCCTCCTATGTAATTTTCCCAGTGAACCATTCTGTTGCGATTTGTAGTTCGCAAAACTCACTAGACATTAACTCATGATGTCTAAGTCAATGAATCGAACGATTGTAACATAAAATGCAGGACCCAGGAAATCACATTTGTGTTCGGACACATTGAACAAGGCTGCATAGCTATTTGGCTTCGAGTAGCAAGCAATTTTTCCTTGCGAATAATGAATTTTCCTTGAAGAAACAGAATAGCCGCTTTTTTATTTCTTTGCAAATCCCCAAACGTGAAATCCACGGCGATAATTGGAGACAGGAATATAATTAGATGAAAAACGGGATTTTTATAAAGTGAATTATTAAAAAAAAAAGCCAAACAAAATTGACTGTTCCTGGCGTTGAGGAAATACGCAAAATTAAAAAAAAAAAAAAAAAAATCTGAAAGGTTTCATATTTTAAATTACGCCCAAAGGGGCGTTTTTACAACGTTTTGTGTGTTACCTTTATTTATTAAATATCATGTTCTTCGCACGTAAACCATAAAATTCAGTTCAACAGCAATAACGCAAAATAATTTTAAAATGTGCATATCTCTAGAATTTCCGATACACAGTTCCGCGCGATGGAGATAAAAAGGATATCCCCACCCCCGTAGAGTGTTTCCATTGCTGGCTTTTAAATCGTTGAGTTTCTTAATCAAAAATTCGTTAAAGTTTTACAACTATGAAATAGATAATAAAAGAAATTTCAAATTTGGGCTTCCAGATGCCAATATTCGGATGGAAACGTACTTTATTCAAAATTGGATGGCTCTAGGTACCGTTGTTTTATCACAATGCGAGAAACATACATACATTTATGCAGATTCTTCATTATTTAATGTTTTTAAGTGTAATATAGGACGATAATATTTGGAGGCAACAATCTGAAAAGTGAATCGGGTATTTATAGCGAACCAACGCAAAATGCCAAAACGAAAATAATAGTCCTTCAGGCCAAATTGCCCCTTGGACTAAAAATGTGTTTGAAACTATGGCTTAACGAGAAAGTATCGTTAATATTTTAGATGTGGTCATTGTTTCTTGTTTCAACTTTTTAACAATGAATACTTTTGTGCAAATGCTACATTTTCATGTAATTTATTATAATTAGAAGCCAACTATAAACTAAAATTTCAAAAATCATGTTACACATTAAATTTAAAATGAATAAATGAATATTAAATTTACAATAACTCATAAATAATAAATGTTTATATAATTTTACTAAGAACTGTGATTTTAAATTATTTCCAAAATGCAAGATAACAATCTAATTTTGTAACAAAAAAATTTTTTTAATCATTTATATATTAAAATATTAAGATTTATCAAATAAATTAATTAAAAAATAGATTACGCATTTAGATAAGCTAAAAAAAAAAAGAAATTTTTTGTTAGTGTGATTAGTGGAAATTACCTTATCCCTACACACAATGCGTCTACAACGTTTAGGCTTGCTCTTTTTCAACAAATTTCAGCCAAGTTGCCAAACGATAGTTATTGGACAATTACTAATATTCTATCTTTATATATTGTTTTCTTACGAAAAAAATTTTAATAGAATTTTTTGCTTGGTTTTCTGCAGATAGCGCCTGCTATTATAAATTCAAAGATTGAAGCACGAAACCACACCATTCTCTTCGCACTGCGCAAATGTGTCAAAAAAGATATGTGTAGCTGTTCTTTATTATCCACAATATGCGCTTTTCAGATTTGATAATATAGAGTTTAATTTTTATTCTGCATACTGAAGTTGCCTTTTAAAATGCAGCATTTTAAGAGCATCTTTTGAAAAAAAGGGAGAAGAAATCAAAGGAAATAAAAAGATGAAAGCGTAAATAAAAGAGCATTCCTAATAGTTAGCACCTACCAAGTTGTACAGAAGATCTATAAACATGCCAATATGTAATAGCCATTGGAAGGAATGTATGTAGGAGAATGAGCTGTAATAGAGTTGTTTCTTTCAATTCTTAGTTTTTTAATATATTCAGACCTAAGACTTTGTAGACGCGATATGTATATGTTAAGTTTCATGCAGTCTCATGCAACTGGTTAGTTTTCAGATTCCAGATTTATTACCTTATTTCAGTTCCTAAGTTAATGGATTGTGCAGATGATAAAGTTCCTTGTACCAAAAATATATTAATTCTTGTGCACATGAAATATAAATTTTAAGTTTGTTTCATTTTCTGATACTCAAATATAGATAAAAATGTATGTTTAATCAGTATAGTTGCGAGATAGCTTTCGCACTGGTGCTTATAATGTCAGCATAGCATTCATATGATGAGCTGATATCACATTTAGCATTCTAAACTGGGAAAAGGAACAGCACTAGTATAAGTTATCAAAAGTTCTTTATCAGCAGAATATAATTTTAAAAAACATCAGACATCGCGCGACATCTTGGTGGTACTTGCAAATCCTTTGATATTGTTCTTCGTCGTGCACTGTAAGATATCTGTTTCTCTGGAAGATATTATTTTTACATAATGAATAATAAACAAATGAAACAAGAATTAAACACAAAATGCTGTATTATTGATCTTCTATAAGAAACTTCTAAATGTTAGCAAGAAATACATTCCGTAGTACGTAGCTTTTGTCCGTACTTAGGGAAGAACAGTTTTAAAGAAAATAATATTGAGCTTGTTCGCATGATCACACGGATAACTGATTTTAATCCAACTTCATAATTTTATTTTATGATGCGGAATAAAATTTTTAAAAAAAAATCTAGCAAAGATATAAACTATATAACTTTCTTTACTGTGTATTTGTGTTTCAAAATCAAATGGCGTTTCTATTTAAAACCATAGATTTCAAGTTAAAATTTAAAGAAAAAATTAATTCCTCAATGTATTATAATACATTGTGGCTTTAATATTTTCCTTTGAATATTTATACTGAATTCTTCATAAATGTTACGAAAATTCAATTATTTTGGGTGCTTTCCCATGTCAGCACAGAATATTGACATCTTAAAGGTTGGATTTTAAAACTCCAACGTGAATTTTAATCTCTCCTTTTTAAATAAAACGATTTGCATAATAGAAAAATAATACTTGATAAAATAAATCGTAGAAAATAATATCACACAAAAATAATATCATAGAAAATGATGTTCTAATTAATTTATTTCCGAGAGGAAAACAAACAATTCACAGTTTGTTCTAGAAAATAGAAAAAATAGAAGTTCTTCACATATTAATAATGCATTACCTGGAGACTTGAAGACATTTTCGTAAATTCTGCTTAAAGCATCATAAAAATGAAAAACTATAACAAAATTCTATATTGAATAAGCTTTAAACAAGTTTAATACCTTAACAAATGCATGAAAATTATATTACAGAATTTCAGTAGTTTAATATCCCTATTCTTTTATATTTTAGAAGTCTGACAATTATTATCTTATCAAAAGTAATTTTACTTTACTACGTAATCTTTTAATGCTCATAATTAAAATGGGGCAGATTTAAATTCTAAAAATATGAGAGTAGAAAAGTAGCATCCAAGGAGTGTTGAATGATGGCTCATAGTAAAATATTTAGTACGTGTTTTATGCTTGAGTTATTTAATGGGTTTTTTTCCCTTCAAATTATTGGAATTTTAATAGCTCTTAAAAGTACAATCAAATTTGAAAGCAATGTGTTCAGAATTTAAATTTTGCAAAACATAGTGTTCAGGATAATAATTATCCAGGCAACCCATGCGCTTCACAAATATCCAGTATCACCGCCATTTTCGTATGCGCTTTTTTTTTTTTTTTTTTTTTTTTTGGGTATTTCCGAGTTCCAATGACTTTTACAGAAAAATTACGATTATTTTTTGTCTTAAACTCGATTTTAAAATTGTTGCTTGTGGGATGACTTTTGCAAGAATACAGTGTTTTGCCGAAAAGTCGCTAAAGAAACAATGCTTAAAATCCTTTCTCAAAGGGTCTTTCTCAAAGGATTCGACTTTCTCCCTACGAAATTTCCACTACAACAAAAACAAAAACTGTTTGTATCTAGGTTTACTGATTATTTTTTGGAATAAATCTGTAGTTGAAACGTAAAATATGTAGCTATATGATATATACTTTTCTTGTACAGTAATTCATATTTTTCTTCCGTAAAATTCGCCACACTGAGCCAATGTGGTTTCGATAATACGTAAGTATCCAAAAGAATATTCAACAAATAACAGAATATTTATTTAATTTACTGAAAAACATGTTAATAAACATGTTAACAAGTCAATGGTTATTGTATGTAAAATCATGTGGGCTTAGATTAGGCTGGCAACTGCTATATAATAGTACTTCTACTTAAACATGCCAATTGCTGTCACAGAATATGGATTTTCTTTAATGTTGCATACAACTTTGAAAAATATCAAAGAAAATGTATGTAAAAAAAATAAATAAATAAAAAGTATAGATTCTTCGCTACAGCGTGGAGCCAATGATGTGATTCAGTTACAGTTACTGATAGGTCACTCAGGTGGTCTATATCAGGGTTTCTTAAACTTTTTTCAGTCGCGACCCCTTTTTATCACTGAGATTTTTTTGCGACCCCCAGAACCTCATAATATTTACAAAAATTTTGTGGGACCCCTATAAGTATTGCGCAAATCCGACATACGCGTGGGTGAAACTGTCACAAGGGAACAAACATTTCACAAAGGAAGGAGGTGGAAAAATGACTTTGTTTGTTTATATTAGCTATGCATAAGTCACGTGATCTCTGAGGTTATGGGAATGTATCTCATTATTGAGCTTAGATTTTCTGATTGTGATTTCACGTGTGCAATGGCAATTATTACGAGATTTTCTGATGATTGCAGAAGCGATAATTTCGCCTAGAAATGATAATCTTTCGTTGAAATTCGTTTCCAACTATCATTTCTCTAAATGACGGTTAATCCAACATTTCTTCATCCTTCTTACATTTAGATTAGAGGGATTAAATCGGATTACAAATGAAATAAAGATAAAAAATAGTACATATTCAGTAACTCAGTAAACGTAACTGAGTAGTTTAAAGCTGATTACGGTTACTTAATTTGCAATTTAAAGAATTAGGGAATGAATCAAACAGGCAAATTTTACTTAAACTCGAATTTTATTTGCTCTATTCATCTGAAGAGAATTTGCTTTGTAACCATTTTATCCACGATTGTTTTAGAAAATATTTTATCGTCTTCCCATTTATACAGGAGACTGATATCGTTAAGGCAGTATATAGCAGATCTGGATATAACAGAACAGGCAATCAAAATTAAATTCACTATTTTAGATTCTTTAACAAAATGCTGATGTTTACGCACTTTTTAAAGTTGATTGACTGATTAGTGTAGAATATATTACTTTTGCATTCAATTGTTTGAGTTATTAGGCAGTCAGATTATTCAGTTCATTTGATATTTGACTTTTAGTAGAAAGTTCTATAAAATCAATTCCGCAACTCTATTTAGTAAAATTTTAATTGAAACTTCCTAGTACTGTATTGAATATCAGTACAGTACAATAAACTGATGAATTAAATTTCAATTTATAAAGCTCAAGGAAAGAGATATTTTAAAGTACTTAATGAACACAAATTTAAAATAATTAAAAAAATGAAAAACAATTAATATTAATTTAAAATTAAACATCAGAATTAAATCCTACAGGTCTTTAATTAACTTTAATTACTCGTTGAATAGACTTTCACCAAGTTGAACTCGCATACATAAATTCTCATAACTTTTGAACTTCAAGATAACACTGAGAACAATTTTGTTAATTTGTTTAAAGTAGTAAATATATGTATTTAATACGTTAATAAAATTACCTCCAGTAAGTCCTGGTGATTCCACTCCACACATAATTTCTTTGTATCCTTTCCTAAAAGAAGGACTACGGAATGCGTAGATAATGGGATTACAAGCAGAATTTAGGTACCCACACCAGTATGCCTAAAATAAGAAGACTTTCATGTATACGAATATCTCTTTAAGTGTAGAAACGTTTTCACCATTCCGTCTTTTTCTTCCTCAGTTTTGTTTTTGGAATATCTCTTTACTGAATATTAATAATCTATCGATTAAATATCTGATTCAGGAGCTCTTTTTGGCCAAACAACTATAAAGCCCGATTACAGGCGAAATTTTAATCTAAATATTTATAAACTATGACTTGTTTTGGTAGCATAAACTAAGTCCAAACTCCTAACGCATTTGAAGAGAATTATCGCTTTTCTGAACAAAACTACAAAGTCTTACGAAGGTTTAACGCACCTTTTTATTTAAATTAGAACTGGAACATAAATGCACGACTCATCTTACAAGTCAGCCGACCATTTGTGGCGACGCAACTTAAAATTACAGCAAATTCAAATTTTAAAATAAGCCTAGTAGCCAACGGTTATGCAAATGATTTAACGCGAAGTTGGGCTCGAAAATGGCTCTTACAAGCGTAACAATTTCAATATCAGCTAATATCTATAATTCAAGCTGAAGAATGAAATCATAACTGAGGTAGTAATATGGCCTCGAGAGGCATAAACACGCTCTGTCTTACAATAGGAAAATCTCACGTTATATGTTCTCGAACTAATTCATATTCTGAGAGAGAAACGGAAAATAAGTAGCAGAGAAAATTTATAGTACAGAGGCTGTTCGCACACATTTAGACAATTTTTCTTTGCTGTAAAAAAAAAAAAAAAAAAAAAAAAAAAAAAAAAAAAATTTGTAATAAAAAAATATGGAAGGTTTCAGATTTTAAATTACGTCCAAAGGGGAGTTTTTTTTAACGTTTTGTGTGTTACCTTTATTTAATCAATATCATGTTCTTTGCACTTAAACCATAAAATTCAGTTCAGTAGCAATGTCGCAAAATAATTTTAAAATGAGCCTATCTTTAGAATTTCCGATGCACAGGTCCGCGCGCTGGAGATAAAAAGTTTTTTTTTTTTTTTTTTTTTTTTTTTTTGTAGAGTGCTGCCATTGCTCGGTTTGAAATTGTTGAGTTTGTTAACCAAAAATTTCTTTAAAATTTTACAAAATATGAAAGAGATAATAAAGCAAATTTCAAATTCCAAATTTGGGCTTCCAGATGTCCATATTCGTAGGAGGATTACGTCATTCAAAATTCAATGGCTCTAGGTACCGTATTTTTATCACAATGCGAGAAATAACATACATTTATGCAGATTTTTCATTATTTAATTTCTTCAAATATACTGTAGAAGTCTAACATTTGTTGGCAACAGTTTGAAAAGTGAAACAGGCATTTATAGTGATTCAACGCAAAATCGCAAAACGAAAACAATAGTCTTTCAGGGACAAAGCCCCTTTGGATTAAAAAAAACTTCTGTTGGATTTTTTTTTAACTGCAACTATATTTTAGAGAGTATAAATTATCGTCTGCTACTTGAACAGTTAGCTTTCATCCAAACCGTCGCTTTCAAAGAAACAGTGGATGGAAGGCTATGTTTAGTTCTTTCCGAAAACCATTATTCGTATCTAATTGTTAAAAAACGTTGTAAAAGCCATAATTTTTCTATATCTAAAGCTACAATAGGTGATATTGCCAACAACAAAGAAAAAAAACGTCAAAATTTAGCTTCAAGTCGAAAAATTATTTCAAGGAGAAAGCGGAATTTTTCGAATGTTGCACAAGTAAGATCTTTAATGCTGAAAGAAAATCCGCCAAGTCAAAGGACAGTTATGAAACTCATTAAAATGCTCAGTGTCAACTGTAAACAAAATGATAATTGTGATTTGAATCTTAAAAAGACGAAAAAACACAATATGCATAGCCTTTCTTCACGACATATCGCCGAAAGCGGAATGCGTTGAAGAATTCTTCATGAAAAACATTTATCCGAGCAGAAATGAAAACCTTTTTTCACAATAGACGAATCTTGGGTGTACATAAATGACTGCAATAAAAAGATATCCATTTATTATCATCAAAGAGGAAAAAACCTTAAAACGTGACTCAAGCAATCTAAAGCAGATTTCTCTAAAGTATTTACGATTGTTGCTGGTTTTTCATATCACGGCAAATTAAAATAAAGAAAGTAGAGAAAAGTGTTAAGATCAACTACAAATATTATCAAAAACATATTTCATACCCAATTTTCAAATTTGAGCTGACTTCTCTTTACACACAGTGTGGTTAATCAGTAGAACGGCATCAAGACAAAGCAAGCAAAACTCGTCAAAAATCCACTGTTAATTTCTTGGGGAAAAGTAGAACAAGAAACGGGTATCAAAGTATCCCTTCACTCATATCCGTACTAAATCTTTTGATTTATCCACAATGTATATCTGCACTTTTGGACTTTTAAAAATCGGGTTACCCAGACGTTGACTTACGACCTCCTTAGATTTCTGAAAGCTGTTCTAGAGCAATGGGACAAAATACCTCTTCCGATACTACAAAATGCTTTACTGTCTTGAAAATTACGGTATATAAAGATAGTGACGAATAAGAGTTATCAAATGGAACATTTGAAATAAAATGTTAGCTAACATTTTTCTATAATTACAATGAAAATAGTCTAAAAAGTGTGCAAACAGCATCTGTAAAGATCTAAATCATAAAATAACTGGTGCAAATTAAGCTGAGACCTTATATTTTAAAAATTAACCAAGATACTGTTGCGTGCGTACGGGTTCGTTACGAAATGAATGCACAAGTCCGATGAAAAATGAACAAAAGTTTATTATTATCACAACAAAAATGCTTAAATCTTCTCAAATTATCATGCAGTATTGCAATATCTCACAGTAGTTATCTTTTAACTACTCAAATGTCCAATAGAACGTAATTCAAAACAGCTAAAGAAATTCAGAAGACAAAGAACAAAAATCAGCGTTATATTTACAAAATTTCTTCTTCCAACTTCAGTACTACAGTTTACCGTAAACCTTCATCGGATTGCCTTCCACCACACTTTAAATCATGTCATCCGACTAAACAAAATTAGCTTCATTTTATACCTATGTTTCCGTGCTCTACAAGTTTGCTCCTCCAAACTAGCCCTTGATGAAGAACTAAATTATTTAAAAGCATAGCTATTGACAGGGGCTTTTCACCCAACATTATTAATCAAGCAGTTAAAAAATTCTCATCTCAACACACTAAAGGCACACTCTTGTTTTAGGAGATTATAAAATTCTGTTGTCATTCCTTTCTTTCCATCAATTAGCTATAAAGTTGCACATATTTTTGCAGAAATTTAACTTTCGGGTTGTATTCTCCCATCATAAAATTCCGAGTTCCATACTTAAGGACCCCATTCCGGATATGAATTCCTGGGTATTTATAGGATTCCTGCCAGTGTGGTTTAATTTACATGGCCATACTAAGAGAGCCTTAAAATTTCGCGTCAAGGAACTGAGGCATATGTTAGAAAAAAAGGAAACACGGAAAGTCTTCTGTTGCGCAACATTGTTGGGCCGAAAATCACACTTTCAATTTTCTGCGCCAAAATTATTCAAAAAACATCTTCCATGGAGAACTTGATTTTCTAGAGGAATTTCACATTCATAAAAATTTTCGTTCTAGTTAACGATCCTAGTCCAATCCAAATTTGCCTTCGGCCTTTAAAGAAATTATGTTTTAGTTCTAGTTTCATCCAACCACAGACGCCACTGCTTATTCTTGTCCAGGCTTTCTTATCTAATCATTTTTCCTATCTTGTTCATTTGCGGTTTGCAGTGAGGATGGTGGTTCTAAAACCATCCAAAACTAACTGTGAAAATTTTAAATATAACGCTGATTTTTTGTTTGTCTTCTGAATTAGTATTTATTTCTGTTATTGAGTCTAATCAGCTAAAGAAACTAATCCGCGAATTCCTACAATCAACAAGAGCAGTTTTCTAAACAAACAACAAACTAAGCAACTACAACAAACTGAGATTTTCCTCCTTTTAATAAGATTTAAAATCACGCGCTAGATTTTCCAGTACTTTCTCGAAATCAAAAAGAGATTGTATTTATTTAATGCACGCGCTCTTGTATTTTCAATTTTCGGCTTAGCCTTTCTTTTAATATTCGTCACGCGCTGCCCTGCGCGAGAAATAAAACCATTTAATTTATAATTGAACTAACATTAGCTTTTAAATACCAAATTCGTAACACTGCCTCCTTCCCAAGGACTGCACGAACCGGGCAGTACAATCCCTGGACAGAAAGCTAAACTTACAACTGTGGCATAAATGCAACTGAGCCTAAACATTACATTACAATATCAAACAACATGAA